CAGGTATAAAATAGTCATGAATTTGAAAGAAAAATATAGTGAAGTGCTTTATTTCTAGCATTAAAATTTAGAGCTGAATTTTAAAAATTTAAAAAAAAATAGTCCTCATGATTTTTGTGGACAATTTTTCGACTGAAATCATGAGGACTGCAGAAAACGCTTTGCAAAATCAAGGATAAAAAGAATAAACCACGATTTGCTTAATTTTAAAAGTATTCCAAAATCCTTTAAATAACATAAAATCGTGGTCTACGATGTTTAAGACGAGCCACAATTTTTCAATTCAGGTATAAAATAGTCATGAATTTGAAAGAAAAATATAGTGAAGTGCTTTATTTCTAGCATTAAAATTTAGAGCAGAATTTTACAAACGAAAAAAAAATTAGTCATCATGATTTTTGTCCACAAATTTTCGTCTGAAATCATGACGACTGCAAAAACGCTTTGCAAAATCAAGGGATAAAAAGAATAAACCACGATTTGCTTAATTTTAAAAGTATTCCAAAATCCTTTAAATAACATAAAATCGTGGTCTACGATGTTTAAGACGAGCCACAATTTTTCAATTCAGGTATAAAATAGTCATGAATTTGAAAGAAAAATATAGTGAAGTGCTTTATTTCTAGCATTAAAATTTAGAGCAGAATTTTACAAACGAAAAAAAAATTAGTCATCATGATTTTTGTCCACAAATTTTCGTCTGAAATCATGACGACTGCAGAAAACGCTTTGCAAAATCAAGGATAAAAAGAATAAACCACGATTTGCTTAATTTTAAAAGTATTCCAAAATCCTTTAAATAACATAAAATCGTGGTCTACGATGTTTAAGACCAGCCACAATTTTTCAATTCAGGTACAAAAATAGTCATGAATTTGAAAGAAAAATATAGTGAAGTGCTTTATTTCTAGCATTAAAATTTAGAGCAGAATTTTACAAACGAAAAAAAAATTAGTCATCATGATTTTTGTCCACAAATTTTCGTCTGAAATCATGACGACTGCAAAAACGCTTTGCAAAATCAAGGATAAAAAGAATAAACCACGATTTGCTTAATTTTAAAAGTATTCCAAAATCCTTTAAATAACATAAAATCGTGGTCTACGATGTTTAAGACGAGCCACAATTTTTCAATTCAGGTATAAAATAGTCATGAATTTGAAAGAAAAATATAGTGAAGTGCTTTATTTCTAGCATTAAAATTTAGAGCAGAATTTTACAAACGAAAAAAAAATTAGTCATCATGATTTTTGTCCACAAATTTTCGTCTGAAATCATGACGACTGCAGAAAACGCTTTGCAAAATCAAGGATAAAAAGAATAAACCACGATTTGCTTAATTTTAAAAGTATTCCAAAATCCTTTAAATAACATAAAATCGTGGTCTACGATGTTTAAGACGAGCCACAATTTTTCAATTCAGGTATAAAATAGTCATGAATTTGAAAGAAAAATATAGTGAAGTGCTTTATTTCTAGCATTAAAATTTAGAGCAGAATTTTACAAACGAAAAAAAAATTAGTCATCATGATTTTTGTCCACAAATTTTCGTCTGAAATCATGACGACTGCAAAAACGCTTTGCAAAATCAAGGGATAAAAAGAATAAACCACGATTTGCTTAATTTTAAAAGTATTCCAAAATCCTTTAAATAACATAAAATCGTGGTCTACGATGTTTAAGACGAGCCACAATTTTTCAATTCAGGTATAAAATAGTCATGAATTTGAAAGAAAAATATAGTGAAGTGCTTTATTTCTAGCATTAAAATTTAGAGCTGAATTTTAAAAATTTAAAAAAAAATAGTCCTCATGATTTTTGTGGACAATTTTTCGACTGAAATCATGAGGACTGCAGAAAACGCTTTGCAAAATCAAGGATAAAAAGAATAAACCACGATTTGCTTAATTTTAAAAGTATTCCAAAATCCTTTAAATAACATAAAATCGTGGTCTACGATGTTTAAGACGAGCCACAATTTTTCAATTCAGGTATAAAATAGTCATGAATTTGAAAGAAAAATATAGTGAAGTGCTTTATTTCTAGCATTAAAATTTAGAGCAGAATTTTACAAACGAAAAAAAAATTAGTCATCATGATTTTTGTCCACAAATTTTCGTCTGAAATCATGACGACTGCAGAAAACGCTTTGCAAAATCAAGGATAAAAAGAATAAACCACGATTTGCTTAATTTTAAAAGTATTCCAAAATCCTTTAAATAACATAAAATCGTGGTCTACGATGTTTAAGACCAGCCACAATTTTTCAATTCAGGTACAAAAATAGTCATGAATTTGAAAGAAAAATATAGTGAAGTGCTTTATTTCTAGCATTAAAATTTAGAGCAGAATTTTACAAACGAAAAAAAAATTAGTCATCATGATTTTTGTCCACAAATTTTCGTCTGAAATCATGACGACTGCAAAAACGCTTTGCAAAATCAAGGATAAAAAGAATAAACCACGATTTGCTTAATTTTAAAAGTATTCCAAAATCCTTTAAATAACATAAAATCGTGGTCTACGATGTTTAAGACGAGCCACAATTTTTCAATTCAGGTATAAAATAGTCATGAATTTGAAAGAAAAATATAGTGAAGTGCTTTATTTCTAGCATTAAAATTTAGAGCAGAATTTTACAAACGAAAAAAAAATTAGTCATCATGATTTTTGTCCACAAATTTTCGTCTGAAATCATGACGACTGCAGAAAACGCTTTGCAAAATCAAGGATAAAAAGAATAAACCACGATTTGCTTAATTTTAAAAGTATTCCAAAATCCTTTAAATAACATAAAATCGTGGTCTACGATGTTTAAGACGAGCCACAATTTTTCAATTCAGGTATAAAATAGTCATGAATTTGAAAGAAAAATATAGTGAAGTGCTTTATTTCTAGCATTAAAATTTAGAGCAGAATTTTACAAACGAAAAAAAAATTAGTCATCATGATTTTTGTCCACAAATTTTCGTCTGAAATCATGACGACTGCAAAAACGCTTTGCAAAATCAAGGGATAAAAAGAATAAACCACGATTTGCTTAATTTTAAAAGTATTCCAAAATCCTTTAAATAACATAAAATCGTGGTCTACGATGTTTAAGACGAGCCACAATTTTTCAATTCAGGTATAAAATAGTCATGAATTTGAAAGAAAAATATAGTGAAGTGCTTTATTTCTAGCATTAAAATTTAGAGCAGAATTTTACAAACGAAAAAAAAATTAGTCATCATGATTTTTGTCCACAAATTTTCGTCTGAAATCATGACGACTGCAAAAACGCTTTGCAAAATCAAGGGATAAAAAGAATAAACCACGATTTGCTTAATTTTAAAAGTATTCCAAAATCCTTTAAATAACATAAAATCGTGGTCTACGATGTTTAAGACGAGCCACAATTTTTCAATTCAGGTATAAAATAGTCATGAATTTGAAAGAAAAATATAGTGAAGTGCTTTATTTCTAGCATTAAAATTTAGAGCTGAATTTTAAAAATTTAAAAAAAAATAGTCCTCATGATTTTTGTGGACAATTTTTCGACTGAAATCATGAGGACTGCAGAAAACGCTTTGCAAAATCAAGGATAAAAAGAATAAACCACGATTTGCTTAATTTTAAAAGTATTCCAAAATCCTTTAAATAACATAAAATCGTGGTCTACGATGTTTAAGACGAGCCACAATTTTTCAATTCAGGTATAAAATAGTCATGAATTTGAAAGAAAAATATAGTGAAGTGCTTTATTTCTAGCATTAAAATTTAGAGCAGAATTTTACAAACGAAAAAAAAATTAGTCATCATGATTTTTGTCCACAAATTTTCGTCTGAAATCATGACGACTGCAAAAACGCTTTGCAAAATCAAGGGATAAAAAGAATAAACCACGATTTGCTTAATTTTAAAAGTATTCCAAAATCCTTTAAATAACATAAAATCGTGGTCTACGATGTTTAAGACGAGCCACAATTTTTCAATTCAGGTATAAAATAGTCATGAATTTGAAAGAAAAATATAGTGAAGTGCTTTATTTCTAGCATTAAAATTTAGAGCAGAATTTTACAAACGAAAAAAAAATTAGTCATCATGATTTTTGTCCACAAATTTTCGTCTGAAATCATGACGACTGCAGAAAACGCTTTGCAAAATCAAGGATAAAAAGAATAAACCACGATTTGCTTAATTTTAAAAGTATTCCAAAATCCTTTAAATAACATAAAATCGTGGTCTACGATGTTTAAGACCAGCCACAATTTTTCAATTCAGGTACAAAAATAGTCATGAATTTGAAAGAAAAATATAGTGAAGTGCTTTATTTCTAGCATTAAAATTTAGAGCAGAATTTTACAAACGAAAAAAAAATTAGTCATCATGATTTTTGTCCACAAATTTTCGTCTGAAATCATGATGACTGCAAAAACGCTTTGCAAAATCAAGGATAAAAAGAATAAACCACGATTTGCTTAATTTTAAAAGTATTCCAAAATCCTTTAAATAAGATAAAATCGTGGTCTACGATGTTTAAGACGATCATAATTTTTCAATACAGGTACAAAAATAGTCATGAATTTGAAAGAAAAATATAGTGAAGTGCTTTATTTCTAGCATTAAAATTTAGAGCAGAATTTTAAAAACGAAATAAAAAATAACTAACCAACTCGGATAATTATTAATGGCCAAAGGCGAATTTTATGACACTTTGAAAGTTAATGAACCACACAAAGGAATGCTATTGAAGGCGCTGAGTAAAAGTTTTGGGGATTGCTTTATATTTCTGTTTCCCCGGCCGCTGTGGAACATATGAGAGCAATCTGCGGTTTGATCGAGATTCCATCGATGGATGGACAAAAATGAAATAATGTGGAGAAAAAAGTTGACTGGGGGATTAAAGGCGCCCACCGCACTCAGCCTAAATTCACGCTCCATAATTTAGTGCGACCACGGCGTGGTTTTCGGGCACCACATAAAAGAGCAGATCCACTTTTGACGCGGCTCAGTCCATCATGATCCGACCTCTGCTGCTGACCTGCTGCCTGGCCGCCGCCTCCACCGCCTCCACCCTCGACCAGCTGCGCGGCTACGCACCATGCTTCCTGCAAACCGCCCACCCAGTGCCGTGCCTCAAAGAACGCGCCCTTCGACTCTTCGACAAGGTGCCAGTTTTTTTAAAGAAAAAATTGTTGTGCCACATTTCTCATCAAAAACATCCCTATTTAATATCATTTGGAGGGTAAAAGTGCATCAATTCGAGTTGTTTTACAATGCTTTGTGATTGTTAAATCAGTCAAATTTAAAATGGTCTGGAACTTTTTTCATATTATATTAAATTCAATATGCATTGGAACAAAATAATAAATATACTTAGAAAATCTGCAGAAAAGCAATGATGGCTGCCGCATTATTGGATTTTATTTTTCATAAAATTGTTAACAAAGTAAAAGTAAAACATAATATATAATTTTTTCAAGGCGTTGCTGACCGATTCAATCAAATTTTCGGATGGATTTGCAATTGAAAAAAATCCAGAGGAAATTTCGGCCAACTTTGACGCCTCCGACGAGCTGAATTTGCCTGCTGAGCCGTCGGCGCGGGAGGAGCAGTTGGACGAACTGTTGTGGAAAAGGACTCTCACCTTTTTCAAGACCAGAAGTGTCCGAATCGACCTTGAAGAAACTGCCCAAGAAGGTAAATTGAGGGATTTTTGCATGAACTTTCAAAAATTTAAATTCCAGTGGTAGAAATATTGACTTTTTCATAAGGATTCGAGTGCATCTTGGGAATTGTTTTAGGTGAAAAGAGCCAGAGATGTTTTTCTAGGGATATTTGAACGTCAACACTTCCATAAATTTTAGACTTAAATTAGTGAATCCGTCAGTAAATGATACAAATTAACTCCTAGCCCCATTAAATTTTCCATTTTAGTTCAGTCTGAGGGTAAAAAAGAATAAAAATCAAAGATTAATTAAGTTTTTTTAACTTAGCTTGAAAGTCTGATTACTCTAGTTGGGAACTTTTCGTTTTCCGTACACCAGGATATAAAAATAGTATAATCTTATCCCATTTATTCGTACGAATTTTCCTTTCAACTTCTTAAAATGTCCAAAACAAAATAACGTGAGCATTCAGGATTAAAAAAAAAAAAATAATAATAATGATGCTCTGTATATTTTGTAAAATATCCTATATGAGTTTGAGTTGCAAGTAAATTGCTATTCAGCATTTAAATTTTTTGTCAATCATTTTTTTCAAATCAGTTATAATTCTTTAACGTTTCTTGCAGGGCGACTTTTCAAAAAGAAAATCAAGAAGTTTGTGATTCCGCTGATCCTTGTGAAGGTGGGTCTGGCGTTGATGGCGACCAAGGCGTTGCTGATCGGCAAACTGGCGCTGGCCGTGACCCTGTTCGTGATCGTGCGTGAGTTCTTCGAGGAGCGCAAAAAGGCGCAGCACGAGACGTACGAGGTGTTCGCGAAACACCCCTCGGAGAGCGAGTATCAGCACTATGAAGCGTCCAGCCCCGTGCAGTCCGTCGTCCAGACCAGCGGCTTCTACCCCAGCAAGGGTGGCCGCAGCATTGTCAGGGAGACTAACTTGCCCGCCCTCGACGTCAACGAGAATGCCTACGACAACGGACAGTTTGCCCAAATGCTCGCCTACAGCGGCCGGCGCCCCAATTAATTAATTGTTGACCCGTTCCAACTCCAAAGTCGCTGCCATCCTCATTCAATATGTATTTATTTGGAAATATGTGTTATTTATTTCTTATTTATGTTCAATAAATTTAAATACTTGAAAAAGTTAGTTGGAAACTTTATTTTTTACAGAGTACACTTTGCATATATCAATTTAGAAAAAAAATATAAAATTATAATTAGAAAAAATAAAGAACTTATGATCTTTTTCTTGGGCGAAGATTGTACTGATCAACCGATTGATGTAAATAGTCAATAAAAATATGAAAAATCAAATTAAATTTTGAGGTCTCATGATCAGTCGCATTTCACTGATTTACTTAATCCCAAAATTGCATTTTGTAAGATTTTACTATAAGTTTTATAAATTGTATAATATGATTTCAGCCAATGGATCAAGGTTTTTATTTTCACTATCTTGAATTAATTTTAAGTTGTTGGATGAGATATGACTGTAATGAACGGAAGATACATAATTAAACAAATTATTTTAAGAAAACAAGCTATATATTCGGGCAGAAAAGATTCACTATTTATTTTGCGTCTAATATTTTAAGAGTAAAACTTTTGGTGTATTTTTCGTCCAGTTGGATTAATAAATACGTGTCTACTTGGGCCACTTAACCAAGCTTAGTTTAGTTTTTTGTAAGCCAGGAAAAAAATAAAAGTTAAAATAATGTAATAAATTTTCATCTTGGATTATCACCTTACTCTGTATCTATGATTAATTATAACTAAAGCTTTTAAATTTTAATCTTTTTTTAGAAGAATTTAAGACTATTTAAAAACTTTTAAAACTAATAAGAGACACTTTCTTGTCCTTGAGTCGACGCTTTGCGTGGCGAGAGCCATAATATATAATTGCATCAAATCAAGCGCAAACACACGCAATCCTCGTTAAGTCATAACACATGAATAATATTTAGGGCGAAACTGGCGAAAGTATAAATTCAGTAGAGAAAATAGTGAGCTCTTTTTTACTATAAATATATTTATCATTTCTTTAAACGTTTTGATCTTGAAAAGTGTTTAAATTTGAATTATATTTTCAAAATTTTCTTCGCATATTAGTAACATAGGAAATGAGATCGCAATATTTTTGTTTAATTTTATTCAGTTCTATATTTGTCTCGTCTGGTGCAAAAAATACTTGCTTGCCCCCATTCACGAGACTGACCCTTCCGGCAACGTTACATAACTTTCACCTTTTGCCGGCTCAGGTTGACACTGCCAACGCAACTCGCAGGCCACAGAGCAGGTATCGGTTAGGAAATAAAACACCAAATGTTGCTTGCGATCTTTGCCTTCCGATCGACATTCCCTTAGCCAATTCAGGTGCAGAGTTTTTTGCCACTTTACATCCGCCCCACTATTATAATTTAAGACCTATAAAAGGGTTCTGCGGCGCAGGTCAGACATCAAACTCACCCAAGCCTCCCAAGCAAACACAACCAACATGGCCTTCAAGGTAATTCAAATTTAATTTAATTTTCAAATTGGACTTCAGTTAAAACCAAACGCTTTTTTGAAGTGAAGAAAAATACTTATTTTTTAAATATTTGCATTTGTGCAAGAACAAGTATGATCTTTTAGAAACTGTTAAATTGGTTTTCCTTTCTTTAATTTTTAAATTTATTTCTCCATTGCAAAAAAAAGTAAACTTGTAAAGGAAATGCGGAAATCATATATCAGAAAAAAAATTATAAAAATATCTAAAATTTTTTCTGCATTCAATTGATATTCATTTATATTTTGAATTATTTATATATTGAAAATAGCAAATATTGACCAAATTCTATTTTGTTCAGCTCATCACCGCCCTTCTGCTGGTCGCCGCTCCCTTGAGCCTGGCGCAGTACGGAGGCTACCGTGCCGCCCCCGCCCAGGCCTATGAAGAGCAGTACGCCCCTGCCGAGTACGCCTTCGAGTATGCCGTGCACGATGACCACACCAAGGACATCCACTCGCACAAGGAGTCCCGCAAGGGTGACCTGACCCAGGGCGAGTACAGCCTGGTCGAGCCCGACGGCACCATCCGCACCGTCAAGTACCACGTGGACGGCAAGAGCGGCTTCATCGCCGAGGTCATCCGCTCCGGACACGCCGTCCATGACGTCGCCAAGCCCGTCTACGTCGCCAAGCCTGTCGTGGCCGCCTACAAGCCCATCGTGGCCACCTACAAGCCCGTTGTTGCCGCCTACAAGCCCGTCGTGGCCGCTCCTGTCTACGCTGCCGCCCCCGCCGCCACCAGCTACGTCCAGAGCCATGGCTCCAGCAACCAGTACAGCAACCAGTACAACAACCAATACAACAACCAGTACAACAGCCGCCGCTACTAAATTTCTCTCCTCGCAGAGGAACTATTCTTAAGCTTGTGATACAGCATTGCATATTCTGCACTCATCTTTGTTGACCATCTTACATCATCACCACTTTTTTATGTAAAATTGCTTATGACAGATCAAAATAAACTTTTTCTATGAAAAAATAAATTCACCTTTTGTTTTAAATATCAAAATACAATCCATTTGAAGTTATAATAATTGCAATATGTAGCTGAAAATTAACTTTGAATATTTTTCCTAATATTTTCTTATTTTTTTGCGAAACAAAACCCTTTGAATTATCAATAGAGTAAATATTATTTGTTCTATTTACAGCTATCCATTTTTTGAAAATGGATTGCAAGATTTCCCACCATTTTTCCCCAATTTCTTTTCACTTGATTATTACTGTAGACTTAATTATGAAAAATTTAATTTAGAATCAACAAAATACGCACTAGTCTCATTGCCAACACAGCAGTGCCATTAAAAATAATGGAGTGTAAAAACCAGCAGCAGTAAGTAAGTTGTATTTTTCAAACTGATAAAAACATGAAATTGCCCTACTATCACAAAAATTATTCAACAATTACGTGGGCTTTCCAACCAATTAACCGAGATAATATTTTGTATGAAGACAAAGAATGTATGAAAATTGTAATAAGACGACAAAAATTAAGCAAAAAATATGCATCAATCTCGAAAACTGCATCTAAAACTGCATGCTTTTTCACTCTATCATCTCTTAACACCCAAAAAGATTTTTAGCGATTTGAAAAATAAACAATTAATTAATACTGAAAGTTGAGACCAAAGATTTAGTTTGCAGAAAATCGGTCAACTTCAAACATTACAACAGCTGGTTAGTGAATTTCCAGTTAAAAGCTTATTTTGACAGTCATAAACCCACTATGCGGTGTTTAACGTGGTTTGCCGATCTAAAAAAAGAACAACATTTTATCGCCTTTCAAAATCAGTGGCGTTGATTGAAGTGCGCCAGAGGCTTTATTGGCACAAGCTCGAAATTAGCGACATTCTAATTGCTCACTTTCTTTGCAAAAAAAGCGCGGCGCGTTACTTAACAACTTTTCGTAGAAATGTGTCGGGCAATTAATGTGCCAATATTTACACTTCTCTTCTGGTCTCTGCTTCGTCTAATTTTTAACCTTCGAAAAGCTAGTCTATGAAAATTCTACATACACTTTTTTTATTCCATACTAGAGGAAGACCTGTCACTCGTAGCCATTATGCACCGCGTTATAAATTAAAATTCAGCGCATTAAAAAGGCATTGATGTGACGACATCCCAGATGTTTTATTGAAAACTGAAACATTTGAAAAAGCAAGCCTTGAGAAATTCACTGCTATAGTGTCATCACATGAGATGCCCGGTTCTTTTCAGGGAGGCGATATTTATATTTTTTATCACTTACTAATGAAGCTGCGCTGCGATTTGTAAAAATAAGTTATTGCATGGCTCCGCTGAGCATGTCACTCTTTCAGCCTGGGCAGTTTGTCATCATCAGTCAGAAATTTTATGTTTTTGGTACCTCGATTTTTGATTTTTATTTGAGAGGTCAATTGTGATAAAAAAAAAATATAGGTTCGCAGGTTTATCAATATAAAGTCAAAGATTTATTGAAATGTTCATCAGCTATTGTAATTTATTTTGAATCACATCGTTTCTTCTTAAATTTTGCTTGTATTTATTCTCTATTCAGAGGATTTATTTTATTTAATTATTTAGGCAAAATTTTTGAAATTTATTGGCTCCAAGAACAAAAAAATTAAATTTACTCAAACCATAAAATCCGCTTGAGAAAAATAAATAGGCGAGTGCAGATTTTTTACATGTTTGCGAGTTGAAAAACATATTTTGCTCTTCTGCATTAAATAACTGCATCTTATTTATAGCTCACACCGCGCACACACGTGTCCAGTGCGTTATATGTACGGAAACACTGCTCGTTATTTAGTGGGCCAATCGATCAAAATCGAGGCCTGATTTGGAGTTGTATAGTATTTGCGGTCAGCGTTGATCTGCATGGAAGCCGAAATTATTGTTATTCACTTATGTGACGAATACAGGACGCATCGACAAAACCACACACACTCCCAATTCTACGCTTCACAAGTCTCTTGTTAACGCAAAAAGTGTCGATTCGGTATAAAAGGACCGAATCTAGTGCATCTGTTGCTCATTCGACATGACTCTCCTCAGGACACTGATGGCCCTCGCCGGCCTGTTCTTGGCCGCGGTGGCCGCCGCACCCACCCAGCAAAACCAACTTGTCAACATGATCTATTGCTTCAACGAGCAGGTACGTCGTTTTCAATTTTTTCCTCCTTTACTTATTACATAAATGAATAATATTATAAAATTGTGAATCATATTGATTAATAAAATTAAACTGATTATCTTAGAAATCTAATTTGAATGCAATTTAAAAAAAATATTTAAAAAAATAATATACTTAAAAATATATTATTTGAAAAAACTTTAGTTATTTAAAAATACTACGTAACCAGCTGCTTTAATGAGATAAAAAATTTAGAACTACCTGAAAGGAGAAAAATTTTATTCTTATTACTTTTCTTGCTTAAATTATTTTATTCGTAATTACAGGGTGATGAGTTCTGGCCATGCGTGAAACAGCGCGCTTTGACGCTCATGGACAAAGCCCTGACTGTGGATCGCGTGTCCCTGATGGACGGTCTGGTAACCTTGGAAAGAGACCCCAGACAGGTGCACCCTACAACCTTCCAAGAGGATGATTCGAACCTTCCAAAAAGCCCCGAAGCGCGCAATGATCAACTGGATCAACTTTTGATGAGCAGGACGAGTGCCTTGCTCGAATCGACTTCGCTCAGGATCAAACTGCCCTCGCAGCAAACCTTTGAAGGTGAGCGTTTAAATTATTTCTATAAGGATTATAAGATTAATGGGACAACTTAAGCAACAGAAAATATAATAATATTATAATATAATTTAAAAAAAAAACGAATCTATCATTTATATTTTTTTCATGCAAAGCGTAGATTTTAAAACTAATTCAAACTTATGTTTGCTTGTGTTCATGCGATTCAGATCTTTTAGAAAAGTTCACACTGACAATCATCTATTGAATTTTTTTAACGAATAATGATATTTTGGAAAAATAGTATTTGTTTACGTTTCTTAAGCCTCATGTTTAATTAAAGTTTCCTAATCAATCGTCAACCTTGGACAAAAACCGAAATAATATTTTTCTCTTGGTAAGTTGCGAGAAATTCAGTTGCAGCAAGTGCGTAGAAAATTTTTATTTTTGATAGTTTACTTAACAAATTGTTCATTATTTTTATTAAATAATTATAAGTTTCTACTGTATAGATGATGCACTTATCTAATTTAGTGCCGTGTTAAGGCGTATATAGTTTCCTTATATAGCACGCGCGAACTTTACGTGAGTAAAGTTTTCAACGAAAGTGCGGCCAAACGAACGAGGAGACAATTAAAGAAGAAAGTGAAAAAGAAAAAGTAGAGTGCAAAAAGCAAAAGAGAAAGAGGAGACAATTAAATTTCATCTCCTCTTCCTAAATTTATCAACAATTTAGCATTGAAAACTTTCAGATATCGCTACTTTTTTTTTACAAATTTCAGGACGAGTGAAGAAGTTTAAGAAGTTGGCCGCGCCCCTCATCATTGTGCTGGCCATGGTGGCGTTGGCCGCCGTGGCCATGAAGGCCGTCGTCGTGAGCAAAGTGGCACTGGCCATCGTCTCGTGGATCTTCATCAAGAACTTCCTGAACGGCGGCGAGAAGAAGGAGAAGTTTGAGATCATCGCAAAGCACCCTGAGTCTCACGACACCCACAGTTACCACCATGAGTCGACCAACCACGTGCCCATTGTTGTCAAGGACCAAGCACACCAAGGAGGACTCTACGGCCGCTACTTTGACGCCCAAAACCTGGCCTATCAAGCGCAAAAACCTGCCGACGACAAAATTCGAGCTTAAAATTATTATTTATTTATTCCATAATTTATTTCAATATAGCAATCATTGTAAAATGAACTGTGAATGCTTCAAGAATTATAAAAATATGAACGATTTAAAAAAATATGTCAATCAGCTTCTTAAATCAAATTATTTAGTGGAATTTTTATTTTGAGACGGGAATAAATCTCTGATTTTGGTTGGTGCTAAAGTAAAAATCGTCAAATATGGTGTCACAAAGAATTGATTGATGGTCAAAACACCTTGAAAACTTCAGATGAAACTATTTAAATCATCTAATTATTGGCTGCAGTTCTCCCACCACTCTTCCAGGCAAGAGAGGTTAAGGGACTTCTATAGTGTTTAAACAGATTTAAAATATTTTGCTAACAGCCTGCCTAATTTTAAAAGTGTTGTTTATAATGTCCAAAGAAAAAAAAATATGATTTTTCACCTGTATTTTTTTTTAATATTAAAAAAAGCACCAACATTTTCCAAATATTATATATTTTTTTAGGTCGGTTATAAAATCCTGAATTTTTGCCAGGATGCTCTAAATGATAATTATGATATAACACGTTCTCCAATGGAAGCAATAAAAGGTTCTGTTTGAAATAAAAAAATATCTTTGTATCTCTCTCAATCTCGCTTTGCGGTAAAATAATTTTCGTTATCAAGATTTATGAAATAAACGACGAGGAAAAGCAGTGAAGAGAAAAATCGAGAGCCATTGGGCCAAATCGCCCTGGAAGCAAATGAGCCATTGAAGTGATCGCAGCTCTTCTGGCCAAAGTGAGATGTGCACCTGCATTCACACTCGGGTTGCTAGTAAATCGCGGGCGGGCTGCACGCACCTCTATCATCGCCTGCAACCCAATTCTACGCTCCAGCTGTGCGCGGCAAAATCTCACTCGAGCTAGGAGGAGCTATTCGGATATTTTCTTCCCAGTTGTCACTTTTTTGTCAGCTCAGTTCCAGACCGAGGCTTTAAATCGGAGCTCACGTCGCTCCAAAAGATTCACTCCTACGAAATGCTTTGCGCGTCTCACTCGCTCTTCCTGCTCACGGTCGCCGCCGTTTGCTCGGCCCTGCCCTCGCAACCCAGGGAGGACGAAAACGTCGTCGCCGTCGTGTCCAACTGCATGAAGAGGGATGCTAACTTTTTGGTCACATGTCTGCAGGAAAGGGCCGTCAAAGCGTGGGACCAAGCGCTCAGGTATTTTAATATTTTGTATTTTTATGTTTTATAATTTAAAAAAAAAAGATTAATTATTTTTATATATTTTGAAAATTTATGGAAATTTATTACAAATTTAAAGATTTGACTAACCGAAGTTTAAAATTTATTTGTATAAATTTCAAGACATGGATGTCTATTTGTCTTTAATGACTAAAAATAATATGACAATTTATTTAAATTTATTTTTTAACTTTTTGAATCAAGAAATATCTTTAAATAAAAAAAAATTTTATTATTGATTTTAAGCTTTTATATAAACATTGAGTTTTCTATATTTTTGCTATATTTTAAGATTGATATTCCTGAATTTATTAGAAAATTCTAAAATATTTGTTTTCTATAATTATTTAAGATAAGAGTGACTCTATGAAAGTAAAATTAAATCAGGCATGAATTTTAGCAGAGTGGAACAAGTAAATTTTGTTATGATGAAATTATATTACTTTTTTATTTTACTTCATTAAAATTTGAAAGAAAAGCTCCATCTGAAAAATTGGGTAATAATATCGCACTTTTTAGACTAATTGTTTTCACCAGAATAACTTGATCTTAAACAAATAAATAATGCAGAACTGCAGCGTATTTATTTTTGAGAATCTTCATCTGAATCATTTTATTCTGTGTGCTGGATGCGCATCAAAACAAAGCGCTGCGGCTAATCCGTGAACGACCGTTTTGTGTCCATTAAAAGGAATCGTCACGGTGCCACAATGAAAATAACGTAACGATTCGAGCAGAAAAAAGTCTACAAAAGCTCTTTTGATTAGTCATGCCGCTTCTTTGGTCTATTTCTAGATCTCCACCATTTACTTTTTCCATACCTTGTTGAAAGGTCGTGATGTTTTAAAAGTAAAATTAATTTGTACTCACATATTGTCTTCAGCTTCTGGTCTGTGAACAAATTATAAAAAATAATGTGCATTAGTAGTACTAGTGATAAAAAGTGAAGTTTCTTTAAGAGTTTAAACCTTCAATATTAAAAAGTCATCAATATATTGAAGATTAAAACTGTTTTGTAAAAAAATTATGCACTTGAATACAAACTTAAAGATAAAATACACAGTTATTTTTTTTAATTTTTTTTTTCAAGTTTGTTGAGTGGAAGGAAATATTTTTCTTTGGGAAGTAAATTTTATGCGTTGGTTTTTCATCAAAAATAATCCTATAAAAAGGTTTGAACGTTAACATGGAACTGTGTACTTTATTCAAATTGTCAGACGTCAGACCCTTAAATTAATTAATAATTTAGTTTTTATTAGAAAATTTAATCAAGATTTTGGAAAGCAAGAATATTTAATATTTTGCTTATTCCGTTTCCAGTACTAATGCGCCCTTTGAGATGTTTGATGGTATGGTGTCGTTAGAAAAAGATCCTGCGAGCAACACGACTGATGTGCAGGCGGTCGACCTGACAGGCACCTCTTCGATGGATGACCTGCCGTCAGATCCAGGCGCCAGGAGCTTCCAACTGAACAACATGCTCATCAAAAAGCTCACAAAGTTTTTGCAGACGAGAACACTAAAAATTATCGTTCCTCTCTCAGAGGAAGGTGAGAAAATTATTAAAAGCAAAATAACGGAACCTGTGGAAATATTAAGCTAAAATCCACCCCTTGTGCTTTACTTGATAGGCCGCTTTAAAGGTGTAAAAGGTATGCAATTATACAACACGCGAAAACAAAACTAAAATAGTAAACTGGCGACATGAAATTTAAAGGAATTTAATTTTCAATTATAAACTGCATACACATTAAAATCATAGATACTCACAAACTCACATTATAAGTTGTTTAAAGTGCTTTAATTGGTTTATATCTCCACAAGCTTAAGACAACTTTTTTAAATTTCTTTAATAATAAATTAATAATTACTTGAGAAATAACCAACAATAAAGAGTAATAATTAGATTTCAAGTTTGTTAATTATATTTCCTATTAAAATTCTTTCAATTAATAACTATCCAAAAATTCTTAGCTGTAACACAATTAAAGGGGTGGAATTTTGGCACTTTTTTAAAATAAAAATTGATTATATCATTGATTGCAATTTTTCTTTTGACAGGCAGGGGAAAGTTGAAGAAGTACGCGGAGCCTTTGGCAATGGCCATCATGTGGAAGATGATGATGGCTGCCCTGGCGATGGGCGCGCTCGCCCTGCTGGCCGGCAAAGCGCTGATTGTCTCCAAGTTGGCGCTGACGCTGTCGCTGTTGCTGGCCGTGCGACGCGTGCTGAACGGCGGCGGCGTCGGCCTCGAGAAAATCGACATCTACGCCAAGCACTACGAGGACAAGAAAATGCACGGCGAGGGCTCACACATGTACCCCAGTCTGGCAGACGAAGGGAGCTACTACGGCCAAAAGAGGTCATTCCAGCCAATGCCGAAGAAGACGGCCGAAATGGCGACGTTCAACTCGGCGCCGGCCGTCGACATCAACAGCAACGTCTTCGCCGACAGGGACTACGCACAGATCAAGGCCTCGTCCGGTGGCAGACAAAGGGGTGTCGACCTCGGCGCAGTGCTCAGAAAGGCGCTCGTCCAGAAGTTGGACAAAGTTCAAAACTCTTAATTCAGTGAGCAAAACGTAATTTGGTTTGGTGGTAATTTATTTGATGTATTTATTTGAAGATGTGAAAATATAAGTTTTTTTTTATTGAAAAGTCAATTATGAGTAAGTTTACTTATGTTAATTATACTCAACATATATGATATTAATGTATAATTATTCCGTTTGGATCATTCCTACAAATAATGTTAGTAAATTAATTTTTTCTGTGCTTCTATAATTTTTTTTTTTAAGTTAATCAATAATTATTATTTTGGCAAAAATGTCAGCCTGAAATTAATATTAGTAAATTAAAAATGAGGATGTCATGCAGTTCGGGTCAGTTTAACCCAGTATGACCGTTAATGTAACAGTTTCGGTCAGTAGCGTCTAGCGTCGCGCATAGTGATTTTGTGACAAACCTAATAATTTATATGCAAAATTTCATAAAAATCGAGTATGCCTTATCATTTGCTAACCAGCTACCGCGCAGTAGTGACGTGAGGGAGTTGAGCAGCAAAAATGAGAACAAGTCGAGTTTTAAAATTTGTATTTTGTGCTATGTTGATAACAAGTATTGTGCAATTATCTAGTGCTGCAAACAAAAAAATCTCCGGCTTGACTGAAACATACCAAGATGCTGCAGTGCAGAAGCAGATTCACGGTAAATCAGGGTTGTCTGAAAACAAATCCCCACTAACTGTTCCAGATAAATTGAAACTTAATCAACCAAACTTAAAAAAAGAACCATGAAATACTAACTAAGATATTTTAATTTTATTTTTACTTTTCTCGACAAGTTCCCTTTTTTAACAAATTTGTTTCAAGTAAAAGTTTCAATACTTTTCTGAATTTTGAAGACTCAATACGGATGTTTGTGTTACAAATCAAATAACTTGATATTTTGGTAACTTATAATTAGATTTGTACACCAAACACTTTTCTACTCATTTGAAGATGAAAAATTTGTCGATTTTTTTTTTTATCAAATTAATGATTTTCTCGATTAAAATTTATTTAAACTTTTTTATATACATTGCTAAAGAAAATAATGCATACAAAACAATTGAGACTTTTAGGACGACTATAATGCCTAGAAATTACATGATACTTATTGGGTGGCTGGAATGATTGTTTTAAATTAACTATATTTTTAAAGGAAATAATTAATTGGGTTATTTAAAAATAATTACATATTTTGAATTACTGAAATTAAACCCTTAATTAATTTTTGAATATTAAATTAAATTTATCAGTTTATTTTTGAAAGGATCGCGGGATCAATGTATCTTTAATTCCACCAGCCAAATTATTTGCTTGTTTAAACTCTAAAAACCAGATTTTTTCGATCATGTTATATAAATGTTTTAATTCTGAAAGTTCAAGTATTTTCAAAGTATTTTTAAATGAAAAATACGAAAAATGCAAACCATTTATGTGACAATACGTCCCATTTGCCGCTTTTTTAAGAAGGTTGGTATTGTAGGTTGGTAGGACTGGATTTGAGGATTTGTTTACAAATAAATATTTTTTGGAATCTTGGGTTACTTTTGCTTTGCGGCCAAATTTGTTTATATTCGGATCTCCAAATCTACTTGACATCAAACTGTTGATAAATCAAAGTTTTCAAAATGCGGAAACGGATGCAAGTCAAATACAAAGACCGAAAGTTGATTGTCGCCTACGAACAGCAGACGGGAAACAACGAATTCTTCACGTTCAAAGTGGCCCTACAGGTACATTTTTGTCCGAAGTTTTTGAAAATCTGACTCAAACAAATTTTTTGCAGGAGGTACTGGAAGAGGACACTCTTTTTGTCCAGAAACTAGACTCCCATTTTCCAGTGGTGGAATACTTTGACGACGAGTTCGAAGAGTACTTCGAACTGAACCACACCTGCACCATGCCACCGTCAGGCTCGGTCCTTCACCTCAAATTCCTTCCCAGCAAGGAATCAAAGTCGGAAGACGAAGATGAATCTCAACAGGTTTTAAAATTTGCAATCATCATTCTAAATTTAATTTTTAAAAATAACTTTCAATTAGCAGGTGATCGAAGGTACTTCAACTTCCTGCGACTTTCAATTTGAGCCTCTTGAACCAATCATCAAATCAGAAGCGACAGCTGCGGAGGTAAAAATAAATACTTTTAACACATTGAGTGTCCCTGAAACCCTTCAAAGTATTTTTATAATTTTCCAATCAAAACCGTTTAAATCTATGGTGCAAAAATATGTTTGTAGGGTTCATTTTAGATTATTTGAATAATTTGCTCTGATATTCCATCCATTTTTATACTATTGAGAACTATTTAAATTATTTTTTTAAATACTTACATTATATCTTTTTTATAAATTGAATTTCCAGCTATAGACATTTTTTAAATAAATTTATTTTTATTTTTAGTACAATATCTGTGAAAGCCCTCCTAAGCAAAATGAGATGCAAGTTGTTGGGAGCACCAATCAGAAGGAGAAAGATCAAACTGAGCAGCCGTCGACCAGCCAAAAGAAGAGAGCCCACCATAAAAAAACTCCCAGATTCACCTTTGACAATGTCAAGTTGCCTGTATTCTCACTAATGCTGAAGGAGTACATTGACCAAGGTCTGTTGACACCTACGACTCCGATCTTCGTGAAAGAGGTTGCCGAGCATTTGTGGGCCCTTGTCAAGTACCCCACCCCCACGGAGTACACAATTTACAGTAAAGCGCTGGTCGCCAAGTACCCGGGAGCCGGCATGTACAATCCAAAGACTGGTCAAAACCATGTTTGTACTAAAGCAAATTGTTTCGTGCAGTTTTGACTAAAATTTTTAATTTAGGACACACTGAAGAGCGCCATTTCAGGCAGAGTTAGAAATATGAGACGCACGAGAAACAGAAAACCTGCCTTGTACAGCAGAAGCTGGACCGGCCCAAGGCTTGACAAGTAAGATGAAAATTTCACAAAATGAAATTGTTTATTTTTTAAACTCTTAAGTAGGAGCACAAAATCCAATACTGGAATGAATTGTAACCCTGAAACAAAGGCAACTGATGATAGTGAACTGGAAGAAGATTTTGGTGAATTTATCGGCAGCATGATGGACGAATGAGTTGTTAAAAAGTAATTTTCAATTAAAATATTGATATTATTTTTGATGCAATAAATTTTAGATTTGTCTGGATACGTACAAAATGAGAACTTAAAAATGATATATTAATAATTCTATCGGAGAGAATTGTGATCAACTGATTTTACTTCTAGGTAATTCAATTTAAATAAAGCAGCGAGTTATAAATCATAAACTGCTCCAATAATGATATATCTCTGTTAGAAATTTAAAAAAAAAATAATAAAAATCATGAAAATTTGTTACTTGAAAAGTTTGAAAATAAAAAAATAAAGTTTAATTTCATTTGAGTATAGATTTCATCAAATTTTACTAAAGGAAATCTGAAGACAACCTTGTCAGTGATAAAAAATGTAGAAAATTTACAAGAATCATGCACTGGGATTTGAATCGATGCATTTGATAAAAGTAAATTTCCTGAATGTCAAAACTTTTGACTTTTAATATTATAATTATAAAAAGGGTAGAGTTCATGCATTGTAGCTCTCAATCTGCATATGCACTGTAAGCACTCTTTATCCAAGTTGATAAAATAGAACTGCGATGAATGATCAGCCTTGAATAGAAAAGTTTCCTACAAACTCCCAGTCTGAAATAAAAATTATTAAATATTCTTCAATGTCTTTTGCTCTCTCTTAGGGACTGATTAGTAAACATGTCCACATTGGCAACATTGCTTTGATTGCTTGGACCATTATGAATACTAGAGTACATAAATTCTAGTATAATTATAGTTCCATTCGTTTTGCAGGGGTTACTTAATTTTTAATACTACAGATTGCTACAGGTCAGCCTGCTGACGGATGTTCGAGAAGTGAAAATTGATTTTGTCTGACTACTCAAATTAGCTCCTCCGAAGACTTAAAATTTGCATCATTACAGCAAAAGTGAATGAAAATGTTATAGTTTTGTAGAATTCTGCATGCATTTGAACCTTATATTAAATTAAATAAATAAAAAAAAAGTACGAAATTTTGTTTCCATTGCTCAGAAAAATCCTAATTAATTCCATAAAAACTGCATTTTTTTAAAACCTCTTTCTAATTGGCAGGTCGCTTCATGGACATCTTTCTGTGGCCGCTGAAGAGAGTGTGGCGAATTTACGTAATCCGCAAAATTGTACCGGCCCTCCTCGGCGCCAAAGTGGCCTTCCTTTGGCCCACCCTGTTGATCCTGGTCGGACTGCTCGAAAGCGCCCTGGCTGGCCTGATGTTCTTCTACATCTTTTACGCCTCAGCCGTGTCCCTTCCCTCCCCTCGGATCGACCTGCCATTCGCAAAACCTGCAGCTGCATTCCTCCCCTTCGAAAGCACCACCCCAGCGGCGCAATACTGGTGGTACCAAGACGAGCCCACTGCTGAGCCGTACAAGACTATTTTGCAAGAAGACATCGAGCTAATGCAATCTGACACTGAGACTCATCAGAATGAAACTGAAAGGGAGGGAGGGTGGGTTCGGAGGGCAACAGACAACCCGCAGGTCACTTATTACTCGGCATATGCAAAACCTGCCGTTAAAAAATTTGATAACCCCGGAGCCTAACTTTGATAAAATTTTTTGTTTTCTGGAATATTTTACTGTGAAATGAGTGAAAATAAACATATCAACTAAATAATTTCTATAAACTTGTTCCGATTTGTATCTTGAATTCTTGGATATTTATTTTAGTTCATCCCATTGCCCTTAAAAATTTTAACAAAATTTTTGTTCCAAGGATAAGAAAATTAAAAATTCACGCTTTAAAAAGTTTTAATTTTTGCATTTTTGGTTAACTTTTTATTAAAAAAACAAACCGAGATTTCCAATTTATTTCGCACGCTATTCAATGTAATAAATTTGAAATTAGTCCTATAAAAAATGGAATGTACTACATTAATTCATGACACTGCAAAAGTGTTAGGGCATTTCTAATAGATCTTTGGATTGAAAAATTGTTTGATACCCATATTTTTTTTAGAGATCTGGGCGGTCTGGCCGACTTTTAAGCAAAGTTATTGAGCTTTTCTAATTTGTATAACTAGGGCCGGTAATTCAGTCTACAAATTTTATGGAAATATTTGGTGATTGAAATAAAAATTAGCGCCAAAATAATTAACGAAATTTTCATTCCACCTTAATTACTGTGTAAGATGTGGCTTTTTAAGTTTGTAGCTGTGATGAATGGTTTGTTTTGATCAACACGTGTGATTATCATTTTATCAACCGCAAACTTAACCGACCGTTTAAAGCTTGTGTTTTTTTTTCTTACATCTGCCGCCGCAAATCGGCATTTAGCTTATCAGATTTATTGTAGTAAAAAATGCAAATATTGAAATAAATTAGGTCGAAAGTTGCTCCGATTCAAATGTGCGCTTTTATTCAATCTCCCCCTTCCGCCGCTTTTCACTCTTTGCTTTTCGAGAGCACCAGTAGCGGTCAGCTTGATCTGCTGCGTTTCAGTGCATTTCCTCCTTTTCTATTACAGGCGCACGCATCTCGTCAGAGAGTGAAGAAGAAGAAGCATGGAATAGTGGACTGGAAAAACAGGTGCAACACACAATCATAAAAACATGCGCGTTGACCAGCGAGCGTGAAATATTCATAACAATATAAATATGAAACGCAGAGAAAACTTATACAAAATTCTCCGAATTATTATGTGTTAATTCAAATTTGACTTGGATACTTTTTCTCCTTTGCATAAATAAATCATTTTTTAAATTATAAAAAAAAATATATTATATATAGGAATCATTTTAATTATAATTATTGGATCTTAAAAAATTAAATAATATAAAGGTTATTTATATTTTAAATAAAAATTTAAAATAATTTTGTAACTGTTTCATTAAAATAAAGTTATTCCACCGTAATGTCTCTCTTTAATGCTATGTCCAATTAAATGTGCATAGCTTCACTCTTGTTAAGCAAAAAAATTAGTCCAACCTTAAATATTTTTTAACAGGTAGCAGCGGTGCGTCTCGCGAGCGAGAGCGCACCTGTCGTTTTTAATATGAAAATAAATCGGCTGTCAAAGAAGCAGAACTAATCAACGCCTACATGTGCTGTCTTCCTTTGCTTGCTCATACCTCTTTGTGAACGGTCTATGGCATAAACAATGAACAAAACTCTGGAGTGCATTTTCTTATTCGCCTAGAAGTGAGATGTGTGGTGTAAAAAAATGCATTAAAAAAGATAATAATTTGTAACGCAGTGGCACGATTCTCTTTCTGCCCTAAAAATATGAATTCTCTTTTTGCATACATTTATAAGCGCTCGACTTTCAAAGCACGACAAAAAAGTATGGCAAGTAAAGGATAATCTATTTTTTTTTTATCTTAATAAGCATGAATTTAATAAATCAGCTAAAAAAATTACGTGTTCCTTTAATCTTTAATAACTACCAAAAAAAGAAATGAATCATATAAAGTTGGAATTATTAAAAAAAAAAATGGATTTGTGCATGACATGAAAAAAGATTCAAATATCCTTTTTAATTTCACCCCTTTGATATCTGTGAGGTCCATAGGGATAAAAAAAAAAAATCATTTAACATTTAGAGAGCCTTACCTTTTGAACTAGTCGGAAAATTTTGATTTTCCAGTAATTTTTTATAAATTTCTAGAAATAGCGGCATTGTTTACCATTTACAATTTAATATTAGAATACAGAACAATAAGGTTAAAATTTGGTCACAAAATCATGAAAAAATTTGAAGTGAGACGACGAAGAAAACTTTGTTTTAAATTACTTTCAATTTTCTACTGAAAAATTTTAGAGAAACAAAAGAGAATCTGATAATATATCAATAAACTAAAAAAAAAAGTGAAAGAATTAGCGTACTTAGCAATGGAGTGTGGGAATTTTGATTAAAAAATTCTCAAAAATAGCACAGGTGTATGTGAAAGAAAAAAAGAATTAACAACTTTTAATAAATTAATACCGCACCTAAATTAGTAAATAAATGTTGTGAAACGCAAAAGGCAAAAGTTATTGGGTAAGGTAATGAGTTGCTAGACATTTTATTGGAAAACAATGGTACAATCAACAAAGAATTCAATGCAACCGAATAAGTCAGTAGGTCGACGAGCACCGAAACAGTCGCGCACGTGCTTTGACCGCCCCATGGTTTATTTTCTTTTCAAGTCTGTCATTTCCGTCTCCGAGTCGCACACACGAGCCGTACAATAAAAATATAATTTCCATTATTCAGAGCGCGCTGGACCAAAACTGTAGCGGTAGTTTTTATTCAGCGTAAAAAGCCTAAAAATGCTATACCGTACTCTCGCAAGGACAATTGATAAATTATTATGCGTGCACAAAACGAGACGCTGCCGAAACGCTTAATTTGCAAACGGCCCAGATAAAAGTGACACAGTGGCATACAAAAAATTATGAATATTAAAAAAGGGTGCAGTGATTGACGCGGAAAGAAAATTGCTCTTCGCAACTGTTCCCTTTTTAGTTTTTATATACAAAATTCAATAATATCATCGTTTCTTCCACAATTGAAATTTTTTCAAAATTGCAAAAAAATATCTGTAAGCAGTTTTCCATTGTGAATCATTGGCCGAAAAATTAAATATTGGATATACTGAATCTACTCTCAATAAAAGTTGATTCCAAAAGGCTGCTGCAAAAAGCAGAGATATTACATTTATTTTAAAGTTTGCAAAAACAGCCACACTGTGATTGATATGAATTTAATAGAACCAAATTCATGTCACAAAATCAATTTAGCACAATAAAATTAATGGATAACTTGACCTAGAAATTTTCATTTGAGCTTATGGTAAACTTATTCTCTTCATTTTCACGATGAAGGGTTGATTCATGGTGATATTGATAAAGTTTAATTCAAGTTGGCCTCGATAGGCTTTTGAGTCACTTAAGTGTAACATTTTCTTTCTACAAAACAGTGAACGACTCAAACAAACCCAACAAAGAAAACTGGAATTAAAATTCAAACACTATTTGAATTCTTTAGAAGAACGAAACAAAAAATTTGAAATCAATATCCGGCCAGATGGTGGCAAAATAGTTTACGGAGTTGTATTCAGTCAAAATTAACTCCTCTCTTAATGTCATTATCTGGATTATCTGATATAGCCTACTCATGAAGGAAAAAAAACATATATTTATTTTTTTTAGTTATTGAATTTTCGGAATTTTCATTCAATTATTTCAAAAAAATTTAGAATGACAAGTGAAAATAATAAGAGGAAAAAATTAAATTGTAGCTTGAATTGCAAATATGTATTTTTTTAACACGTTTGGACATAAAACCTATGAGCCTCTGTTGACTTTTTAGTTTTTTTAATTGTCACTCAATCACCTCGGTCAATCAAATTGTGGTATTCGACAATAGATTAGGCAATTAAATTATAGTTTAATTATATATGAAGCAACAAACCAAAATAAATCTTTTATTCATTCTCCATTCTTTATCAAAAATATTTTCTAAAAAATTCCACAAAAGTTAGAAGAGATAAAAAAGTATAATCACGATTCACCTATAATTTGGTGATCTAAATTCTCTTAACGAATTTGAAAAGTGTTGATGTAAAATAAATTCACTTCATCACAATCATCAGCCTACATATCTGACAACAAACGATAATCAACCGAGCATTGTGTAAAAAAATTACGCTACATAAAGAAAATAATAATAATAATAATAATAAAATCACACACATGCCGGTGATAATGATTGGAAGCGGGAAAATCAGACCATAACTCGCCGCGCGCGCGAATTAATGGTGACCACAGCTGTCGCGTGCATGTCTAGTGGGGGTGTGCGTTACCGGAGGCGGCGCCTCCGCCGCCTCCACTTTATAAAGAGCGACGCGGCGCCGTTCGAGGTCGTCTTCGCCTCCAGCCATGCAAACCTGTTTAATCGCGCTACTGCTCATCGCCGCCGCCTCGGCCGCCTCCACGGCCTCCAAGGCTGACAATGGCCTCGCCGACTTGATGGTCAGCCTGGCGAGGGGCTGCGGCCCCCAGGCCGACGGGGCCCCCGACTGCCTCCGCGCCCTCAGCCGCTCGCTCTCCCTCAACCTGGACAAGTGGCGCGCCAAGGACGTGCACCTCGGCGACTACGTCGTCCTTGCCGCTGCCCCCGACGCCTCCAGGACACCCAGAACTTTCAACCTGTCTGGAGGTGGCACTACCTCCGACTACCTCAACATGATCACAGAGTTTCTGGCGTCGAGGACACTTCAGGTGCGCTTCCCCAAGGAACTCGTCCCCGCCAACATTGAAGAGGGTGAGAAATTATATAATCTATTTTCAAAAATATTAATAGTTTTGAAATTGGACAGAATCGTAGCTATCATCTTATCTTAAAGAAAAATAGAAAAAAAATAATGCAATTTGAGCTAATTTTTAATGCACAGTTTTGGTAAATAAAAAGGAGAAATTTAAAATAAGGTGGAATCATTCAGCCTTTTTAGTTTTCAATATTTACAATAATTTTTATACACAAAGACATTAATTGGTTTTGATTATTAAGTGATCAACAGATCAATAGAGTCAAACTGTTTGAAATTTTTTATTTAATCAGAAACACGATATATTTATTATAATTTTTTTGCCACATTTTTAAAGTCACATTGTTCATAATTTAATTTATTTTTTCCAAAGTAAAGTAATTTTTTTCATCACACGATAAATCACATTTTTTACTGGCTATTGATCGATTTTTCCCATTGTTGTAGAGTCGTGTTAATTAAATAGTTTATTTGATAGTGTCAGGTAAAAAATAAGCTGCGCTATTAGATAATTAAAAAGTTTGAGTGTTCTTATGTCATATATCTGCATCTTAATTTTTTTTAATCTTTAATAGTTCAATATTTGTTAAAAAAATATTAAATTAAAAAAATATTCTGATAATCATTTTAAATTTTAACAATTATATCCTTTTTTAACTTAATAACAGCTTAGTTGCTTCAATAAAGTTATAATTTCAAAGCTACTCAGTCCACGTTGATCTATTTTCCATTCTGCTAAATTTACGGTTTTTCTATTCATCAGAAAAATTAGTCTCGCATTGCTTATTCCTTTTGACGTCAGCAAATTATTAGTTTAACACACTAAACGTAATAAAAAGGGATGCGTATACTTGTCTGTTTGTTTGTCTATTTACTGAAGCGAAAAGGAGGCAGCTTTTAAATAATGAGCACCTTCCAAGCATTCGCTGCGTGCAGGCGTCACGCTCGGATCGCCAAGTAGCGCCTGCTGTTTTTTAATCCGCAACCTGCTCAACAAGGACGTTCTGCCAGTTGCATACCATCCAGTTTATGATTATAATTTTGTTTATTTCTACACTTTTTTACGGTTAAAACATCCACAAAATTAAAACACCAAAAGCAAGAATAAAAAATCATTAAAAATGATTTAAAATTCTAAATTAAGTTTGATATTTACTGAGCTAAATTTTAATTTTCGTTTTTTTAGCAAGGGGTAAACTGAAGAAGATGGGCGGCACCCTGCTGGCCGGTCTGATGATGATGAAGGGCACGTTGGGCGCGTTGGCCTTTGGCGCCCTGGCCCTGATTGCCGGAAAGGCCCTGCTGCTGTCGGTGCTCGCTCTGACCCTGGCCCTGATATCCGCCTTGAAGAAGGTCAGCTCAGGTCACCACAGCGATCACCGCCGGTCCGGCCGACGGGCCGACGAGGAGAGCAACGAGTGGATCGGCTCGGCCACCGTCGCCTCGGAGCACAAGGGGGGCGTCGCTGCCACGGCCCACTATTTGGCCTACAGAAACCAACAGCCCTACGAGTTCAACAAGTCGTGAAGAGCGTTAAATCGGTTTAATTAATTTATTTATTTATTGGTAACAAAAATTTTGGTGCTTGTGTGAGCAAAAGTGGTGATTGTTGTAATTTATTATTTTTCCAAGCTCAATTTATTCTACTAAAAAAAGTTTATAAAACAACTTTAAACTGTTCTCAAAGCGATTTGTGATGGAAATTAGTTTTATCAAATTGTTTGAATTTTTCCTGATTCCAATGAAATTTTTACCTTGTTGACAAAGTTAAATCTAGTTTTTACAACAATATGCGCCATTTTAGGCAATTATTCATTATGCTATAGCAATTGGAAATTTTAACATCGTTGTTGTAAACACTTGATTTGACATTTTCAATAAGGAGTTCTTAATTATTTTCTCTAATTTAATTCCTTCTTCTTTATCTTTTTATTCCTTGTACTTTTTCTATAAAAAAAACCCCACCAAAGATTTCACCATTTCTCACTACTTTCTTGTTCAATTTTTCTGAATAAAAATAAAACTCTATGATTTATATTTAATGAAAACCACCGCATATCATTTACCATGTTTACATTTTATTTTAATTAAAGGGAGATGAGCAGCTGCATCTCCACTGAGAAATTCGTTTCACGCACTAATTGCGGGCGCAACAAAAGAAATTTAATTTGCTGTTGTTGGTTCATTGCCGACGACGGTCTACATTTGTGCTTGACTGAGGAAGCGCGCGTCCGAACCGCACGCGCCTCCAGAAAATAAAAAGTAAAACGACCAAATCTGGATTAACTCATCAATCAATTCGCCCAGAGGCGCATTTGTTCATTTGATCCCGTTGATCACGCGACTCTATTTTTAAATTAAAACTTCCTTGTTTGATGTGTGTCAAAAATGCCTAGAAATACGCGAAAAGGGGCGAACCCAAAATGGGATGGGTTTTGATAATAGTTGGCTAATAGGATCGATTTTGAAACGCCGTAACGGGGTTCACACCGAAATTGGGCCATTCCGGATTCATTCTAATTTGGTGCAATTAAATCGAGCCTCTTTCTTGGAATTCTCGATGTGCGGTGTCATTAAAACTGTAGCGTCTCAATTCGTTCCTCAGCAATCGGCATTTTTGCACAAAAAAGAAGTGCCCGGAGAGTAAGACAGGGACTAATAAGACTTAAGGGTATAACCGTTCAACCAGTTAAAAGATTTTGTCGTTTGAATTAAAAATTTACAAGCCAGAAAAACTACATTAAACTAAAGCATAATATTGGACCATAGCACACTACTTTGGAAAACTGTTAAAACGGCTATTTATAATATATTATGGACAAGGATATTACAGGTTTTAAGATAAAATGTTAAAATTTTAAATTTTATTTTAATAAAATTTTTATAGAATACACTAATTTTGAATCCTTATTTGAATTTATAAAACACATGTTTATTTTTATTTATTTTATATTATTCATAATAAAAATTGATTATATAACTCTGGTAAAGAAATTTCAAAATGTATTTAATGTTCAATAAAAAAGAAACATTTTGATTTCTTAACAAATTCTATAGCTGTGGTCGAAGTATTAACACGTAGGAATTAATTTAAATCTTTAAAAAAGAACGACTTTTTCAGCTCTAATTGTAAAGTAAAAAATGCCACCATAATTGAAAAAATAAAACACTTAATTTTAGATTGTGAAGAAAACCAAAGGTTATAAATGTAAAAAGTTTTAAATTTTAATCCAATGAGTAAAAAGAGTCTTTTTTATTTTAATTGTCTTTGACTGATAAAAATCAATGAAAAAATATGTAGGAAAAATTTACTTTCAACAAATTAATTGTGATGAAGAGTAAAACTTTCAACCTACGCTCAAAACTTTTCTCTCCTAGAGTTGAACTTGTTTAGCCAGTTTTATATGTACTTTTTAAGTGATTGATGATTAATAGTGTTGCCCGCCCACCAGGGCTCTCATGCAAAACAGGCAAAAACTGCGAATGAAATTTGCGGAAAGAGGAGAGAAAATATGAAAGTAAAACTCGCGGACGAAATTTTGGACTGGATTGGCGCGCGCCGGTTTCCGGCGGGCGCTTCATTGAAAAAGTTCGGATTCACTTTCTCCTTGTTTGAAATTCGTGCGCGCATGAATTAGCAGCCGGAGATGCTGCTGGAGCCTAACCTAAATATTTATAATCCCGCGCAGACTTGGGACGAATTACTCATGAAAAAAGACTCCAGACCAGTCCGGCTGGTTGCTTTACGATTCGGCCTCGGGCTAATTGACGAGAGCAATGAACGAGATTTGCTATTAAAAATTGTGTCGCTCTGCAATTAGTGCATTCTCCGTTTCGTTCGCTCGCATATTTCTTCCAACTTTCTTCCACTTTGAAATGCGAAAAACGTCCAAAGAATTCTAGAGATAAAAGCACTTTCTAGGAGCTGGAAAAATTACAAAAATAATTATTTTTACCTATATAAAAATAATATAAGTTCCATCCACCTTATTCTATTTTTTACATAATTTGAGCAATTAATTTAAACAAAATGTAAAAGAGGCTCCAAAAGATGAAGAAATGGGTCAGCTCTGATGATAATCGCCCGGAGACAAAACACTAAAACTTTTTGTTAAATTTCAACTTACTATAGATTTTTTTGTTCTGATGCAATAAATTAAGTTTATACGTAAGAAACAATATTAAAATGTGAATTTCTATTCATTTTACACAAGTTTCAAATTTTTGTTAAATATTTTTAATTGCTATTTAAAAAGTAATTGTATAAATATGTACATATTTAAAAAAAAATCCAATATGTACCACTAAATCTTTTTTTTTAAAGAAGTATTAAACTTTCGATATCTGAGCTATATTCCTGATACCATGTATTAATAAAACTTAATCAATAAACGCCACATGATTGATTAAAATTTTTCAGCAGAATCAACTTTTTTAATGATTTTATATAAATTTTTTTCAACCTTACAATAAGACATCAGATGAAATTATTGCTCACCGTTCATCCTTCTAGTATATTTTAGATTTCGTGTTCCTTAAAATGAAGACGAAAAACCACCGCAAGTCACGCCGTGGGCAGCAAGTTAATTAAATCTCGTGGAATCCGGACTGGGACAAGTTCACCACGCGAGCCTAGGAAATTTATTCGCGGTCCATCTCTGAATTACTGTCACTCTAACCTAATTAGAGCGGAATTCCTCCAGTTCATAGAGAAATCTACATTATATGGAATAAATAAAATTTTCATAAATAATTGAAGATCGTGAAAAAGCCCCGTATTTTAAATTTAAAATGCAAAATTAATAAATAAAAAGAGCGCATAAAAAGCTTTTTAAACCAAAACATTCTTGCTAAATAAATAATTGATTGAAATTGAATTTATCATAAGAATGCACACAATTTTTCATTTTGGGTATTAATAAAATTTTAATGCTTGATAGCACTTTTGATCACTTAAAATTCGCTGGAGAGAATTAATATAAATAAATCAATAAAAATATGCCTTTATTTTTAATCCAATTACTAAAACTACCATTAAAAAATTGTAAATAATTAAAAATAATGGCCAAAGGTAGTTTTATGAAAAACAAATAATTATAAATAATAAATTCCAACGTTTGTTCTGCACCCATCTTTTGGAAAATTTGGAGAGGAAGATCCGGCCAAAATTGGAGGATGTGGGAAGCGAAAAAGGGCATACGCCACCGCTCGCAACTTTCTTTCACAAACAAAAGTCTCACGCTGCAAAAAAAAAATAAAACAACGGACGGATCAAGGAAGAGATAAAAGAGAAAACGGATCAGAAAATCCGAACCAAGAACAAAGTTTGGGCGTCGTCGGCCGAGCCACACACATAAAAAAGTAATTTGCATTGTTTCTTTGTTCGGTCGATTTTAACTGAATAAGTTGTTGACACAAATATCGCGATGAGGAATTTGTACTTTGTTGCAAAACCCGTAACTGTAAATCCACCAACGGCCGATGTAACGCGGTGACTAAGAGTGCGCGCTGACGTCAGCCGGGGATCGTCCGTCGGTCGCATGCACTTTCCTATTACACAGCGCGGTGTACATTACACGCGAGTAATTACTTTCACTGCACTCGACGTTCATTCATGCCGCGCGCCGCAAAACTCGCTGCAGCCACTTTTCCCGCATTGATCTTGAACTCGCACGCTCTCAGCCTATACCTTGCACTTGACTCTGCGCTACGCCAAACACCAGACTCGCCGCGCAAAAAGCTCTCACTTTCGTCAAATGCTTGAGAGTAAAATTGGAAATATGAAAATTACACTGATCTAAAGCAGAACGTATGAAAATATACAAATTGAAGATTATAGTTTTTTTTTTAAAAATCTGAAATTTTCTCAAATTTTTTTAGCAAGAATCGTTCAGAATTATGTCATTCTGATTAGAAATTTGTGAGATATTTCTTCTAGATTCCTGGAGTGTTGAATGCTTAAGGATTTTAAAGAATATTTAAGGATGGTTTTTTTTTTAAGATTGCATGATGTGCATAAAAAATAGTGGAAAGAAAATTACAGCAAATAGAAAAATGGGGTTTGCTTGACCTTTTTTGACCCACTGAAATCATTTAAAGGAACAGTTTTGATTTCAAAACAATACGCAACAATCAAGTAAATAACCTCATTTGATCAGAGCACAAGCCCCTCCTTAATTTTTTTTTTAATTACAGTACCATGTCTTCCTTGAAATCGTCTGCCAGTCTATAATTGAGATACTTTAGATGAATCAATATGATTATGAATTTTTATTTAAAATCATTAAATCAAACAAGAAATTAAATATAATTTGAGAACGATCAAATTATTTTCTCTTTTTTAAATTCATATATTAATAATTACATCACTTTAAATTGATTTAATTGTGATTAAAATTTTTAATTATCCTAAAACGTGAAACGTAAAACATCTTCATTAAAATTTGGAAATTTGCGTGGAATTTATTCCAATTTCTCTTAATGAGTTGTAAATAAACCGTAACACTATACGAAGTTTTCCTCTTCTTCTCTGCTCTGCACACTAATCATTGCCTTCCAATGCATGCAGCATTTTTCGCAGTTATCCACCAATCATTTAAAACGCGTGAAAGGATGTACAATTAGCTAATTAAGCGCCACACACGCACTGCTTGAACAATATAATTTATTGTGTGATGCTCGGCGCTTCTGAGCGTAGACGATTTTCAGCAGAATTCATTTACTTATGAGATCAGTAGGTCAAAAAATAAATTCCAGCCCGAGATCAATAAAGAGGGACGCCACTTTATGCAAACTTTGTTTCTCCGCGCGCAAATTCCATTCCATCTGGCAGCGGAGGAAAAAAATTAACAGTTCAACAGATAAATAAAGAAGAAGGCGCACCCCTTTCTTTCTTTCTTTCTGTTTGTGCGGCGCGTAACGAGAATGTTGCATGCGTAACAATCGCAGTCTCGGGATAATCCTCAGGTATAATCTCACCTGCTCACGTGCTCTCTCAGGTGGATATGCGCGAGAGCGGCGCAAGGTCGACTAACGGCAACACAATCAAAAATCTCCTGCTCGAAACTACTTTTGGGCCACGTTGCTGGACCACTATGATTTATGCGCTGCGGTCGGTCTTTGTGTCACTGAGACACACATAAATATCAAAAGACCCATCCTCGTTTTGTGACGCAATTTCAGCTTTTATTTTAATCCAACACTCTTATTGTAAGCTCAAAACTTACATTAAAAATTTGAATTTAAATATTATTTTTTGTTTCAATTGATTGCGCAATAACGTATTTTTCCAACTACTTTAAAAAATTAATAATTAATTGATTTTTACTTAAATGTTTGTATATTTATTATTTTTAACCGTTATTATACTTGTAAAATGTCATTTTTCAAATAGCGGCAAACACCCCCGACGAACACCAGTTTGAAATTTTAATTCCAGACAATTTGGATAAATTTAATTTATGATAAAATTATAAATTTTGCTATTAGTTTACATATTAACACTAAATATAATTATAGAATTGTGGAAATCAGTATCTTATTTTTTAATTTGAATGGGTGTTGTGGAGTAAAAAGAATAAATCGTCAGAATTTCTAGGGACATATTTTGTCATGAAAAACGACAAAATTCAATTTAATTAAAAAAATTGTTCTTATTCTTCAAGGATCAAAACGTAATTTTCACTGAGCTTTTTCAAATTTTAAAAAGGTATTGAAATATTTTAACCTGTTATTTTCAACAAAGTATCAAAAAACAGTAATATTTTGTGTAAAATTTTACAAAGAAATTATTGTTGTTAATTTGTCCACCTTGTTACACATTTTTTACATTCAATTGTTGAAAATGCTTTATTTAAAAAAAGGAATTGTTAGACAAAATTGCACCAGCAATAGCAAGAAGTTTGCTAAAACTTCTAAGATCAAAAAGACCCCATCTGCCGCAGTTTATTTACTTTCACAAATTTTAGTCAGAATCAACTAAAACTAAGAAATATTTGAAATCGTTTAAAGTCTGAAGGAAAAAAGACATTTTCTAAATAAACAAATCACTGAATTGAAAATTATTCTTATAATATTTGATTTTTGTCACGTTTTTCTTTTTTAAATTTTTAATTTTTCCCAATTTTTACTCATTAATTATTAAAATACAACCTAATAAATTTCAGTTTGCGATAAGTGCAGGTGAAATTGGCAGGTGCACCCCAAAAGTTTTGTGTGCCACGATGAGAGTGGACACTGTTAAAACTGTAGATACAGAAACAATTAGAGATAAATTTGGGCCAATTAAGCCAAATTCAACCAGGCGTGCATTTCTAGAGGTGCAATATAAATTTATACGCTTTTTAAAACTCGGCCGGTGCGATACACAGATATGGCCCGGCAATCATCAAACGCACAATAGAAATCGGCACGCGGCGAAATCGGACTTGTTTTAAAAACGCAGACGGAAAAAGAATTCAACGTTATTCAAACAAAAGCAGCAGCACAGAACATACAAGGGTGCACATTATGATGTTTGTTAGGCAGGTCTCTAATTGCACTTGTCAACAGCATCTCTCGGCGGTTTCTCGGCCTGTAGGTCACCGCGATTGGTTAGTCAACTGCAGTACAGCTATATAGCAGGAAGGCAAAAGTGTCTTTGCGATGGCGATTAAGACAAAAGGATGAGTCGCTTTTCCGTTGGCACCGATCTCTCATTCCGCCAATTATTGTATGCAAATGCAACGAGAATGGAAAGTGCATGAGTTTTAATTGAATGAATGAGACGCACTGTTCCAATTCCGATCGCTTTGTTCTTCTTCAATTTGTGCGAATTGCAAGGTGAATACGGAACGATAAATTAAATTAATTTCTCAAGCAACTCATTGAAAAGCCCGGACTTGTCTCTAAGTGTACTCGAGCTGTATGAATCATTTGAGAGAGTTGCATATGAAACGCGTTTGATTTTTATTCATTTATTACCCATTCATGTCACATCTTGTCACACATAAAAAAATTAATCAACAAGTAATCAGATTTTACTTTCAATAAAAATTATATAAAATGAATAGAACTGAATCATTACAAAAAAAATAAAAAATTAACTAAAATAAACCTCACTTTTAATTATTAAAAAGCGATTCATGGTGATAAAGATTTATTACCTCCATGCAAGGTATCTGGAGGAAAACTGCTTTATTAAAACAATTATAGTCAAGAGGAATTTGCCTGTTTTTTAATAACTAAAAAGTTGTTTCTTGATAAAATTCCAGCTTTATGGCTCCATTTGTTTTTAGCACAAGCGGAGAAAAATTGTAGATTTTTGGCATTATTTTCAAAATTAGAACTACATCGTCCATTTGCCCTGAATATATTTACTTACAATTAAGCATAATTTTACTATTAATTTGGTCTATTCTAATTATCAAAATAAAAAATGAGAAATCGAACATGTCTATTCTGAGAACTACAAAAAGCTTTAAATTTATTCCAAATTAAGACAAATTTTGTCAATTTAAAAGATAGAATAAAAATTTACCAAAAATAAGACGTGCGTCTCTGTGGCGTGTCTGTCAAAAACAAAACTGAAGGTTGCTCGGTCGGTCGTTAAAATCACCGCACCGGAACTGTCAATTAAGGCAGCATCCTTGTCTACGATTTGATAGTAGCCCCCGCGTGGCCGCACGTGACTCTCGGCGTCGGATCAATAGAAAGGGAAATCGGCTCTTGTTGTTACGCACGCCATTCTCTCTTTTTCGGTTAGCGTCTGCCGGCGAGAGAAATTTCTCTCTCGCGTACACATCCTTCAAAAACACAATTTTCCCAGCAGGCCGTAACACCCAAGGAAGGGTTGCAGCGGCGCGTGTGTGTGTGCGTTATTCATCAATTCCCTTTCTTGTTCCGGCTTTCTCCGTCTGCAGGCCCCCACCTTGAGACGCACGGCCCCTCCCAGGTGGCCGGTCCACGGTGGGGACTCCAGGGTTGGCCGCCCGCCTTATAAAAAGCAACTGGCCACCTGATCGGCAATCATAATCTTTTAGTCTCACAAACAAAACGCACGAGTGGAAAAATCACAGAGAGAGCAGACATGAAGATGTTCCAGAGCTATCACTTGTTGAGCGGCCTGCTCGTGGCCGCCGCCTTCTTCCTCCTCACCGACGCTGCCGCCGTCCCCGAGACCTCTTCCGAATGGAAAATCGTCTCCAAGGTCCTCGATGACTGCATCTCCAAAGAGGTAGGAATTTTGAAAAAAATTTAAAAAAAAAAATCTAAATTTTGGACAATTTAGGAAACTTTCAACTGCTTGGGAGTGAAGGCCGCCGCCTTCATGCAGCGCGCCCAGCGTTCTGCGAACATCGAACTTGTCCCTGGTGTGGTCATCAAGAAGGACTCGAACGACGATTCTCGCGCCGGACGTGCCCTCAGCGAGGCCGAACTCGAAAACTCCCTTCCCGTTGAGGCCAGCGAACGTTCCGGACGCGTCTTCGACATGCTCATGGACGGCGCCGTCAACTTCCTCCAGAGCCACTCTCTTGAGGTCAAGCTGCCCGCCAGTGACATCGCCCGCTCCCTCGAAACCGGTAAGTCATTTTGAAGAAGAAAAAAATTATAAAAAATTAATTGATTAAATTTTTATTCGCAGGCCGTCTCAAGCTGAAGAAGACCCTTCTGCCCCTGCTGTTGGGAGGTGGACTCAAGTTCCTCATCCTGCCCCTGGCCATCGTCGCCATCGCCATCATGGCCTTCAAGGCCCTGGCCATCGGCAAGCTCGCCCTGCTCATCGCCGCCTCGGTCGGTCTGCCCAAGATCCTGAGCGGAGGTCTCGGCGGCATCTTCGCGCCCAAGACCAAGACCATCGAGGTCGTGTCCCACCCCGTCCACTCTGGCTTCTCGAGCACCGGCGCCGCCGGAAACACCTACTCGTCTGGTTTCTCAGCCTCCAACGGCTGGAGCCGCAACATCGACGCCCAGCAGGAGGAGGCCCAGAAGCTCGTGTACCGCGGACAGGCCCCTGCCGCCACCCAGCAGTAAATTTATTTTCCCTCCTGCGACCGCGTAACGGGCTGACCAAAAAGTTACGTCGCCGCACGGTTTTCCCCCCACAAGAGTCAACGCAATTGTTAATTTATTAATTATTTACGAGACGCGACGAGTTTTAATTTAAATTATTATGTTAAATACCTACACGCTCAGTCAGTGTTTATTTATTCTTTTTTAAATTATTTGAGACATTGTCACACGTCTTCAACCAAATAGTAGTTTCCTCTGTCCTTCCACTCTGTGAATTTGTTAGCGACTCTCTTCGTAGTGAACAAAAATTGTACACACATGTATGCAAAGTCTTTTCCTGTTTTTTTTTTCTCTCTATATTGTGAAATAGTCTGCGCGAATTTGCAGCGCACTCTGGTCGTTACCGTTGTTCATCTTTACAACTACTTCTCACCTCTCTACCGCAATAATAAAAAACATGAAAACATGATTTTACAGAAAATTGATCCGATTTTTCTTTTGTTACTTTTCCCTTTTCTGTTAAAAACCGAAAGTATGCAGGCGAATGCACGAGTATAATTGGAAAGTAAGAGTTTTATTCAAGCACGCTGACGCTGCACATTGCTGCATTATATTTTCATTTGTTTGATCTTTCTTTCTTTGGCGATTACGCGAGAGACAAATGTGGGCCAGCGTGGAATCCGAATGCCGTTCTTCAAGGCCCGCGGCGTCTAACGCAATTAAAACGCCACACCTCCGATCACATGCTGGACCGGCTCTTTTTCGATAATTATATACAAACATTTTTTCACAAAGTGCGACGCGCTGTAACTGTTCAAAGAAAGCAGGCGAAATTTGCCTGCGCACGATGGGAATCAGATGACCTCTCGTCGTTTGACAAAATTTGACCAATTATTGCTCCGGTTCTCAAACAATTTCTATGTAAGTAGCAATAACATAGAAGAAATAATATGCCATAATCATGGGAATCCGCACGCCAATTTAACTTGTGTTAGAAGCCAAAATTTGCGGGAAAACAAAATATTGCATTTTATTGCACGCAGTCTTATTAATATATATTAAATATTAAATAAAACTTTCTAAAATTTAACGAAAGATTTTAAATTTGAAACTCAAATTGATTTTTAATTTAAGGAACCATCGAAAAATTTCTAACGTTTGCTATTCCTAGAATAAAAATTATTATTTATTACTTTTTTAAATTGAATTTGGAAAATGTTATAAATATGTCGAGAAAAATGAACATGTTAGAATCTTGTATTTTATATTAAGCTCTTTTGTTAGCTTTGAAATTGAATGGTGTGGAAAATTAAAATTGTCCATCTCAATAACTCAAATAAATTCTTTCTATTTATAGAAACAATTTTGAGACTTTTTAAATAATAACGTGCTATTTTTTAATAAATTTCGACTGGATCCAACTTTTTGGTGTGGATTATTTAAGCAAAGAGATGGTACAAAAGCCAATAATATGATTTTAACAACTGGATGAACTTCAGTAACATTAACATGAATATAAAAATCAGAAAATTTTTTATTAGGAATAATATTTTTTTAAGCAAATATATTCCTTAAAACATTTTGGAATTTTATTTAAAAATTTAATTTCCAATTAAATTTATTTAAACGTCAGTTTTATAAAAGTGAATTGACATGAAATCGTCTGGAATCGAATAAAAGTGAAATTAGTCTGAATTCAAACTATAAGATAATTCCGCACTTTCAAAGCAAAATGCGCAGCGCGAAAGAGAAATGTGGCGGAGAAAAAAAGAGTACAAATTTCATCAGAAACTCTCGAGCTCGTTGGCCGCGGCTTTGTCGCCGCGCTGTAAAAAAATCAGGGTCAGGAAGGAAGAAACATCTTTGCAATCAGAGGCGTGGAATGTCGGCAAGTGCGCGCGTTCCGAGCAAAACAAGAAAATTCACACACGTCTCTCAAGGGGGGTAATGAGGTGGCCAAACATAGTCGATCGGCGAAGCGGGTCATTTCGGCCGCGGCGTCACCAGGTGGGTTGCTCGCTCACCATCAACTGTTATATCAGCCACGTGATCTCGACGTACCCAAATCTTCCCCTTTTGGTTCGGCAGCATCCAGTAGGCCGAGCAGATACCGTTCGCCAGCGCCTCTTCCTCGCCAGATTAGCATACATTCTTTTCTTGGTGACACATGTCCTCAAATCCAGCACCAGATTAAAAAAGTAAAAATAAACATGTGAATCTTCAAGGCGGAAAGTTTTGATTTTGTCCACTTTTATGTTAAAAAATTATGAATATGAAAATGAATTATTCCAATTAAAAGGTTTAACGGGCTCCTTATTATTGGCATCGGCAAATCAAGTGAAGTTTGGCGATTATTGTATTTTTAAATTTTCATTGTTTTAAACACTTGATTTGAATATGACAATAGCGGACAATAGGGAGTCTTTATTTATTAAAAAAAAAAAAAAACTAAAAAAAAAAATGATTTTACGCTGGAACTTAATTAAAAAACTTCTAGTACATATTTATTCCATTAACCTGTAAAAATCATTCATTTTCTTGGTTATAGTAAAGATAGTAAACAAAAAAAAAGCGCTTGTTAATCTCCTTATTTCCGTAAGTTGTTTTTTATTTTCTTGGTAATTGGTGCTGATCTTAACATGCAAAAGCGCGCTATATTTTAACTTTAATCATCATATTAAATCTTATTCTTCTTGTTGAAAACAAAAATGAAAAAAAATCTGCAAATAAATCCATGATTTTTCTTTGGAAATAATTAAAAAAATAAGTAAATAAAATCCCCCTTTTTTTCAGATTGTAAAAATTTACTAATTATTATTTTTAGTACATGACATGCGTTTAATTTTGCTTTAAATTTTCCAATTAAATGCAAATCACGTGTCTGGATTTGATTTTGGTTCCAAAGTCGTGGACGCGTGATTGTGTTAGGCCGCGAGTGAACAGTTGCAGCAAAGACAATGCACAGATCGGAATTCACGACTTTGCACCTATAAGAGCGCCCTCGAAAGGGTGCTGGCGATTTACTTGATTTGGACTCTGGTGCGAGCAACATGTCGTTTCCTGTCATTTGTGTGTTTTGTTTGCTGGTCCTTGCCCACTGCGACGCGTCCGACAAAATTTTCAAAAGCAACAAGTGCGGCGGCATTTGCGAATCAAATCACAAACATTCAGAGTAATTATCAAATCAAATTTTAATTGTAGTAAAAAATAAATACTTTGAAATGTTATACAGGAACCTCGGTAGAAAAACTGTAGATGAGCCTACTTCGGGGAGTACAATTTTAGGGAGAGGTGAGTAAATTTGTATATTTTCATATTTTGTTTTCATTAATTTATGATCTTATTTTAATAACATAACAAATTTTTAAATTTTATATATAAAAAGAATACAAAAAAAATTAATTAATAAGAGTCTGTGCTGTCAAAAGTCAGGCGATAACGAAACATGGGAGCAGCTAATTCTTGATATCATCAATTCTGAAGCTTCGAAAAACGGCACATGTCATATAAAATTAACAAAACCAATTTCCTAATCGCTCCGAATCCCGTTGGGGTCTTTTCCTCTCCTGACACGCCGCCGGAATAAGGTCACTCCGAACGCGCTTCCTCGACGGATTCCTTTGGTGGTCAAGGGCACGCATCTCCGAGCAACACTTTTGTTGTTGTCGGCGTCGCGCTTTCTTTTCTTTTCCTCTCTCGAGGAGTTTTAATCGTGTTCCCGGACCCATTTTGATTGGGAAGAAGGATTGCACAGAGAGAGCGCGTTTCCGGGACTATCAAGATCGAAAGTAATTGAACGTGGCCAACACGCGGAGCGCCGTGATTAAGTGTCAATTTAGAAAAGGCAGCAAAAGGACTTACAAGCTGTGAGAAAAACGCCTGTTGGATAGGCAAACTGCAGCAATATTTGAATTCTTTAAATTCAATTATTTATTAAAATATTAATAAATGTATTAGAGTTTTTGAGATGCAGTTTTGTTTTACAAAGGGAAATTCAAAATGTAATTTTGAGAGGAAGCATCCCGAAAGAATTTATAAACGGTAAAAAATTTGACTTTTACAGTTAAAAATTACAAAATTAATTTTCCCAGATAAAATTTAAATTAGGTTAATTATTTGTAGTGTTTATTATATTCCAATTAAATTGTAAATATACATTCAAAATTTAAAGTGTATTAACTTTAATTGTGCAATTTGTGCAGGTGTGCGCCCTTTTGACCCCATCCTGGCGCTGATTCTCGCCCTCCAGGTGAAGATTCTACTGGCCCTGCCACTGTTCCTGTTGGCCGCCGGCCTCATCGGCCTCAAGTCGTTGGCCGCCAGTCTGGTGTCGGCGTTCCTTTCGGGCGCCTCTCTGCTCCGTTCCTTGCTTCCCACCAGCAACAGCAACAACTCGAACCGACCTAGCGGCGCCTCCAGCAGGGTGGCCTACGAGGTCAGATCGGGCCAGCCACAACAGGACTTCACCCCATACGTGTACCCACCCAGTGCGCTCGGCGTCCTGCCCGCTGCCAGGCAACCTGACCTCAGGGTCATCAGCGCTGCCGCCAACAATTAAAAAATATTATGTAAAAAAATGTCTAACTTTAATTAAAATTATAACTTGTAAAATTAATTATGGAAACTTTGAATTTAATTGATCCGAATATAATTAGAATGTGATTTATATAAACTAAAAAGTTAATTATAGCTACATCAAAAAATCAATTTACAAAAGATGAAGCTTGAGATTATTGTGGAATTGTAAACAAAATAAAAATTTCTTTTTATTAGAGACTAAGCAACTTAAAGTATTGAATTTTTAAATTACATAAAAGATTATTTACATTTTATTGTTACCAAAAATTACATTTTCAAAAATTTCTTTGCCATGGAGTGCAATTTTGAAAAGATTTATTTGTCAGTATGCAAGGTAAGCAGAGTGACTCTTGAAAAAATGCCATTGCGGCTCATTGTCGTACTCTCGAGAAAAAACTGCATCATTACAATGAGATTCCACGCAATTCTTATATACAGATTTCAAGCCAAATTTTAGCAGTGGACCCTTTGAATAAATGTTGAAATAAAATTTAATTTATAATACAATTCTACGTTCTATAATTCTGGTTAAAAATTCATAAGTATTGAACTCACAAATTGATCTTTATTAAAAAAAAATTAATAGTCGGTATCCATTATTTTTAAGATACTATCGGATTATATCATATATTGCGCAAGGAAGTTGCAGTATAATGTTTGTTATGCAACCTTATTTTGATTTAAAAATTAAAAAGATATGAGTCGACCTTTCAATTAAATAGTTAAGATTTTGAATGTCATAAATTACTGGAATTACTGTGCATTTTTTTTATTCTGCTTTCCACTTTTTTAACCGATGTAATTGATCAATAAACGAGAGTCAATTAATATTAACATTTTCTACTTCTTTCTCCTACCTTTTGTTGCACGTCTCATTGTCAGTTTCACGCTTTTGCCTAAAGAGGGAGTACTTTTGCGTGCTTTGCTTCAAGATAAAAAGGAAGAAATTCTCTAACTGCGCGAATGAGCAGAAAGGTTTTCAAATACCATAGTTAAATAATTTTTTTTTCTTTTTAATACAAACATCGCTTTTTAAGCACGTACTCGTATCAAAAGAAGTACAACTTAGTATTGTTATGATAGATTTTTTTAACTTTTTTATTCAATATTTTGTCGATCACAATTACAATTTACAACAAAAATTGCTGAACTGAAAAATAAGATTTAAAAATAGCCCAAATATCTTGAAAAAATTACTTTAGTATCGCATGATTTTATATCAGTGACGTAATTTGTGAAGATTCTTTGCAAAAAATTAATTTTTTTCTAGGTCAGTACACAAATATGAAGCGATTTTTTGAAGTTGGGCCAGGCAAAAACTGAAATGTATTGGAAACATAAAAATTACAACATTATAATCCAATAAAAAATTTTGATACTGAAACTAAATTGATAAAATTTATGTTCTTCTTCCACGGTTCCAATTCGTCTTGCATGCAATAAAAGCAGACGCCAAAAGTATACATGCGTGCGTGCTTTGCATGACAATGAGCCGCGTACAATCACTCTCGCACGTATTTTTTCGTCTTGCGCATTGTCTTTCGAGAATCAAAAACAAAGGCTGGGCCGCGCAACAATTCAAAAAAGCGGGCCTCTTCCTAACAATGCGCGAGCGTTCGATTTTTTTGTTTCGAGCGGTATTTGGGAATGAGGGCAATCGCGCCGTGTACAAAGGAGAGGAGAAGAAGAGAAGATGTGACCCAGAGAGAGTCAGTCGCACTCGCATCCGGCTAACTGACCCACTTGCTATCCACCCAGGCACCTGCACACAGATTACTTTCAATTGCACCACTCACGTATTCACATCAATCGAAAATGAGCCAAAATTTAAATGAACAAAAAAAAATCATATCAAAAATTAAGTGAGCAAAATTTTGAAATTAAAAAAATCCAGAACTATACGAAAGTTCAAATTTGTTTCTTTTTCAATGAAAAAAAGCTGTGTGTTAAAATAAAAAGGAAATAATTGTCAGATGATAAAACTTTTTAGAGAAGAAAATGAATTAATTTTGAAAAGGTTAATGAAATAGGAATCAAAAAGTTCGGCCCCTAAATGTACAGTTGCTCAAAAAGCAGGAAGCAATAAAACGCGAGAGATAAAAAAAAATATTGGCCAGATTATATATTTGTTTGAAAAAACCAATCGTCTTCTGCTCTTTTACCAAACATGGAAGCGCGTGTGTATAAAAATAACGTTATTAGAGGTGCGTGCATAAATTAGGAGAGGAAAAGCGGCTAATCTCTGTTAGGCACTGACCTTTTCTCCGAAGCTGCTCCTCTCCGCCACGAACGCGTATCTCTCCCAAATATGAGTCAAGGATCAACGAACTCGCGACGCCTGCCATGTATGCAAATCTGGAAACGAGCGCGCTTCGCAGGTTGCATACCTAACAGGCGTTAAAAAAATTAGATTGATAAGAATTTCGTGCCTCGCTTTGAAATAAAATTCCGTGATTTTTCATTTTCATACTTTATAAAATCCGAAAGAATTTTCTCTCTATATATTTTCCTCCAGTTTTGTTTTATATAAAAAAGCATAATTTAGTTAATTTCAATATCAGCTATAGGAATTTTTACATAAAGTGACTTTGGTGCATTTAAAGCTCTCGTGCGTCCACCTCAGGAGCGACTGAGGCACCTTGGCCGTGCGTCGCCCGCCTTATTTATAGCAAGACTGGGTTTTGCGGCACCACCGACGGAGGCAGCACTGGGCAGACCCTGTCCGCGGATCCGCATTTCTAGGTCACAGACCTTTCTTTATTTCTTTCTTCTGCCACATGCAGCGAGTAATGAGAGAAGAAAGAGACGCTGTTTATATATTGTGTTTTGACAATCTTGCTGCGGCCGGACCGTGAAAATTAAAAACGGGCCAAGAGGAGTGGGTTAATCTCCGACGGACAAAAACGAGCGTCAAATAACAATCGATAAAACAAGGTTTAGAATTTATCAATGAAAATTAGAAGGAGCGTGTAATACTTTGCAGTATGTAAAAGTATAAATTTTCTCTACCCTTTTTCAACTTATATTACACACTCTTTCATTAAAATGATTGTGACATGGAAAATTTTCATTTCTTTCATAAAAAAACTTTAAATTAACGCATGAAGTGTTGAAATTAAAGGAAAAGAAGCAAATTATAACTTTTAATACACAAAACTCCACTAACGGTTATTTCAAGATCTGAAGCCAGATTATACAACTTAATTTTTGGGCATGCAGTTTATGCGCCCAGTCGACTCTTCTTTGCTTTTACTTTACATAACCTGCTTCTGCGTTTTAAAACGTCAAACAAATTAGTAGTTAATTGCATGATTTATTTTTCTTGCACCACAGTTGTAATATTTAAGTAATAAAAGAGCTTCGCAGTACAGGAGTAGAGCACTGACCTGGAACTGACGGAGTGACAAATTAAAAATTGACGCCAGTATCTTTTGCCGGACATGCGTCAGTCCGTTTTGCTCCGTTTGTGCATATAGGTTTTTATTATTATATTTGCAACGTATTAAATTAAAATCACCATATTTTCGTTTTCTCTGTTTGAGAATTGAGCGGCAAATTTTTTTGCCAGAATTGAAAAATTGATTTGATTATTTTTTTTAGGGCAAAAGCTGAGCAGTTGAAAAAATTATGTGACGAAAGAAGTTTTAATAAAACATTTTCTAGATCTAAATTCTAGATGAATGGATTTGCGAAATTTTTTTTGGAAATAAGTGAAATAAAGTTGTTATCAAGTCAAGTCTCCGGTTTGACACGTGGTAAAATGTGGGCTTTGTTGTGAATATTTATACCATTATGTAACAAATAAGACCTTTAGATAATTTTTCTTAAAATCTGCTAATTTTTACAGTTGAATTAGTCTCCATTCTATAAGCAATCCATAAATTAATTTTAATTTGCAATCTACAATATTATATAATATTTACCGCATTATATGATATTTATAAAAATAGTTAATTAAATTAATTAATTTACTTAAAATGCCAGGGAAAAAGATAAGCTTTAAAGAAATTTTTTTTAATTAGTCATCATTATAGTAAATAAATGGGAATTTTTTTTAATTATAATATATAAAAATTTCCATGACGCTGCAAAAGGTGTAAATCAAAGCCTATGAACCTGACAAGTCAAAAAGAACCCATTAGCAGCGAAGAGCGACAAAACGAAAAATATGACTGAACGGATGTTGTGCGTTTTCACTATATTCGGATAATAAATTGTCCCGTCAGAAAATCAGTGAGTACAACAGATCCACCTGCACTGGACGTCATGACACATTTCACTGTTCAATTATTTGATATCATTTGTCACTGAAATGAAGCTCAGCAACCTTCTCACAGTTTACCACCTTTTGTTCATGGCAGTAAGTAATTTTCATATCATTTTTTCTTTCCATACACAGAGATTTACCAAAAAAATTTAGTTTTTAATCATTGAGGAAGCATCAGCTACAAACAAAACACTTACTTCCAATCGAAATCAATTGAAAAGTAATCAATTTACTCATTTAAGTCTAATTTGTGAGGTAAATAATACGATTTCTCATATTTTGAAGATAACCAAAGTCGCAAAGCAGAAAGGAGAGCCACGATAATTAAGTGTTGCGGCGCAACATCATGCATGCATTTTCGGCATGTCAGTAAGAGAAGCACGTTGTTAACCGGAAATAAAACTGTCACAGTTGTCCCTAAAATATTGGTAATTTACAATCAGTACTTGCACCAGCACTTATATAGCCAATATATTTTTGTTGCTTTGAAAACCCTTAATTCAATATGATGAGAAAATTTCATTTAAAAATTATATTCTATATGAAATTTATATCTTGGTCAAGAAAAGTGATATTTCTGAACTGAAGAAAAAATACGGTAAAATAAAAACGAATTTGGGTATTTTAGAAACACCTAATGTGGGCCTTTAAACGCATGGGCGGATAATTATACACGGGGCCGGAAAAGTGAGTGGTTTTATGTTTAGGAACGTCGGAAAATCGCTTTTAATTTGTTGGATTTTTTTCTACAAAGACATTTTGAACAAAAAAAAGTGTAAAATTACCAATTTTAACCTATTGTTTCAAAAATTTTTGAAATAAATTATTCAATTTTGAATAAATTTTTTAATAAAATCCAAGAGTCGGAAATGTATTCTCATATTCAACAGAGGAAGTAAAAATGGGTCAAAATTCACACTGCCAAAATTCAAAAGCTTAAAAATCATGATTAAATTGTTGAAGTAAATTTTAGTCAACGGAGGAATTTACAAGTGAATCAACAAGCGCCAATACAGGGGAAGTCATGAATGAAAATCCTCAAGATTCAAGCCCCGAGGAAAATTCTAATGAGCCAACAAAGAAAACTGAAAGGCAAGAGTCTGTATTTTAGTGTTTATCACACACACAAAATAACAAATTTACCTCTTCTTCTTCTACCACTAGCACCAGCATCTCAAGAGCCCCGAACTTTGAGGTACAAAGATGAATATTTATGATTTACTTTTTATCAATGATAGAAAATTTTGTAGCCAGAAGTATTTCACAAGTGTCTGGCCTCCGTTGGCTCGGATGTAAGATTAAAGTTTTTTCTTTGTATAAATTCTATATAATAATTTACATTCTAGACCAATCTTTTTAATCCTGATAAAACTTTGAAAGGTTTTTATTTTTTCGTTACTATATGTAAATTAATAATTTTGTGTTCAAATTTTTGAAGACGTGGAAAATTATGGATCTTGGGTAGAATCGTGTGGCCAGCAGTTTCTATTTGGCAAAAAATTTGTAATCCTTGCTGCTTTTGTTTGTATTCATAAAAGAGTAATTAAAAATTTTTTATTTAAGGTTACGTGGTATGAAAATATGGTTCAATGCAGTAAAATTGGAATGGAACCTCTTGCTTTTGAAGACAACAGAAAGATGAAATGCTTCAAAAATTTAAGTAGTCGCACAAACTAAAAAATAATACAAAAATGAAAATGTGAAAATAGCTATCGGGTGGAGATACAACTCATTGTTCTGGACGTCCGGACGGAGAACTGGAGAAACTCGCGAGTTTTCGTGGTGCTCAAAGCATGGAAATTTGCTTGTGGACGGTTTAAAACAGTTGTGGGCACCAGGACAGCCAGACTTTGCCAGAAACGAGCACTGCCTTCACCTTAAAATGGACAAAGCAAACGCGACTTATCAAATCTGGGAAAAATCTTGTAACAACTCGTATATATTGGCATGCCAGGTCAGATTAAGATAAAAATAATAGAGTGCAAAAATCTGATTCAAATTTCAGGGGTCAACAACTCCTGCTCCGGCGTGTTCGTCTCCGATCTGCCCTAATTATACTTGCACTAAAAATGTTAGATTCTGTAAAAAAAAATTTGTTATTACATGAAAATAATTTCTACTTTTGTTTCTTCACAGCAATTGTTCTTTGCAAATTCATCAAAGGGGTATTATTTAAAAGGTTAATAAGATCCTAATTTTTGCTTAAAATATGATGTTAGTATTATGATTTTTTTTTTATGTTCCAATAATAAACTGAAGAGTTTTTCAAGAATTGACAAACTAGTAGAAACTTTACTACTCCAAACTAATTTATTTAAAGAATTTGATTTCAGGAATATTTGTTAATACTTGAAATATAAAATTGAAGAAAATCGTACATAATTGAATAAAGAAAAATTCAATATTTTTTAGATCCGAATTTGCATGGGAACTGGTTTAAAACTAAAGGACGCGTGTTCATGTTCAGTTTCGCTAATAGAACGGTGAGCTTTTTTTCTGTTTTCTCCTACATTAACAAACAAAACGCATTTCAGTTCCGCAGTGCTCTTCAAAGTTGCTGCGAATTAGGGATGTCTTTGCTAAGTCTTGAGTACGACTATAAATACCTCTCTTTGCAAGCAGCAATCCAAGGTTGTTCTTTAATATTTACAACAAAATTTATTTAAAGTTTCTGCTTCAGAAAATGTGACACAGAAAGGTATATTTTGGACATCTGGCTCTGACCGGGGTTGCGAGTCCAGTTTCGGATACTGCTCGGCAAAACGTCTTTTGAGAAAAGAGGCCGTTTGGGCTCGTGGTCAACCGGACAATGCGAAAGGAAACGAAAATTCTTTGGCCGTTTTCGTAAATGAAACGCACGCTCTGTTGTTTGATTTTAACGAACAGAGAACCTTTAGATACATTTGCGAGGTAGAATTTATAATATTTATTTGCTTCATTATATTGATATTTTTAAGGCAAGAGATTCCTCTCTTTCAAATAATAACACAGCATCTGGAGGAATTGCAATTCAAAACGAATGTGCCGCTGTTTACAACGTCTCAGACGGTTAAATTTTAACTTAAATTTAGCAACATTTAGAGAAATTCCAATCCTTTTTATAGCGGAAATCAACACTCTTCTGTCCAAACCACAGATCGACACAAGAATTAAGGTCACTTTACAGCAATTTTTAAATTTATTGTTAAATTACTTTGCAGTGTTTCATGAAATGTCTTGGCGAGAACACTGGTCTAGTAAGCCAATAAGATTTTTAATTTTACTAAACTTAGATTTTAATCCTTTAAAAAATTATCAATTATTGAGGACGAAATTTTCAGATTGTGAATGGAAAGATAATTGAAAGTGAGATTATGGTGGTTGTTGAAAAAGAGTCTGGAAGTGAGGACAAAATGAAGAAGAACTTTTTACTTATGGACGAGTGCTCAAATTCAACCAGTATACAGAAAGTTTATTAAGAAAAGTAAAGATGACTCATCACTTTTAATCAGAGGGGATGGACGAATGTGATCAGGCAGCCCAGTTAATCCAGTGCACAAATGAAAAAGCGCCAGACGTTGTCAGTGGTGTGGTCAACAATATTGTTGAATCTATTCCAGCAGTTGTAATATTAGTTTAATATTTAGCTTAATCCAAACAAAAAAATAATAATTTTTTCCCCAGAAAAAGTCATCAGCCTTGTTCCCAACTGCTATTTGCCCACCCCCAGTCAAGTGCACCATCAATGTAAATTAAATTTTAAAATTCTTTAAAAATATTTTCATTTTACGTTTATCATTTTAAAGGTTACTGCAAAACAGGAGTTTGACGCAACAATAAGTATATGCAATATTCAAAAGTTGTAAAGCATGAGGATTCCAAACCTTTCCAGAATTTTAGTTGTTGAACACGGAAAACCAAGATTTTTTTTTCTAATTGAACGTCCTAGAAAACCCGCAAATTTCTAGAAATGTCAATACATAAAACTATTTTTTTTACTTTTTTGGAAAAATATATCTGGTGATCTTAAAATATGGATAAGATCTCATGATCCTTGCTTACCCATTGTACCATTCGAAATTTCTTGAAATTCGGGACAAAATAGAATTTATTTTTAAAAATTCTTTTTCAAATAAACTGAACCTAGCTTATTTTAAATAGTCGATTCTACAATTTCAACTGGTTGGGTTCGTTTTGGTTGCAATAAAAAATGGTTGCAACAAAATGAAAATGTAATTCCGCAAAATCTAGCCAATAAAATTTTTTCTATTCTAAAATTTCCAATTTCCCAGTTGGATCAACTTGGCGCTTATCAAAGTTGTTGCCAAATTGGGTTGAAACTGGCGTCGATCGAGGCCGAGGCAGAAGTTCAATGTCTTCGCGACTCACTCTACAGTACAAATCTTTTATAAAAAAATCTCTATAAATTAAAGAGAAAAAATAGATTCTGCTTTGACTTGGGTTGCTGGTTCTTCAGACTCGAGCCCGCTCAATCCCCGATGGTGCACCTCGCAATCCCAAGGACCAATTTTGAAATACTGGTTTGCCTTAGCTTTTGATCCAGCTTTGCCACAACTGTCTGGATTCGTCGTGTCATTAGCGTTAAAATCAATCAAAGCAGAAGACCCAACTGCTCGACATTGGTCCCTCTGTGTGTAATTTAATTATTGAAATGAAAAAACTTCTAATCAAACAGTAATAATTAAAATTAATTTAACAAACTTGAACAAAATCGTGAGAGAAAATAGTTATCACTTGGAAAGTTATGATTAGTGATTCTTTTAAATATTATTCCATGCAACAATGAATTGAGAGAAAAAATTAATTTGAATAACATGAGTTGCAAATAAAAATTTAAATAAATTTTTAATTTTAAATACATTTAAATGCAAAAAAAACTGACAGTTTAAACTTTTGTGATTGCCGATAGAAGAAAATTTGAGCTTTTGCAAAGTTGCACCATTTTATGTTCAATAATTTTCTACTTACTATATTAAAACACATCGTGTAAGTGCTGTTTTTTATTTAAAAAAAATATACCTCTAAAAACGTTTCAATTTAAATTAATTTGTAAATTTATTCTATTTTTATATTATCTTCTTTTCTGGTATTGTTAGCAAAACTAACAATAAATAACAATAGTTATTAATATTTTAAATTATTCTTGATATATGACCAATAATAATGAGAAAGGTCTTCAAAATTATCAATTTCCAACACAAATATTCAATAAATATGCTAAAAAAAATTTCAAAAAAATTTCAAATTGGTGTATAGCATGAAATGAAAAACGTTAGTTCAAGAGTAAAAAAGTTATCAATTTTAGAGGCAATTACATCATAAATACTAATGTTTTGAGCAAATTGTGAGAACTTTAAACTGCTATTTTTAACAAAAACCACTCTTGTAACCTTTACTTTTGAGACCTCCAATTAAATCAAGTGTCCTCCCCCAGCATGTAAGAACGAAAACGGCAGAAAGTCAAGAGAAAAAACGGAAGCGCCGTTTGTCATTGTTGAAAATTTCTCTGCCGCAAATCAGATTAAATCGTGACGCGCACGCCTATAGCTTTTTTTCACAAACACACACGGCGGTCCTGCATAAATGAAATTCCCACAGCTGATGCGTGTGTGGATAAAAAGTACACACTTGACAAAACATCTCAACCCAAACACACATCGCTCATAAATTAAACAAGAAAAAGAAAAGGCCTATTGTCGATTAAACACGCGAGTGGGACGATTTTTTAATTTTTTTTTATTACTCGTCAAACAACGGGATATCGATCTTGGTGCGCCAAAGTTCAAGAGTTTCCTCGCCATATTTGCACTTCATTTTCGTTGATAGGCAAACTCTCCGCCATGTCCCCAATTTATTTATATATACGTTTTTCAAGAGTTTTATTTCACGATTATCAGCTTTTTTTATGCCCGTCAAAATGAATGATGATGAGGAGTGCCGGGAGCGCGCATTCCTCTCTTGCCGAGATGCAAAATAAACATTACTCGCACAAAACATGAGAGATACGCCGGTGACCCACTCTTTGTCCTTGAAAAATTGCCAACAACTTTGACCATTAATAATTCGCAAAAGCAAGAATTTTCTAATTTTAATGGGGTTTTCGCATCAAATTTTTCATTTTTTTTTTATCAATCACAATCACCTGCAGCGAGTATCACCAATTTGAAACCTGAAAAATCAGGTATTCAGTCAAAATTCACTTCAAGTTCAAGAGTTGAATATTATAATGTAATTTAGATTTTAAAAATAAATAACAGCTACATTTATTATTAAAATCCTTCTAAAATAGAATAACTTACACAAAATATTGTGAATTCTTAAGGTTGATTTTTGTTAAAAATTTAGGATTGTTCGTTTTGCGTTGTAAAAATATTCCTTTATATTTTCAATTTATTTAAAAAAAAGTGTTTAATTCTTATTTCATCTAATTTTACTAAGCATGAATTTCCGAATAATCTTTCTATTCATAGCCTCTTTTTTGCTAAATTTTCCGAAATCTTCATAAAAACTTTTAACACACTGATAAATAGCAAAAACAGCCTTCCTTTATACAAAGTGACTAAAATATAATTTTAAAGGTCAATAATGTCATGTCAAATTGTAATCCTACCTTTTGAAGGGATTTGATGGCAGGTTCGTCCATCCAGCACTGGCTTGAGATTCCGCGATGTCCACCTCCATCAACCAAGGAAGATTTCGTTGATATCGAGAGTGAGAAGGGCGGAAAAGTTCACGGGCCCCCGAGGTTCAGAGGGTCCTTAAAATTGCGAGTGCATTTTCTACAAGTCCACACGGCAGCAAGAAGGTCAAAGGCACAACATCACACGCATACATAATTGTGTCATTCCCAGCACACAAACACAGACGATCACATTCAAATTGACATCACTCGTTAATTTTCTAAATTTCACGCATGAAAAAGTGGTGAGAACTAGAGATTGTTCGGCAAAAGTCACGCCACATGCGTTTGCATCGCTCAGAAAACGGCAGGAAACTATATCAACAACAAACAGCACAGCTGACAGGAGCTGATCGCTGATTGGCCGATGTGGTGCTGGTGCTTCCAGAAAGTTTTGTTTTCATCAGTTGTAAACAGAGTTCTTGACTATCTGTCGGTCGGTTCATTTTCTTTTAGACAAACATGAGGACGGAGTTGAAAATCTTAAGGTAATTTCTGATTTCTCAGTGTGTCATTAGCTAGATCAGGCGATCAGGCTGAGGCGTTTATTGTGCAATACGTTATTGTACATTCGGTACATTCATAGAAAGAAAATACCAATTAATTTAAATAATCAGAAGGGGGCAGGGAAAGAGACTCTTTATTTATTGGATTTACAATGAGTACAAAGTTGTTTTGTTTTACGTGGGTAGGTTTTTATTTAAGTCTTTAATTCTACGTACATAATTAATCATAAATTACTCAAATTTTAAATAATTTAACTCTTTAATTTGAATGAGTTCTATCAACAAATAATTCAAACATTTAGTTAAAATAATAACTGAAATTTAAGGATAATCATAATTCCTACAAAATTATTTATTAGGTTTAAAGTTGAGAGTTGGAAGGATTTAATTTGTTTTTAGTCAATTTTACATTTCAATTTGGCAGGATTTTTTACAACTTATATTTACTATTATTATTTTGTTTTTCGTTTGATATTTCTGAGATGTATAATTTGAAAACTTTTGCAGATCTTCACCTATACCGACCCATGGACTGGACCTCCAAAATAATCGCGCTGATTATTTTCATCCGTTATAAAGGTAGGATTTCTTAATCCGTAATATTACATCTTATCTTATTTGGCTTCCTCTCAATACTTCTTTGATCTATCATTCTCAACATTATTTTGTGTTACTTGTACGTTTGAAAACGACGGATGGCCATTAAGGAAACGGACGTCCAAACATAAAGAAGCTGCAAGCAAAATAAAGAGGGCGTCAGAAAACACGCGGCGGATCAATTATTATTAAAGCCGAAGTGCCGATCGCGCGCGGCTGCTGCTGCTGGCGAGAGAGTAATTATCGAAATTGCACTCTCGTGACTCGCAGCCTCCCGAGGGACCGTAAACAAGAGCCAAATAACATACACAAGGCAGTCGTAAAGCGCGAGAGAGGAATTCCTCCGAAATCCTCCCACACGAGATGCTTATTTTTTTCCAGCGCCTACTTTTGCGTGTGCCACATTTATATTTATTCATTTCCTTATATGCCGTTTCGTTTTCAAGATGCATTCGAGACGGGAGTGATAATATTTTTCATTTCTGAATATAATTTCACGCCACTTGACTCCGAAATGCCTGACGACCGCCGCTCGCTTCTGTGCAATTTCGTTTGGTTATATAATTTGTTAGTGTGTATTTATGATATTTATTACAACCGCAAGTCGACCACTGTAATCGTTGGTCACAAAATCATATCACTGCGTTTCACGCTCTTCTTCTGACATTAAACACATATTTTATTATTAAATGCAGGCTTGACCTTTAAAAAAGAAGCATGATAATTGAAATTGATAGGGTCAAAGGACATTTGTGAGCCAATTTTTTGCTAATTTTTCTTCTTCCTGAAATGAAAGGAAAAATCAGAACTGAAATTCTGCTTCAGACAAAGAGTAAAATCAATTTTAGGCTTTTATAAAATCTTAATCTTATAATTGATACTAAATCAGATATTTCTACGTGGAAAAGTATTTTCATTTACTGCAATAAAGTAGTTGTTTAATTTTTGAGGAAAATTATTATTTATTTTAAGAAATTTAATTTTTTTTCGTTTAATAATATTTTTTCAATTTACCCATCATGCAATAGCGTTTTATGTTGTAATTATAAAATATATAAATTTTAAATTAGAACGAAAAATTATAGAAAAATTAAAAAAAAGTTTTTTTGTCTTTTTAACTAAAATTTATTTTACTGTCAATCGTATCAAGTCAAAAGGATGTTCTTTTTAAATTAATTTTATAACTTCCAATTCAACAGCACAATCATTTGAAAAAGTGCCTTTATTTGTTCCCATTGTGCTATGCTGACACTTGGCAGTTGCAATTTCGTCTGCGAAGGTGTCCCCGTCGCGCACAAGCCATTCTGCAAAAGCTGAACATTCATTTTCCTTCCATCAATGATTCTCCACCTCAGTAAGAAAGTGGAGAGCAAAATGTGTATTGTTGTTTTTTTTTCGTTCTTCTCTGCGTCGTTTTCTGTGCAGCCAGCGACGAGTTTCCGTGCACGGGCGAGCAGTTCGTCTGAATGGCAAATCATGCTGATTCACTCTGCGTTTTTATCCTTTGTCGCGCGAGATATTCGCCCGCCGCCGCCGCTTTTTCTCCAGAATGCAGAGGAGCTTTTTGTACGGGATTCAATGTCAGTAGGTCAGCAGTGCAGTCTCCACTGATCGAATGGAAAAGTGCTTTAATTGTTTTGGCGAAAACAAACTATAGCAAAGTATTTATTTTAAGTAATTATTAAAGTTTTGGGGGGGAAATTAAAAAAGTAAATATTTAAAAGAGGCCATTATTTTTATTTTAGAAATTTAATTTCAAAAATACTTGGTGATTTTTTTTAAATAATTTAGATCTATTTTTGTATATTTATTTCAGCAAAAACATACTTTTCTTTCTCTCTCCTTTTTCTACTTCTTCTCTGAATCTGAAACGTGAGAATTTCACCCGAGTCAGAGCGAGTCACTTTTTTTGTGCATCTTTGATGTTATCTCAGTTTGCACCTGCCGATGCGGAGGCATTCTAATTCATTCGCCGCCACCAAACTTTCCCGTCCTATTTTCACACTTGCATAATTGTCTTTAATTTTGATAACCGTGAAAAGCGTTTACAGCGAAGACTAAGTCTGAAGCATTTTACATGTAGATTCCGGACCGTTTCCCAATTTTGTGACATTTATTTTAGCCGGAATTGAGGTAAGACTGAGAATAAAACTGACTTATAAAGTCTCAATTTATGGGGAAAATCAATAGAAAAATATTCCACCTTTATTTCAAATTGTATGGTAATCATTCTTTCTTGGTGGTGATAATTTACCAGTCTAGTGCTCATTTCAGCTCTCACAGTTTTTTAAACCTGAAGAAATGCAAGTTTAAAAAGTTATTTCATTATAGGAAATGATGTTCTTCCTCGGAAATCTCACGGTCAATTAATTTTGAATCAGCGCCGATCTCAGACGAGGGGGATTTTTTTTTAGTTGAGAACAAAATCTATGTGTATCATCTGCACAATTATATATAAAATTCGCGGATTTGCTCAAATAGAGCGGTTGAATAAAGCAATCAAAGAACAACGTTGCTTTTAAAAAAAGCAGCCTAAATTTTCGTTCCGAAAAGTAATGACTTGGCGCATTACACGTCTCTCCTCGTCCTTTCTCCTTTGGTCATTTTGTACGCGCCAATCCAACTGGAAATTCATCTCTGCTTCTCTTTCTTCCTGCAGCTGCACCGCTTTCGCATCGCAGGTGCTCATACATTATTCGCACAATTTGGACCAGAACCGCAGTTTTTATTTCGTCTTGCCTTCCCATCATTTCCGCCAAATATCGGCGGAAAAAGTTTTTCGCAAAGGAGATAAAAACTCTAGGCCAGACAGGGTTAGTTTTTAACTATGGAAGTAAAATGATTGAGGCGCGAGTTTTCAATGGGATATGGCGATGCAGCTCGAAGCGCGTCTAAGATTATATGTAACGGGGACCTTTTTTCTACTTGGATGTAATATTCCAATGGAATAGACAATCGAGAAGAAAATGCATTGTTATATTCACTCAATATGCAGCACGCCTCATTTCTCTGGCACACATTCTATATTTCTGCCGAGCTAAAAATCACGAACAAATTAATTTTAAATGTTTGATTCTGAAATATTCTATTAAAAAAAAATTAACATCTTAAATTTAACAGTTTTAATCCAATTTCTATAAAGCCCTTATACAAATTTTATTAAATTGGAACTGGAAACCTTCATGAAAAAATCTACAAAAACTTATGAAGTGAAATGTTGGTTTTAAAATTATATGTACATTATTATGTATCATATTTCAAACATTCACTGTTTAAAAAAATTTCCATTCTTTCATAGATTTTGTCTATCTCATTTATTTGACTCGTGTCTTTAATTCACTTCAAGCAAACCGCCGACGCGTATGAAAAAGTAAAACGAGACCGCAGTAAAGAAGTTTGGTCGTTTTTTGCGCCGCCACGTGGGAATCCCTCTGCATTGTTAACGCGCAGCCTCTCTGCATTAACTTGCACTTGGTGAAAATATATTCAGGAAGATTTAGTCTGAAATGCAAATCTAAGAAAGTGACGACACAGAATTTAGCACATTTGGCACCTGGCAAAGCTATAATTTAAAATGATGACGGCTACTTTTAAATGCAAATAAATAGTGCCTAAATTTAATGAATGAAGTTAAAATAATCCTAATAACGGTTTGTAATTCAAATTTTTAAATAAAGTTAATAAAATGCAAGCAAAGTATTTGACGAGTGTAGTGAAATTTCAGTTTTACGAAAAAATTCATTTGAAATAAAAACTATAATTGGATGACAATATTTATTCAATTCAATTTTAAGCAAATAAGATTGAGAATTATAAATAATATGTTGAAACAATGCTTAAAATTATAAATTCAATTGACAGAATTTTTAAAATAATACTTTATAAACCAAAATTCTTCCTAATCAAAATGGGCCAGTGAAGAATATCGGTCACCTTTTTCACATAAGAAAAACCTGTGTTGTCCACTGTTGTGCTCCGTCCACTCATCTCATCCATCACTCTCGGAGGAGCAACAAAGGCCGCGCAAAAACGCAAAGTGTCGTGCACTCTTCTCGCTTCACTTTTTGTGTGAGCATTTCATCCAGAGGACCATCGCCGCACTACTTACCAAAAGAAAGAGGCACAGAAGCAGTTGCTTGCTCTCCATAAACATGAATGCGATGACCAGCGATTTTTATGTGGGAAATCCGAAAAGGACGCACAATTGTCATAAATGTGTCTTTCAAACAAGAGGAGAAGATTGAAATGAAAATTATATTGGAAGGCTTAAAAATTAAATTCTTTTTTAGTATAATTAAAATTAAAATAATAATAATAAATTATGGAAATGAAAAATTTAAGATGATCGTGATATTATTATAGAATTTTGGCGCTTGCATGAGAAATCCAAAAAAAGCATTATAATATGTCTTTTAAAGATCTAGATTAAGTTTTATAATTTACATACTAATTTATTATCAAATATCTTAATGATTACAGGATTGACAGTTTTATTTTTGAACATCCTGTTTATCACATATCCTTTTTTGCGGATTAAAAAAAAAAATAACTATAAATAAAGCTCATTCATCTGTCGGCCTGAAGTGCGTGTCATTGGAACGAAAAGCGGCGTGTGATTTTTTACATTTCGATTTCGTCGCGGCGAAAAACGTCGTCGTAGTTTTTCTGTCTCGCTAATGAAATAGGAGAGTGTCCAGCGATGGTGTAGAGGAGGACCGGCGGGCGGGCGGGTGGGTCACGCTCCACTAACTGCACTCGATACGCCTGTCCGCGTCTATTGTCCACCCTTTAAAAAGCACCGTCGCCGAGGGCCTGCCATCATTCGCCGCTCACCGTCTCCCAACCAACCATGGCCACCACAGCAGCTCTGTTCCTCACCGTGTTGGCCCTCGTCGGCGCCCAAGTCCAGGCCTTCGAAGACCCCGCCAGCATGATTGTGCAGAAGGCCCTCCACAAACGCTGCACGCACTCGTACACCGCCTCCTGCTTGAAGATGGACCTCGTCTCTTTTGTTGATAGAATCGGCGAACAGGACTCTTACCAGGTACAATAATGACGAGAGTGGAAAAACATTTTGTTTAAAAAAACTTCCTTTAAATCTTAAAGAGAACTAGAAGGGCAATTTTGATTTTCAGGGCACTGTGCATTTAAATAATCATAGATTTACAGTTTAATATTTTTTAAATATTTGCTGAATAAGTTTTAAAAACATTCATATATTTAGAATTTCTATGAAAAACTATTTATTTTAATTTGGTATAGATCTATGTTCTTTGAAGTACAAAAATCTGACCATCTCATCCAAAGTTATTGTGCTTATTTTGATAATTTGCATGATCAGGGTGGGGGTAAATCAGTCCGCAAACCGTTTTCAGATGGCCAAGCTCAACTTAACTTGTTCATAAATAATTTTATCCAAATCAGATACCTACAATAATTTACCAAGTTTTAAAGTAAAGATCTTTCAAAAATAATTATTTTTTCATTATTTATTCCTAGAAAGAGTACATCGTTTTAATTTTCTGTTATTTCTCTATTGCAATTTTTTTGATGGGAAAAATTATTCACGCAGCTCCTTCCGAGCGTCAGCATGGTGCGTCAGGACGGAGCGGACTCTGAAGGCCGGTCTGCAGGATCGGACTCAATGGACTCTGTGATGGAAGCTGTGGCGCAGGACGCCGAAGTCGCCGAGGGCCGTCTGGATGGTCTGCTGATGGACCGCATGTCCCGCTACCTGGATACCCACGCCATCAGCGTCCGACTCTTCGACGACGCCACCTTGGCCAAAATCAGGAAGGCGGGACAGGACGCCGCTGAAAAGTACTCCTTCCTCGCTGTCCAGTCTGGTGAGACCAAAATAATTCTTGAAAATATTTCAAAGTTACATCTAAAATTATTTTAATATTGATTACGTTGATGAATATTATCGTGATTTTTTTAATTTAATTCACAATATTATATAACTAAAATTATTTTTTTTTAGATTTTTTTTGTTAAAATTTTTGCAAAACATTTAACATGTTGAAAAATAATTAATAGTTGAGGGCGGGAGCATTGAATTGTTGAAGTAAAGGGATTAATTATTAAAAATCTTCTTTTTGTTTTTTAATCTACAGTTGAATTTAAATTTAATGATCAATTTTTTAAATATATTAATGGAAAATAACGAGCTTCACAAAAACTTTAAATGAATTTTTTTGAAGTACTCTCTTCATAATTAGTTTCTTTAAGCAGCAACTTAGCAAAATCTACTTTATAAAAATTGACAAAATATTACTTTTTTAATTTACAATCCAGATAAATCCTTAGAGTATATTTTTATTTAGAATTTCTTGACATCAGAGTCTTTTAATTCAAGCGATTCATTTATATATTTTTTTTATATAAATCAATTTTATCCGTGGGAAAACAATTCGCGCTGGAAACAAAGCGTCTCGGAATTGCAGAATTTCACACTTTAAAATTCGTCACGCATGGAACATTTGATCTGACAAGTGAATCTATTTAGGTCGTGGCAAGGACAAGAAGGGAGGCGGCGCCCTGCTGATGGGCCTGATGATGATGAAGGCAACCCTGGGCGCCCTGGGCTTCGGTGCCATCGCCGCCCTCGCCGGCAAGGCCCTGATGATCGGCATGCTGGCCATGATGCTGTCCGCCATCGTCGGCCTCAAGTCGCTGGCCTCCGGGGGCGGCAAGTCGGTGACCTACGAGATTGTTTCCAAACCCGTCTACTCGCACTCGCAGAGTCACTCCAGCGAGCACGAACATGGACACGGCTATGGCGGTGGCAGCAGCTACGGCCACAGGAGGAGCCTGGACGCTGCCCACGAAATGGCCTACGCTGGACAGCGCTGATTTTTTTTTTAAATTTCTTACCAAAAAACTGACACTTTCTGACTTAGTGACTTCTGTAACTGTGCGACTTTTTCTTTGTCTGTGATTTTTTTCCAACGATCTATTCTTTTTCCTAATTTTTCCCTATCGCCAGTTTTTTCTTTGCCGACTTCGACTGCTCTTGCTGACTTGTGACTATTTTAATTTATTGCATTATTTATTTATTTGTTGAATAATTTATTGAAATAAATTATTGTTTTTCAAAGAAAATCCAAATTTTTAATCAAATCTAATTATGTGAGCCACAAATTTCAACTATTAGCACATTTTGGCTTATTTTCTGTAAATAGTGAAAAGCTTTTTCAATTAACATCTTGACTCCTAAAAAAGAGTGTAAAGTACTCAAAGATGGACCGATTTTGTGCTCTGAGTTTGGTTCAAAATAGATTTGAATTTCATTAAATATCTGATAACCCCCCTGAATAGTTAAAAATGAAAATCTTCATCCACAATTCTTAAAAAATTGCACAGTTCAAATTTGGAGAAATTTTTACTTGTGTAATCAAGAAAGGCACAAATTAACTTCTAAATAGCTGCAAAAATACCACATTTAAATAATTTTTTCTAATTACCTTCGATTTAAGAGCTACTATGGTTCGTTTCAAAGCTTTCAAATATTAATCTTTAACCCACTGGTATTAATTAAGTGGGTAGATTTCAGCAAAATTTGATCATTGTTATTCATTATATTCCTTGTATTGTGCTCCTTTAAAGAATTCTGCCAATTCGGTATTAAAAAAAATATTTCATTTTTTTTAGCACTGAATCTTTTCATCTTTTCCATTATTCTTCATTTTTTTGACACAATATATTTTTGCAATTGTTCTATTTTTTTTTATTATGCAGCTATTTTTTTTAACAACATTGAAAACTGATTGAAAAATATTTCATCTAAAAATATTAATTAAATTTAAAAAAGATGCTGCTTCTAGCTAATCAGCGCATTCTATTCCGCAATGAATGTCATAGGCCTGTTGATTCACGATCTTGAAAACGCATTCGTTTTCACGCTCATTGAGCACGCAAAAATAATCCTCTGCCGGCGCGCGTGAGAGCGGAATAGAAACAATGAGCGCTAGTGCGATGCACACAAATTTTTCGTTAAACACCAAATCCTTTCATCAATTTTACTTCTAATGACCCGTTTTTTTTTTTTTTTGCTGGTACGCATTTAGCAAAAAGAAGCCACTATTTAAATCGGTTTTTAATTACAACTTACGAAATTTCAAAGTAAAAATTAAAATCCCGTTTTTCAGCAGTGCCCAAATTAAGACGCGGGCTAATTGTAAGCTTTGGAAACTAATAATTAGAATAAACAGAAAAGGTTGGATATTTTGTTTGAAGGGCCGAACGGTCCTAATTATACTCACGATCGATTCGATTCACGCAAGGAGTGTGTGAATCGCAATTGCCCTCTGAATTTTTTAAAAGAATTTTTCACACGCCAAACTCCATTCATATCCAAACGCATCTGGAGGCCCGCAATAGTTACTCGCCTCTCGTAATGGCTCACGTTTTAGCACACTTTCGTCTGACCCATTAAAATTCCTATAATAAGGCATTTGCAGAAACAGGTACAATGAATATGGTGGAAGGTTAATTGAAGAAAATATGTGCAATGTTTCCTCAATTTTGTGCTTCATTTTATAGCTTACATGCTGACTTTTTTGTATGTGTAAATTTCCTTATTTATATTTTTACAGAATTGCTTCAAATTAAATATTTAATCTTTTGTAAGCAACAAAATAATAAATAATTTAGGAAACGGTTGATATTGAATAAAAAAAAAATGGAATTACAATTCAATTAACCTCGGACGTGGTCGAAAGATAATTTTGTTAAAATTTTGGCCCTGATCTTTTGGAATCATCTCCATCCTGTAATAAAAATCCTCGGAAATAATCGCATGAGCATTCAGCGAGCCGGACGAAATTCTTAAAACACCGTTGGATTTATGAATTTCTTATTAACTTTATCTCTACGTTAAGTACTGAGTTTTCGGCCGAATTCCTGCTTATGCTCATTGTTTGCTTAGCTCTCGTACTTGCATGTATGATTTAACATGCGACCCACTCCGAAATAAAAGCCGATTCAAATCTCTCCTCTCTCTCGGCTCGGCTGGAGAACAAGCTCAAATTACCCACATCCTTTCCTCTTATTTTCTATTTTGTGCCTAATTCTGCCTTCTAATAAAAAACATTTCCATGTCACGGAGAAATATTCCTTTTGATAATGCATTGGAATTTCTGGGTTAATTCCTTAAGATTATCAGTTAGTTAATAATTATTTGTCTATAATTATAAGAAAAAGTTGCGTCTAATTAGATCGGCAACATTTAACCGCAAAATTAAATTTAAGTGGAAAAAATTTTCTTGTTCCCTAATTTTAAGATGCATTACTGATCTATTTGTGGTAAAAAATATTTTTAGCTTTCTGGATCACTTTAAGAATTTTAAATTTTTTGTATGGAATTTTTATATGCACAATCATATTTTTAGGATCTTCAGTTTTAGATAAATAAATTTAATGCTGGACCAATATTTTACTAAAAGTAGTCTTTGTTTTATTAAGCGTTAATTTCGCCAGTCAATGTGTTGCAGTGCTCATATTTTTTCCTATAGTCGCTTCATTTTTTTACAATACAGTTTTACTTCACAATTTCTTATCGCCAGGAGGCGAACAGGTGTATTTACAGAATTGCGTCTCTTCTCTTTTGTGTCTCACAACAATTACGTTGTGAAAAATGCCCTTAATCGTATTCAGCCCATCGCGCAATGAACGCAATTTCCTCTTGAGCGAGGAAGAAGAAGTAGTTTATCTTTTGAAATGGTTGATTCGCACGCGCCGAAAAATTGTTAACAGTTTTTCGCACAGAGCAATGTGATTAAAGGGAGATAATTAATTTTCGTGTAACTGTGAGTGGTAATGGGACAGTTGCAAGTACTGCGTGATGAATGGAAAGAATAATGCAGTAGACAAATTCAATTGGGAGTAAAGGGGAAAGATATACTTTTGAATATTATTAAATAATTTAGACTGGTTAAAAAAACCACTCTTTTATGATTAAAAAATATTTATCTTCAGATTTAAGTTCATAAGTCCCATAAAAATTTAAATCGAAACAATTTTCTTTAGGGAGAAATTTCATCAAATTCTCTTGGAAAATAATTCTAAAATTAAATATACAATGGCATTGATATTTTAAGTAAACAAGGCTTATTTTCTTACAAAAAATCATTTGCTAGAAGTTTCTAACGAAATTTATTCTTCAAACTGTTGTTAACCTTGTAAAATAAAAAATTTAAAATCACTGCAAATGGTCTTCTAAAAGCCATAAAATAAAATAAAGTCTGACCTGAATCTAAAAAATACCTTATTATTTACTATTTTTACAGTCGTATAATTTATAAATCAGAAATTCGCAAAGATCAGAATGCATTTTTAAGAGAGAATTAAAAAAAAAATACAAACGAAATTTTCTACAGGCTTCAAATAACTCATTTCATTTTAATCTACAATTCATTGAATGGATAGATAAAAAAAAGGAATGAAATCTGTTGCAGAGCGACAAAAAAATATTAATTTAAAAATTACACACACTGAATATGTACTTCTTTCATAGTTTGCTCCATTTCATAAATTATGTTTCGGCCTTTGGGGAAACAAAAAATTCAGATCTAAAGCTACACATATTTTTTCTGGGGTTTCCATACATGCGAGACAAAGTAAAGCAACAATAAATCATCTCTGGGTCTCTTCCTGCGAAACAATTTTTTGCTCGTTTTCGCTCATGCTCTCATCTCCTTCCTCTATCTGGATTTGCGTCTCTCTTGCGCGTATAATGATAACACTGGAGGCGCGCGTAATTCTAATTCCCGTCCTAGATTTTGAAAAGCCGCGACCCTAATTTTCTCTCGCGCCCAATTAACGCACCTCCCGCGAGAGATTATTTATGCTGCACATTAATGCGCTCGCACTCAAATCTGTTTCGCCTCTGCACGCATATTATATATATTTCTGCAGCCGAGAATAAAAACAAGAGCTTCCTTAATTTGAGATGCGCCTTCCTGATCGCGTTAAAATTGGAGCCGCCGCTGCACGCATGCACTTTTTTTTATAATTGCGTCCGTCCTTTTCTTTTGAGTATCCTCTATAAAAAAGCATATTCTATAAAAAAAATATATACCAAAGGAAACCTAAAATCTGGAAGAAAATTATGAAAGCAAAATAAATAATTTCTTCATAATAAAATGTTCCGTAACTGCCGTCAGCAAATTTTGACGAAAAAAATTAATTTCCTCTATTATACTCAAACATCCTTGATTTATCCATAAAAAATAAAATAAATTGCAATTAATAATATATATATTATACTTTTTAAAAACTTTCATATAAATGTATGAGATCAAGAGGCCCCATCCCTTTGACGCTTCCCTGAGTATATCTTAAACAATTAAAAGCTGCCAGCAATGACAAAAATTAACATATTGGCAAATACAAGAGCGGGAATGTTACGAGTCATTTTTTTATTTAGCAACATTATTCAGGGGGATCAATCTTAACAATGTATAGCTTTTTAACTGATTAATTTAACTTAATTTAACCACTAAAACTTTAAACTGATTAAAAATATTTAACAAATATCAAGCCGAAAATTAATCTCTGAGTATTTGTGTAATGCTGCATGATTCAAGGATCTGTGATAAAAATGTTTTTAAAGAGATATTTTTGTTCTATTATTGAGGCTCATTAGAAATCATATATTTTGATTTTTTTAAATTAATTGAACATTTTAAAACTTTTTAAAGAATTTTTTATTTCATGATGATAATTCATTCGTTTGAGAGTGAAACAGAGAAAATCGGCGGCACACATTGACGGTGCAGCGGGAATCGCGTGCTCATCTTCTCATTCTCTCTCCTTCCTTCCTCCGAATTAGCCTAGCATCCTCCCGCATCTCTAATAAACCTCATCTCCAATCCGGCGAAAGAAAATAGCGAATAAGAGAAAAATATGGAGAGGCGCGCGCGAGAGCCGAAATCGCGCACGCACTTGTGTACCACATAATGGGCTCCCCTCCCTGGCTGCCGTGGCAAAGGTCATCTCCATACGGCACTGCTGGTGCGCGCACCGTGGGACCTACCACACACAGGTGCTCACCCTACTAACCGCCTTCGTGGAGGGGCCGATGGACTGACGGGGGCTTAAAAGCGGTGTGCGTGCTCGCCGGCCGCTCAGACACGATGAAGCTGCAGTGGTGCCTGTTGGTGGTGGCCGCGGTGGGCATGGCCAGCGCCAAAACCTCCCTCGAAGACGCGTCCTCGGTGCTCTCGTCCGCCTTCAAGGACTGTATCAAGCCCATGTCGTACGTGTGCGTGCAGAAGAAAGTGCTAGTGTTCCTCGACAGGCTCGACCACGTGCGCTCCATCCCCGTCCTGGATGGCTGGAGCGTTGAGAACACGGCCACCCCCGAGGGCAGGGCCTTCCGCCACCCCATCACCGAGGAGGACCTCTCTTCGCTGAGCGAGGGCCGCGCGGCAAACGGCGCCGACCAGATCCTCTCCGACATGATTGACAACAAACTTGACGAGTTCTTCAGCACCAGGGTAGTCCGCATGTCGGTGCCCTCCGAAGTGGCCACCGTCGTCTCTGCAAGGGGCATCTCTGACCTCCCTTCCTTCGACATCTCGCTCGGTGACTCTTCTCCCAACGGCGAAGGTGCGTATTTTAAATTCTTGAAAATTGAGTTGATTCTGAAAATTTGCCCGCTGATTTTTAGTGTTAAGAGGTTGACAACCTTCGTAATATTAAATAATATTATTAAGCTTTTGAACATGTTAGAACTTTCCGTAACATTTCAGGAGCTTTTTAAAACGCCTTGTAAAAATATTGACGGAAAATTTAACTTCAACGGTTTCCTCCAAAATAGACATGGCTATACCATTTGGAAAACTCTTAAATCCTAAAATTTCTTCAATTTTTACCCAATAACAGTTTTCTTAATAACATTAGGTTGATTTCATAGAGCTACGAAAATGAGTGACTTATTCGTTTGAATGTCATCACCCCTTATAATATTTAAGATTTGATTGTGGACAGACTGACGCAGAAAAAAAGACAAATATTGCGGATTGTTTATAGTACGAATTATTTTTTGTAATTTAAATAATTCACACAAAAAAGCCACTTTGATCAATTTTATAGAAGCATCGCCATTAGTTCAAATTAGGAAATTTACAATTTCCAAAAGTGTTCAGATCCTTTGAAAATTATTACCAACACTCTAATTGTGGTTTAAATGAAACTTTAATTATCAAGTTATACAACGAATGAATAGTTATACTGTTATTCTGAAAACATTTTTTTATTACACTGTATTTTTTATTAGCATCAAATTCATATATAGAAATAGCCAGTCTCCGCCATGGCCTTAATTCATTTTCTCCAAAACGAAAAAAACGCTCATCTCCTCTCTTCCTAGGCTTTTTCCCTCTGCTCTTCGCGTGATTTATTCTGTCGGTCGTGCCGCGGTCGGGATCGTGCGAAAAAGGGTCACCCTGAGGGCAGCGATGGCCCACCTCCGCAGTCGTGACCCCTCGCGCCGCATTTGCCTACTTAATCTAATCACGATCTGCTACACTTTGAACCAGAATTCAGGTCACACAGATATGGATTCGCGCCGGAAGAAGAAGAACAAGTAGCGTTCCGCCGAAATTGCTAATGAGACTTAATTGGTTCCTTTGGAATAAATAAAGCGTGCGAACCGTGCATTGTTTCGCGCGCCGCCTTCTCATTTCCACAATTAACCGTTCTCTATCCGAATTATAAAAATTAGCCGCGCGCGATGAAAATTCATTAGGCTTTATGAGATAATAGAATACAAATCGTATTTCTCTTGTTATAAATTTTTCAAAATTATTTTTGCAGCTCGTTTGAAGAAAAAGAAGAAGCTGAAGCTGAAGGCCCTGCTGCTTGGCCTGCTGCTCGTCGGCGGAATCAAGTTGATCAAGTTGATGCCTGTCTTTTTGGCTTTGATCAAGCTTAAGGCGATTAAGGCTATCATTTTCTCCGTCATCTCTTTGGCGATCAGCTTAGGAGGAGCGGCCAGAGGTTTGATCCAGAGGAAACTCGCCCTTTTCAGCTCGCCCATGAAACACGTCAAAACCGTTGAGGTAAAAAGACAATCTTTTATTTTCTATTTTAAAACTATTAAATCATTTAATTTATAAAAACCAAGACTACATTAAGTGTAGAAATTTTGGCATTTTTTTAATCAAATTTAATTATTTATTATTTAATTTTCATTCATATTTCCAACTTAATTATAAAAAAGGGATAAATTAGATAACAATGAAGTGGTTAAAAAAAATGATTTCTATTTTTAATTTTTGATAATTTAATTTAGTTGCCTTTTGTCAATTCAAATACATTTAAATTAAAATAATCAGAAGTAAAAAAAAAAAATCAATATTAAATTGAATTTTTACTGTCAAAATTGACATCTTGTTGCTTAAAAGTCTCTAATATTACTACCCTTAGGTTTGGTTGGCTCCAATGAAGGGAGGTCACGGTGGAGGTCACGGCGGCGGCGGCGGTCACGGGGGCGGCGACAGCTACGGTGCCCCCAGTGGTGGCGGCGGCCACGACTCGTACTCGGCGCCGAGCCACAACAGCGGAGGCGGCCACGATTCCTACTCGAACAGCTACTCCAGCGGCGGTGGCGACAGCTACAGTGTTGGAGGCGGTTCGTACGGAGGCGGCAACCATGGAGGCGGCGGATGGCAGAGCAAGTCGGATGGCGCCGACCTCGCCTACAGAGCGCACGCCAAATAGAAACAAACACACCGCATTTAATTTTTAAGTAATTTATTGAGTAAAATAATATTTATTGCGAAATGTTAATTTATTGTTGAGATTTATATAATGTTAAGTTTTCTGTTCAACTCTTCAAATTGCTCAAAGCTTTCCTGATCCACCGTTCCTAATTCTGTATGAAAACCTCCAATTCTTCCTTCGCTCGGAATTCGCCGAATTATTTTTTCTCTCCAACACAGATGATTTTTTTCCGTTTTCGCAATTCAACTGGTGCCAATTAAATGTATATCAGCAGAAGATCTAAACTTTGATGAACTCTCTGGTCTCTTATTTACTAAAATGAACTACATATCAAAACTTCTTCATGTGTTCCAATGTACTTTGTAAGTGTCTTGATGTGCGTCTCGAATTTGAAATCAATTCAATTTTGACCGCAACTTCCCTCCCACTTGTCTTACTTTTCCAGTTTGATATACCAACTGAAACTATTTTAAGATTAAGAAAATAAATCTTGTTGAAAAACAGTGCATTGCTTTTTATTTTTATTAAAAACACACGTTTTAAGGAAGTGGCGGCAAAAGTTGGTCGCACTTTGAGTAGTCCGTCTCCACCGAGGTGAGAATTTTGCAAAGCTCCTTCCTGGCACACGCGTCGTCGCAACCTTCAGCCAGGGAAGTGTCACCCAATTTCACATAGTAACTTTTGACAAATAAATAATTTATGTTAAGTACAATATTGGAAAATTGGCACCATAATCGGTTGCTTGGAAATATTAATATTAAAAAATTTCGATTTTCAGATTTGAAAAAAAAAATACCAATGCAGCCACATAATTATTTAAATTTTTACCTGAAGTACAACTGCAGGAGTTGTGGATCGTTGATCATTCTCAAAACAAGGTCGTACGTGTCCTGGGGAAGGGCCGAGGGAACTCCGTACGCCTCAGTAAAGGTGTAAAGTTTCTGCCAGTTAGGCGGCACAAGTTCGCCACCCAAATTGGCCTCCGTCAAATTGTAATACCAAGTTTCGTGATCCAAAACACGCTAGAAATTTTAATTACAATTAAAACCTTTGGTTTATCTCCAGGCTCCAGTAATACTGTTTCTTGAATTTTAAATTAGGCAATATTTAATTCCTGACTTGACACTTTGAAATCGCATTCAACGAATTGAAAGGGGACTAAATTTATTTTAAATTTAACCTTGAAAACATTTTTTTGGTTTTTTTTAATAGCAATGATTTTTTACTACTCTTGCCTTTATATTATTTGCTCTATAAAAATTTTGCATCCCTTCAGTTTTAAGAATAAATTTGGTTTTTGGAAAGAGCTTCCAAATAATTGCTTACGTATGATGCGCCGTCATATGGACCGTCAACGGTGTAGATGCGGTAGTTAGGGTTGACATCACTATAAGCGGTGCCACTTCCGCCAATGAACGCGACATTGGTGGCCCTTTCCGAATCGGCCGGGTCGAAGTAAATCAGGTAGTGGTCGTTGTGCGTGTGTCCATGGAATTGACCCACAAGTGTGTTTTCAAATCTGAAAAATTATTATACTTTCAGGACTCCTTATTAGCATAGTAAAGTCTTAACAATTATTTAATTAGCAATTATTGGAAAATATTAAGAAATTTTTACCACCATTTTTGTGGACTTAATTTGAATATGTCAATAAGGAGTAATTAAAAAATTCAAGGTAAAATTTTTAATTACCTGTCCACGATTTTCCGGTACTGATTTCCCCAGACGGAAATACAGTCCGAGTTGCCGGGAATGTGTGACAAAATGTGCACTTTTTGTCCGGCTTGTTCAGCGGCCAGCAGTTCGTTGGCCAACCAAACCAGTTCTCCAGCCGGGTCGAAGGTCGTGTGCCACAGCCAGCTGTCATTTCAAATTTGCATTAAGAGTTGACATATAAATAAATAATATAACTTCGTCACTTAAAAGCCTCTTAAAAATAATAATAATAACTAATTAAATACTTAATTATAAATATATAACTTTACTATGATGATTGTAAGATTATGTAAATCAAGTGATTTTTCTTGCATTTGAAACAATTTTAAATTGTGTAAGTTACGTTGCAACTGATGTAATTTAAATTTATGAATGGTTGCACATCGACTTTGATTATTTCCATTTACAGAAAGCCTAAATTGCCCAGTTTAAATCTCTATAAATATCTTTACGGTACCCATTTAAAAGTTTCTTTCAAACAGACTGTATTTTACATTTAAGGAGAAATTTTTTCTAGATAGCGCGAATTTCTGCAGCCATCCCTCACTCAATGTGACCAGAAAGTTTTTTATCTATCGATAAAAAAGACGTACAAGTTGTAGTTGTAGCAGAACATGGTGTTGAGACCGACGATTTTGAGGTTGGGGTTGACGTTGTACGAGTAAAAGCCGCCCTTGAGGATGTTTGCGCTCTGCCCCGGCAACCACGATTCCCACAAGTTGACTGCAAGTTCGTAAAGCCACTTGGTCGAGAGATCGACCGGGACGTTCATTTCGTCACTTGTGAAACTATTTTAAAAAATTTCGCTAATTTTTATGCTATTATTGAAATGAAAAACTTACACATTCATAGGGTGTGCTTCGTGGTTGCCGAAAATGGGAAAAACGGGCACTGTGAATCTAGCCTTCAGTGCGTTGTACACGTAAGTGATCAAATCGATGTTGGACTGGGTGCTTGTGGCCCACACGCCGTGGTCAATGATGTCGCCGGTGAAAATCACGTATGCAATATCCTTAGAATTTATAAAAAAAGGTTTATAAAAATTCCTTTGAATTAATTATTTAAAACTTACACTATGGGCAGAACTGGCCTGGTCAATCAGATTTTCAAATGCGTGCACGGGCAGATCGCAATCTCTGTAGTCGCCCCAGTAGCCGGCGGCCCCTGTCGAGTTGATAGGGTCACCCTGATCGAACCTGCAACAGGTGGGTTCATCGCAGGCTGCGTTTCCGCCAACCCTGTAGTTGGGATCGACGTGCACGTCGGTCAGTTGCAGAACTTTGAACTTGGGAGAATTGGTCTAAATTTAAATAAAAGTTAGTTTCCAATCAAATTATGTATAAATTATACGCACGGGAGGAAGTTGGGGCGTTTCGGGGGTGGGTTTCGGACCCAAAAAGTCAAGGTCCAATGTCCAGTTGTAGCGGGGTAGGTCGACCCAGCAGTCTGGGTACAGCAGAAAACCACATGCCTCTTTGCCGTCTACAGGGGTTGAGCTGTTACGCTCAATCATGATGTAATAAACCAAGTCCTGCACCAAAAATGTACTATAATATTGAACTTTTTTTTTCGCACAAAAAAAATGTGACTCTCTAGGTTTTAAGTCACACAATCAGGTCTAATTAAGTCTAATTTTTCAAGCAATATAAATTTTTATACTGCATTATAATGTTATATAAAATAACATTTAATTTAATTTTTATTTCAAATATATTAATAATTAAAAAAAAATAGATAAAAATTAATACAAATAAACTCGAAATAGGAGATTTAAGAAGAAATTAAAAGAGGTATAGTGGAACGAATTAAATTAAATTTTCTACGTGGCAATTGCAAAATAATTTATGGTTCTATACTTACAATATTACTTTCAATAAGTCCCCTGCAAACTCTTTCTGTCTGGATGTTGAGGTTAAGACAAAGGTTGACTGTTTTGTTCACGAGGACCTCTGGAGGATCACCGGCGTTGAACCAATCCAAAATGTCGTTTGCAGCAACGCGGCAAAGTGAGCAAGTAAGCTATAAATAAAATGTAAAATAATTTGTTAAATTTTTTAATTGGTGCGGATCAAGAATTTCAATTTGGTCTTCAAATTAGGAAAGGAAAAAAATAAGAATCTGATTTAAAGAATTAATTAATTACGTCAAGTCTCTCCTCGGCGGACTTTCCGTCAAAAAAGGGCAGATCGATGGGTTCATTATCGAATTTGAAGTGTTCTCTCAACCTAAAGTTCTCGCTGAACTCTGCGTCAGGCACCCCTGTTTGCGCAATTCGGTTCAGCCGCTCTGGAAAAGTCCCCATATCAAAGGCCAGGTCCATTTGGAGGCCCAAAAGGCCCAGCATGACGGCAACTACTTGTTTCCCCATGGCGAGCTAAAGTGCCACTTGAACATTTGCGGAGAACAATAAGCCTCTTATTTGCTTCTTTATCTGATATCCCAAGATTATACTTCGTGTTTTTTAGCAATTGATAAAAAGTGAAGTGTGATTTCTTTTGGGACACTTCTTGGTCATGCATGGAATACACGTGAAGTTTTAATTAATTTGCCAATTAATGCTGGTTTGATAAGTGAGCCTTATCAAAAAAATAATCTTAAGAGATACGATTTTGACTTGGATATTTTAAAAAGGTTTTTTAATTCTGAAATATATTTGAAATTATTGAAGGAAGGCAAAAATGCAACAAAATTTTTGGCAATCCTTCGAACCAGGCGACCTATTTGAATTGGATCCGTTAAATAAACTAAACCTTGAGGCAAGTTTGTTATGCTGATTTTAATAAATTTTTTTTTATTTCAGCCTTGTTGATATCTTTCCTGTATATCCGCATAAATGTTTTACATTCAGAGACAAAATTTGTCTGTTTGGATCTTTAAAATGAAAATATCAAATTTGAAACATATATATTCTTTCTTTTTTATTTTACAATGTTTGTATTTTTTACACTTAGTATTATTTCCACAAATCTGAAAAATAGTGACGAGATCATCAATGACAATATTTACAAAGAGCAGCACAAGTAGGGACACATTGTCTCTGTTATCACTTACAATTAATATCGCGCCTTCGTGGGATGGGTCCAATTGCGATCTTTTCAAAAGATCTGGCAAGGTCAAAGAGTTCAAGTGTTTTAACATGAGAATAATAAATTCTCGCGCAAATTTTGTAATCTTAACAATGGGGGCACAATTGTCATTTGATATCGACATCAACCAGTATGCACAATCTACAAAGTTTCATAGAGTATTTTGATTCAAGACAATTCTCTCTTGGGTAAAATAATAGCAATTCTTTGCGGTTAAAAGTTGCCCCTCCATATTCTCTACTAGGAACCGGTGACACTCCACAAGTGGGAGGACCAAAGTATGTAAAAGGGGGCCGAAAACCCTCCGAAAAAATTTCGTCCTTGCTATTTCCGAGTCAAAAGTTAACAGAGTTTTATTGGGGAGTTTTCTGAAAAACAAAGATTGCTGCCGCTTGGAAGTTAATAACTCTGCCAATCTTTGATTAACTAAAAGTATTTTCCAAAAAAAATCAATCATTTTGTAAGAAATTCGAGGATTTTTAATTTTAATTTTCAGAAGGTTTTCTAACCCTATCAGGATTTCCGTTTTTATCTAGACTTGACAAAGCTCCAGATTCTAAAATATGCGCGCGCGCTTCGGAGTCTTAAAAATATTCACGTGTCGTTTGTGAAAATGCTGAATGAGGTTTCATTTTTGTAGTCAATATATGCAATTCAAGTCCAACACACAGTTTGGTAAAATCCATCAAAAAATAACGCAGGTCGTGGACAACTTGCTCTTTCTCCGTGACTTTCTTGACGAGATTCGCGACGCTATGGAAAACCTGCTGGGGGTTGGGCTGGAAAACTCGCGTGCGTCCACGTTGTCCAGACTGGCCTGGTCGTCCGAGTCGCGCTCGACGCGGTGCAGGACAATCCGGTAGCAGCCGGTTATACTGCTCTTGGCTCCTTTGTCCGCCGCCTCCGCCAAAAGCGCCTCCGACACCCCCAACAGCTGCAGACGTTTTTTCGCTTCAGCAGCCACCTCCTTCAACTTTTCGCAGTCTGGATTGTCCAGGACGGACGGTAAAACCTGAAATTGAAATCTTAATTTAAGTATTTTTTTTTTCTAATCTTTTTAATGAAAAACTGAGATGGCGAATCTATAAAGATTTTTTCGCAGTAAATTATTTTCAGTGCTTCATAAATAACTCTAAAATTTAATTTTACTTAAATATTAAGTTTGAGCACAATAAATTGTATTGGCAAAATTTAAATGTGTATAGTTAGTAAAGTTTTTGATCTGCAGATAACAAATTACTAATTTAGTGCCTCGTAAAATTTTTATTTGAAACGAACTTAAAAATTATTTTAAATTAAAAACTTTATGCCAAAAAATGGGAACAGATAATAAAAATGAATATAAATAATAGAATAAATAATTTATTTAAAGAAGGAGCATGAAATAAATACCTTAGGAACTTTTTCGAGCCAAGAGTGTTCTTCCAAAAGAGTTTTGAGAGAAATGCGGTCAGCAGGCAGTGGTTTCATCAACCCTCTAATCACAGACACGCAATCTTGGCTGACCTCGATCGGGTCAACGAACTCTCCCTCCAGGATGGTTCTCTTCAGGGCGGCGACCGTGTGTCCCCTGAAGGGCATCGTGCCAGTCACCATGAAGTACAAAATCACTCCCAACGCCCAGATGTCCACTCCACATCCTGTGTACCTACAAAAAATGAATATTTAAATTAATAAAATAGCTTGAACGGTCTGACACCTTCAAAATCATGTAAATCGAAAACCCTGAAAAATAAAAACGATTCAAATGTGTTTTTAGCAAATTACTTTTGAACTTTTTTAGCTTCCCTAATGTGAAAATCATCTTATCTTCTCTAGAAACTTTTTTAAAAGTTAATTAGTCCATCAATTTTTGTCCCACATTATTTTTTTCAGTTTGAATCGTTACTTACTCAATGATCTATGTAGAATTTTTATTTTTTAGTATAGTTATTATGATCTGAATTATTTTGATTTACCATTCATCTCGGAATAGTTCTGGTGCTGCGTAGGGGGGCGACCCGCAAAATGTCTGCAGACGCTGGTCGGGCGAGTTGACTTTGGTGCTGAATCCAAAATCAACGACTTTGATTTGGTTGCTGGAAAACATGACGTTTTCCGCCTTCAGGTCACGGTGAATGAAGTTGCGATCGTGCTATAGTTTCAGGAAAATAAATCAATAAAAGTATCAATTATTTTCTTATCGCAGTTTAAATTTTGTTTTAATAACTGGGAATATTTATTAATTACTAAACTAATTTAACAAAGTCAAATCCCAGAAAATAAAAATGTTAAATTCTATAAAATTATGAATTTATTATCAAATAAGTAATACATAAATTTCGCTCTTTATTTGACTTACCATGTAACTGATCGCCGAAACCAATTGGGCGAAAATGGGTTTGGCTTCGCTTTCCGAAAGCTTGCCCGCGTTCGCAACGCGCGTATACAGCTCCCCGCTGTACGCATATTCGGTCACTAGGTGGATTCGTGTGTACGTCTCCACCACTTCGTACAATCTGGAAAATGTTAAAAAGAAAATCACATTAGGGAGATTTTAATAAAGTTTAATTTGAAAACTACTGGAAAAACAATCCTAAATCTTTCCACATGTCATTCAATTAGAATTTAACAAAATAAGATTTTTTGGAAAATGTTTTTTTGATTGAACTTTTGAAGTTTCTAATAACTGAAATTTGCCCTAAAATTTTGAAGGAAAAAATCTAATGAAATTTAATACGAGTTTAATACATATGAGAATGTAAAATACGTTACTCATAATAAAATCGTTTTATTGAGATAATTTACTTTTCTCAAATCTGTTTAAAAAATGATTTCAGAGTTCCTTTATGAATAAATATATTTCTTGCTTTTTATCTGACATAAGGGAAAGTGCAGAGAGGGAAATGACGCGAAAACTAATCCTCATTGAGGCGCACGCACGGAGCTTGCTTGTGTGTAATGAATGCGCACACAAAAGGCTTCTGTGTAACTCGTTGCTGGTTGAACGCAACCCCCGCGGCCTTTGCGTCCCGCCGGTTGCATAAGTCACCCAACAAAAGAGCATTTCTATGTTTTTTTGCCAAGTTATGGCGGCTCACGTCGCAGTTTGTGTCGCCAGCCTTGACTGTATTCTTGAACTTGCCTGATTAGATTTGGGTGGTTCATCGACTCGAGGGTTTCGATCTCCCTGTCCAGCATTTTCCGCGTCTTCTGGTCCAGTTTGTTTTTGTCCAAAACTTTGATAGCTACCCTTTCTGTAATAAAGAATAATTTCATTTAATAAAACTTAAACATTTTAAATATAAGAAATTTTTAATAACGTTTTACAAAAATTTTCATAATTTAAAACATATAAAAAAATCAATAATTTAGCTATACCGTACCTTTCGTTAGTTGATGGTGGGCCAGTTTGACTTGAGAGAAGTTTCCGCTGCCCAGTTCGCCTCGGAATCGGTAAAAGCCGACCCGCTTGCCCAAAGTCACCTCTTTGAGCCACCGCTCGTCGTGGTGCAGACCGTGCAGGAGTCTTTCGTAAGGGTTCAGGTCGTCCATTGGTTCAGGTTCGTGTATCGACTTTGGCGTAGGAAGCGTGTGCACTTCTGAGAGGAAGCTGCTGCTCCGCCTTCCTGATAATTTAATTTTTTTATTAATTTCTTGATTTTTCAATTGAAACTCAACTGATTGATTTAAATTTTTTTAATCAACTTTAATTTTATGAACTTAAATCAAAGTAATTTATTACTGAAAACGTGTTCAAGTTAATTGTTATTACATTTAATTTTGAATATAATTATTACACAAACAAAATTTTTACTCAAAAATAAGCATTATCTCTGATAAAACTTTACAAAATTATTAATTTGTTAATTTTATTTTTCAGATTTATTTAGTTTGCAAAAAAATATGGAGAACAGCGTTTCATTTTTACTGACATTAAAAACCAACGGAAAAACACATAACGTACATTGACGTGTTTCAATTTTACAACAATAAGGCACATTCATATTTTTTATTTATTTATTTTCTTAACTTACTCTCAGTTACATTTTTAGGAACGTTCAGGCTGTCGGGCATGATTCTGGCGGCAGGCATTTTGCTTTTATTAATATCCTTTTTAGAACTAAAAGCTGAAACAAACAAAAGTGCACAAATTGAAACGTTTGGCAAACAGTATATCGAGTGAAAACAAAAACAAATAGAGCGCGCGCCACTCTAGCGAATTATAATGGTCCTTTTACGGCCTCCGCCTGTGCTATTTGCGAACGGGTTGATTAAATCGCCAGCCACGTCAGCAGCAGCAGGTGATATAAAATCAATTAGTTAATGGCCTCTGTGCGAACCTTACGAGCGCCCATCTGCCCGTCGGTTTTGGGGTCGCTTCGAGTTGTCCGCGTCTGGTCATGCGATTGGCCCATCAAAAACGAGCCACAACCTTTCTGCATTATCCATAGCCACCGGTGCACTCAGCCCGGGGTGGATGAAATAGTCGAGATGGAGAATTATTAAAGGGCTCCGAAACTGATTTGGATTAAATATTTCATCAAGCCTTTCAAGAGCTTTCACTGAATGATTTCTATCGACCTCTCAACGTTTCCTTTTATAAATTTGTTTTTGCAAAAAATCCTTTTTTTATAATACGGTTAAGGAAAAATTGACCCAAAATTATAAGTAGAGTATTTAAAGAAAAAAAATAATAACAGTAAAATGTTGTATTAATACATTTGAAAAAGCGATTTTCTTAATTTAATTGAAAATGGCTCTTTGCAAAGCATCAATATAATTTAAATTTGCGAGGCTTCAAAGTGTTATTGAGATTGTTAGACCATGAGAGGGTTATTTTTATGCTACTTTATTTAAATAGTTTAGCAGAGTTTAGTAACAAAATTCCATTAAAAACTTCAAGCAAAAGAAAAAAAAACACTTGCTTTTTTACTCGAAAGAAGTTAAAAAGGTAAAATAAATTGAATTGCGTAGGTCTTTTTATTTGCAAATAAAAGTTTTTGATATATTACAGATTACAGAGGCTTTTTATGTGAAATTCATTTTTTCTCTCTCTGAAATCTATCATACCAGTTTAAAATTAATAAAAATTTTCAATCAGCTTCACTTCAACCCATATCAAATGGCAAAATAAAAGAAAGAAATAATAAAAATAAATAAAAATAAGCCAAAATGATATAATTCCTTCAAAGGCTCTCAAAATCACTGCAAGAACAACGGAGTAATTTACATGTTTCCCTAGATTAAATATTACAACTTCCTTTTTTACTTTTTTACTGCCTCTTATTCCAAGTTCAGATAGAAAAATTGCCCCTAGCAGATTGATTCTAATGTCGTTTCTGCCTTTTTCAAGTTTCGGACCAAAAATAATATTTCCACCGCATTCAGAATTCAAGGACGTCACGATTTTCTCATTGTTTTTCCAGCAGTGCATACAGACGACTTTCGTGTAGTGGTTTTATACATTTCCATTGAAACACGAGGCGGACCGATTACAAATCTACATCTGTCCCAGGCAAAAATATACAATGGAAATGCACGAGAGAGTCTTAATTTGGAGAGACGGACGCGTCCACTCGAATGGCGGGGATTATTTTATGTAAATCTCCGCGGCGGCCCGGCTGAAAAAATCAATTCAAGGCACGCGAGAAATATATAACAACTCGCGTTGGAGCGGCGTGTCGCTCTGACTGAGTAATCAACCTCAAGGGAGAGCCTCTTCAGAAAGGTATTTGGGGAATATAAGTGGAGAGTTGATGACAAACAATAATGGAAAATGCCTGGGGCAATTTTTGTCCTTTCTTCGAAATAGCTCGAGAGATGAAGAAAGTGGATTAATTCCAAATTTCTGATATTTCTCCTTAAAATTCCCAACAGTTTTGAACCAAGGGTTTTTAATATGTGGACAAAATAACTTCTGAATCTTTTGAGATTTAAGGAAAATTTTAATTATTTTTAAACTCCATTTGATATCTATCAAGACTTCAAATATGAAAATAAAAAATTATACCTAATGAATTTATTTCTCAAGGTATGAATGAAAAAACAGAAAAATGATCACTAAAAAAAAGGATGAAAATTAGTGTTAATTTAAATCAGGCTGATATTGAAATTTCCTCATCGATCTTTAAATTTCAGGACAATCATAGGAAAATTTGTTATATCTTACAAAAATTTCAATTTGAGGTTAAATAAATTTGCCTAAATCAGGGAAAATTATTTACAAAGTTGCATGATGATATTTAACCTGAACGTTTTATCATGTAAATAAACAAATGAATTGCATCAAACTCATTCACCTTTAATAAAAACACATTTCAGAGAATTTAGATATTATTCTTGCTTTTATCAGGAAGGTAAACCTTTGAGATGCTAAATTGCTGTGTTTTTTGATAGGTATCAAAAACACGTTTGGATGAGAGGCAACCGTGAAAAAGGCAGCCGGTTGCGATCAATCATGCTTTTAATTAGCGTGAAAAGTGCCTTATCAAAACACACGCGAGCGAAATTTCCTTTTTTTAACACGCACACACTTAATACTTTTTCTATACACTTAACCCACCGCGCTTTATAATCCAGCAATCTGATTAACTCTCGACAAAATTGAGAGATAATTTGATTAAGATTAATTACGTTGAAAAGATTTTCCAGGCCAATCGAAGAGGGATCGATGAGGAAATATAATTTTTTTCGCACATGAATGTAGGCCAACAGCGAACAAAAAAAAACTGCAGAGAATGCGAGCGCCAAGAATAACAAAAGCAAATTAGCTTTTTATTGCGCGCGTTCTGCCCGAGTGGCGAGCCATAAAAATTTGGCGCCGAGGAAATCGATAAACATACTGGACCATCCGGAAAGCGTGGGCTGGTGCTCATTCCGGCTGTTTTCATTTGTGCGCCATAAAAAAGTTGGAATGTTATGCGCACTTTAAAGTGACTGTAAACCTTAAAAAATGCAGTTCAAAATCTTAATAGATCTTACTTAGTGAGGGTTATGAAAAAATATGCTTAAAATGTTGGAACATTTAAAAAAATTGCAGATTTTCAAGCAATCTGAGGGAGGATAAATTTTTAAAGCCAAAATTGATTATAATTATCAACACAATAATGTCTTTGGTGCACCACGATTAAAGGGTCTTATAATCACAATTTTATGGACTTGCTCCTGGATAGATATTTTTGTTAAAAATTGACGTAGTTATTCGCTTTTAAGTTTCCCATTTATGTTTTTTCTGGAAACTTTGGAAGTTTATAGCTCCGTCAATTTTAGTCTATAAATAATTTTTCTAAATCAAATTCCATCTTTACAAAAAGATCTTGAATATGAAATTTTTATATTCTGAAAGCTATTAGACCCTTTAATCCTAGAGCACTCGTCAGTGGAAGCATAATGAGTTTTGACCTTTCCACTCATCCTCCTGTAGTTAAAAAACTGAAGTTTTTCTAGCACTTACTCTTTTTATAACTTTTTGCTTTTCACCCTTGTAGCCCCAGTTACATGAAATTGGCCGGTTTGGTGGGCAGAACAAATGTTCCTTGGACTAAAAATAGCCGCGCAAATTGCACAGTAGAATATACGAATGTGGTTCAAGGAAGAGGTGCATAATTCAAAAGTGGTGTAATTTCAGGCACCGCTCCAACAATTGGCGCATAACTTATTATGCATGTAAATCAGAAATTTATCTGAGCAGTCGGCAACGTGTACATAATAATATTATGTATCACGTCGGGTGTGTCATTTGCGAACAAATCGCGTTCGATATGGCGGCGCGGCCCCGTGAATAATTCATCCTTTGATTCCGTCCATCTGCAGGCCGCGCGGAAAGCGAAAAAAGAATAACCGGGGCAGTTGCAGGTGTGTGGCCGATCGATACTTTTATATCTCTCTCGCTCTCTTTGCTTTTCCGAGCGTGTTCGACTGCCAATAAGGAACGCACCTGGCGCCTTATTTACAGGTGCGATCGCATTTCGATTCCACTTTCAATGATTGGCCACACGGTTAAATATTGCTTTTCGGCGAACGGTCAAGGAAAAAACAGACAAACACGCAATTCTTGATATTGTGACGAAGTTTTTTGATTGGAAAAATAATATTGATGTGGAAAGGAAATTTATCGGTCTTATAATAGTTATATATTTTCTCGCCAGTTAACTACAAAAATTTACGCCATGAGGTTATGTTGGTGTTGAGTGTGGATTATTTTAATTCAATAAATGTCAACTTGGAAGGTGAGAATATGGAAAATGGCTTTGTGTTAAGGCCAATGTTACAACAGTTTTATGTCTTTTCGTTACACGCTTACAATATATAATACAAAAGTGATTTTTTAATAAGCTCTCTGCACAAAAAGGAATTTAAAACCGCAATAAAAATAATTAAAATAAATAAAAATGTCAAAATTTGGCCTTCCAATTTCAAAGAATAAACCAGAATACAAATTCTCTTAAAGTTTTAATATCATAAAAGGTCAACGATTATTATAAATTAATTGCTCCTTAGAGTATTGCCATATGATGTCAATGAAAATTATAAAATACTGTTTTAAGGTTATAAAGGAATGTTTTCAACAAAACTTTGTTTCACTGGATGTTAAAGCGGATAAGCAAACAGAGAAAATTCTAAATTTTTATTTCTTTTTCGCAGTTTTAAAATACCAATTACAGAAAATTTTAATTCGAATAAGAAAAAATGAGAAAACCCTGTATGAAGATAAAAGAACTTTAAATTATGTTCCAATTTCTTAAATTAAGCAATTAAGACTGTGTTTTTTTAATATTAAAAAAATATTTATTTCAATGTTTAGCGTTTGAAATAAATTTGACATTTCTATAAAAACATATTTTATCAAAAACTGCATCCTAGACTGTCACAAAAATTAGTAACTTTATTGCCACTGTTATTTAATTTTACTCTGAATGAATCCATTTTTTCTTCTTGTTCTCTGATCAGATTCACTTTCTCTCTCTCTCTATTTCCCTTTTGACCTTGGCTCTTCTGTTATTAATAACTGGATCGAGACAATTTTTAGATGGGAGTGGGACGATTCAGTTATTTCCATCCTCTTCGAGGTGCTTAATGCGCAGTGTATAAATAGTCAAAGTTGACGCGAGCACGGAAATACATAAAGCCAGCGGTCACGAAACCGCCGCCGAGCAGATGCTGATTTCTTTCACAAATATTCGAAACAGAAATCACTGCTCCGTCTTGAATGGGAATCATTTGAAATTCAATCAGCAAAATAGGTCAAAGAACGAAAGAGCGTGATTAAACTATATATTTTTTTAAAACATTGCCGGTTTTATTTTTGGAATTATCTTGATTAAAACCTTCTTCTCCTCCAAATGAACTTGAAAATCAAGGCAAATTATTGTTCTGATAATGACTTTTCAGAAAATTATTGTGTCGATTTTCACATTCCAAAATACTGAAAATAAGATTACAGTTCTTGATACTTTTTTCATTTTTTTTTTTTGCATTATCATTTTTAAAAAGGTTTTTTTTTATTTAGCAATTGTTATGTTTTATTATTGGAATTTCGGCTCGTCTGTTGGCCACCGATTCTATGAATGAGAGGCTTCTGTATTGTGAAAACGCCGCTCTCAATTCATCGCTCTCTGTTTGCCTTTCTTTGTTTTGTTACGCCTGCGTGGAGCACATGTATAACATTTTAGTTCATAGCCTTCCAGAAGAAACAATAAAAGTGCTCATTATTTTTGCTCGTCTTTATATGCATGCGTGTGCTGCATTAGTCCCAAAATAGCCTGCAAATTCCCATAAAGACACTCGCCGATTGCTTATTTGCTCAGAAATAGAACTAAGCAAAACAGACGAGTTTTTCCAAAGAGATTGACGGACACGAACAAAACAATTGATTTTGGATTATAGCGACGAAGGAAAAAAGTAATAATTATTAATTAGTCTAGATTTCGTAATGACCGCACGACAGCTTTCGTTAAAACAGTAAAGATCATTAATCGTGCCGCACAAATTGCCTTAACCTTGAACGTATTTTTTGATATAGAATGTCAAGAAGTGATGTAACATAAAAATCAGTAATGAATTTTGGTACCTCAGAATCAGTCAAATGATATTGAATAAATAAAAAAAAAAAAATTATAATATTAAATAGCAACTTCCATGATATGTCCAAAACTTTTCCAAAAAATTTAAATCTTTTGCAAAGATCTAACCATGAAATTCTAAATTTTTATTTTCAGAAAAAAGGTAGAAAAAAATTGCTTATTTCAATTATATATGTTATAAATAAGATTTTTATTCATTTTATTTTTTATTCAGTAACACTTTGATGAAGGGCATGCGTTGATAATGAACTTTTTTTTTGTAAAGTTTTACATATTCCAAAAGCTCAATTTAAATTCCTCCGCATTATAAGAAGGAAATTATGCGCACGAACGAATATAGAATGAAGGTAAAAAGGAAGAATCTCGCGTTCCTCTTTTGCATGCAAAATTCTTGCAAAAGCTCTTGGGCTGTTGTAAGTTGTAAATTGACTCTGGCGAAGACGCATACACACTAGAGCAAAGTTTTAATCACTATTGATGGCTGCAGGCTGCAGGAACGACAGAGTGAATCCTCTTATACGGAAAAGCAAAAGTTCCTCTCTTGATTGAAGCACGTATTTATGAGCAAAACTTTCGAACGCCACAAAACGGCGTTCATAATTTATCAAATACTTTCCTTGCTTAGAGTTAGGAATTTTGAAATCAATAAATTATTCTTTTCATTTAACATCAACTTTTATGATGTACCACCTATTTTAACAAGTTTTTTATGATCCACACCCTGTAAATTTGGTTTTTCCTGAACGTGAAAATGGTAAAAATATTTATGAGTTAACAGTAAAAAAATTGGCATCCTTTATCGGGTGGAAGCCAAAAAGAATTTCAACATTGAAATCAATATGTTTATTTTCATATTCACGAAAATGTTTATTTTTGGAATTGAGTACAAAATTGTAATTCTTATTTCCAGCCCCTACAATTTTCATACTTCTTAAACGATATCTTGATTTATTTTGGAGCGAGAATAAATAATTCGGAAACGGACGTCATCGGCCTGATCAATATTATTGAGAAAATTTTAAACCCAAAATATACAAAAGATCCATCCTAATAGCTTTTCGTATTCCTTTTGTATAAAGTTGAAGCCGCGCCATTACTGGGAACCGATTGCGAGGCGCACACACTGACACACGTAATCAGCCGCCGCTCTCCACGGTGGATTTGCTAAGGGGATTACAAGGGCCGCGACACGAGTGACATCGGGGATTTAGTAGCGACTCAATTTCCAATTTGTGACCACCCACTCGGATTGACTTTCGATCGGCTCAATTCTCATCGGGAAATACTTTTTTTTTTGTGGGAAAAAAAGCTTTTTTTCTTATGCAACCGGCAGAGCAGGAAAATTTATTGCCCAATCAACAAAAATAACGAAACAGATCGCGTTTTCCTGAAGAGTATTGGGCCACTTTTTGAATGAGGACGCGTCACGATTGCTGTCCCCGTGCATGGTTATTAAAATATTTACTCTCGACGCAGACTTGTACAAAATTGCTTTTTGTTTTCTGTTCAAAGCAGTGCCTCAAAATGGAATCATTCACATGCAAATTGGTGTGTGTGTTGTTGATGTGCACCAATGTAAATTATATTGTTCGAGTTTATTCCAAGCTGTACAACGGGCTCTCCACACTAAATCAATTTGTCCGCATTGTGCTGGGCAGATGCTTTAACTATGATGCATACAGAGTCATTTGTGTTCAATAAAAGCATGATGTATTGAAAGTGGGCACGAAAGTGGCCAGTCTCGTTTCTAGTAAATCAACTTTTGCGAGTTTCTTGACTTTATTCACTTCCCGCTTATTGAATTTAAGGGGCAAATAACAGAGAAATAGGGGTAATAAAAATCCTTGTCCTAGTGTTGCACAGCAGAAAACGTACATAAACTTTTGCTTTGAAATTTGCAGCATAATTATTATGATTTACTTATTCAACCCGTTTGTAATATGTTCCTATGTAATATTGGCGAATCACCTTTAAAATAGAACTAAAATTTATCATTATCACGTTGTGTTCTTATGACCACATGCATGTAATACAGAAGATGTAATATTAGAAAAACTCCGCAATCTCAGTTTTTTATTCTGACATAAATTCAACTAGAATTTTACGAACTTATTCTAATTCGGAAACTTTTCATAAAAAAAATCTCTGAGAAAATCATCATGGATTTGTATAGAGGAATTTAAAATTCAATGCGTTTATACAATTTTTAGCAACTGAATGTTTTTCCCAGTGATTTATTATAATTAACGCGTACTTAGCATCTCGCATTATACGCATAATTATTTATTGCGAAACCCTTCATCTTTAAAATTTTCAATGATAAATTAGTTAATATAAATACATACAAAAGGATAAAAGATATATTACAACGTTGCAGTTTCAATTCAAATTTTAGTTCTTTACCACAAGGAAATAAATATTTCGGAATTTTATCAACAAGTCTTATTATTTAATTCCTTCCATAGTTTATAAACTTCATTGTTTTCTACTAAAATAAAATAATGAAAATAATCCATTTCCAAGTAAACATAAACATTTGGAAATAAATGCAAACAGATTCAAAGTAAAAAAATTATAATAAGCAAATTTAGAATTGTGTTCTTTCCGGTTCAAGTAAGTGATGGAGAGTATAAAATAATATTGTAAATATATTTTTTTTTTAATCTAAAAGTTCTATTTAGAAATTAAAATCTAATGTCACTTCTTGATAAACAAAGTGTAAAACAAACTCAAACATATCCAAAAAGTAGAATAATAAGTGAAGTTAAAATTTCAAACACTATAATAAACCCTCAATATTGTTTTTGTTTAATTAATTCTCACTTCTGTCAATCAAAATACGAATGTGCTAATTAATCGCAGGATTGTGACGTCAGTGGTTGCGCGCGTACAGTGCATCTCTCTCGCCCCGCGGGATAATTAATCGCTTGCATGCATCAACATACCAGCATCCTTTCTCTCCCATGAAATCTAAAAATACTCGCGCAGCCTTGCCTGCATTTGGAACTCCAGATACGGACGCAAATTTTGTATAAATATGCTTGACTTTCTTTCCTATGTCGCGATTTGCCTTTATCGCCGAGGGCTTGGTGAAATGATTGTCCGTATATTAAAGCAAGAGTTTAATTTTATTGCCTCGAGGCAGGCACATCACAGATGCGACGGCCCGCGGGCAGTGAGGCACATTTTTTCGCTGCTGCGATAACGCGACTGATAAAAGTCGTATATTTATATTATTATCGCTTCTGTCGCTTGTGTTGATGAAAATAACGTACGACAAAATTAACAAAATAAAATTTATAATATTATTTCAGCAGGAGATTTTTTTGTCACTTTGCTATTAAAAATTAAAGAATTTTTCTTGAAATTAAGAATAATTATTTATAACTACAAATTAAAGTTTGTTTTAGTATTTTTTCTTCTAAATTTGATAGTTTTTTATTTTGTATGCAGCAATAACCTTTTTGAAATTTCATTAAATTTAATTTAGGAAAAAACATACAATAAATTGAAACCTTCCTGATAAATCATCTACCAATGCAAGGCTGACAGTTTAGCACTGCCCCCACTGCGTTTCGTGCTGGCCTAGTGATGCGCAAAATTGAACTAGTGTGTGTCAAGAACAAAGGTTAAATCAATTTGTCCACTCTCTCGCAGGAAGTGCACGATAGATTTATATACTGACAATGAGTGACACTTCCGTTGCTTTGTCATAAAAAAACATGACCAGTGCAGAAAAAAGTAGAAAAAATATCAACCGAATTAATCAGAAAATGATAAATTATAAAATTCTAAGATGTTAAATGCTAAATCGGTTGTGACTCGATGTTATGCCGAAATTAATTAATCACAGTGAAAATAAATAAAATTAATTTGGAGTCGTATTTAAAAAAGTAAACAACGAGCTTGCGGGGAAGTGGTTTGACTTCCTTTGTTTGCAAATGATCTGTAAATTCTTTCAAACCAAACGAGGGTGTTTTGGGATTCGAGGGTGGTTTTTTCGCTCTCACCTGAGCAGCAGAGGAGAAGAAGAGCGAGAGGGCCGCTGTGTGGTTTCTGCGACAAACTCGTCGGCCCGCATGACACACCGTCGCCTGACTGAAGTGGCGGCCGGGCCTGGCCAAGGCGCCGCCGCCGCCGACCGCCCCTCCATCTACACCGTTCGCCAAGCACCGTCCGTTCTTGCGTTGGACGCCAGCGCCAACACCCGACGCCGCCCAATCCAAATATTTGCGATAGCGCCCCATGCCAATTTGCCTCTGTCAACAAAGGTCTCTTGATAATTGACAATGTCAACTAAAACAAATCTCCCGATCGCGAGGACAAATATTTTTTCTCCTTAATTATCAAATTCAAATAATAAACACATGAGATTTTAAAATTTACATAATAGTTTTATAGTTTATAGTTCAAGTGGGATAAATCGTAAAATTATTCAATGACATTTACATTTTTGAATGAAAATTTATTTATGCAATAATTAGTTTTACTGGATGCTGGTTGTTGCATAATTTGATATGTTTCATAAAAACTTATTCTATGTGACACATGACTCTTGAATTTCAATGGAAAAAAATAAAAAGGATTATTATTAAAATTATAAAAATAACTGACTTTTTTATTTTATTTTGACTCACTCTTGGCATGTGGTCAACAGGAGAAAAGTTATTGCTCTTTAAGTTCTTTACCCGTAAGAAGGACTAAAAATACACATTTTTTACCATTTAAATATCTTGAAAAATAAATTAATAAGTCTTGTCATTTTTTAATATCTTGTGTAGTACTAAATTGAGCAGCTTTTCGCTATATTCTTATTAACAAAAAAAAAAAAAAAAAAAAAAAATACTTGCAATGTACTTTGGCAGACAAACTAAATAATTAATCAGGTTACAAAAAAAGATCTTGAACTGTGACTTATACGACTTCTACAGAAACATATGCGTTCCCGAGCCAAGAGAGTCAAAATAAAATGAAAAGTGTAAAAAAATTTTAATTAAAGTGATAAAATTATAAAACTTTTTAAATACAAATAATTTTCTGTCTTTTCACAATCACAGTTCTGACGGGAGTGCAGTTGAGAATAGTCTTTATTATCATTCGAACAACAACAGCGAGCCCATAATGGGGTGCTCCACCTTGGTGCGGGGGTGAAAATTGAGCTCCATTACTCTGCGACGTTTGAACGGTGGCTGATGACAGGCAGAAAAAAATTCCATCGGCCTATTCATTCTCTGCACCACTACATTTTCACTTTCCTTTTGACGTCAATTTGTCCTCTTCTCGTTGCTTTTTGTCCCGACGGGGGCGGGCGGGCGGTGCAAAAAAGCTCTCTGCAATCCGGGTGTGTAATTCACCCCAGCAGCAGACTGTGAGTGAGTGAATTTCGTTCGCGGCCGGGGACACAATGAAGCGCCGCCGCTCAATCAGACCAGCCGAGCAAGACGCGTACGGCTTGCTGACAATAAAGAATTAAGACACGGCAAACTTTAATTGAACGACGACGGAATTCAGAGCAGCTCTCGCACTTCTAATCTGAGAGAATCAATTAATCACGTCGGTGAGAGCTGACACTAAAGTCACTTTTCTTTCCCGCCAAACCAAACTCTCTTCTTGGTTTTGGTGTTTTCTTGAATTGAGTAAATTGTTCATTTGAAAATCTTTTGGTAAATAATTAATAGTGGGAAAATTGTAGTTTTAAATTTCAAATTTATAAGAACAGGGCTGGAGGGCAAAGTTTTGTTAGGAGAAAAATAAAATGAAAATTAACTAATATGTCAGGGCAATATAAAAATATACATTTCCTCAGATCCTTAAAAATATAAAGGCAGAGAGAATGGTTAGACTAGAGCCCAATTTTTCTGTAAATTTTATTGTGATTGTCGGAATTTCTCATCACCAACAATCAAAGCAAAATAGCGACTAAATGGGCCATATATGATGCTTTGATGATCTGAATCAGCAATGATATTTTTTTCTGGGCTGCAAATAAGTTCTTCTTTGTGCTGCATCAATCTGTCCGACGGAGTTTTGCAACCCCGTCGAGGGTAAATGCATTTGCCCTTGCAAAAGTCGGCTAATAAGCTGGCTTCGCTCTCGAGGGGGATACCTGCGCTTCAAATTGCAATTGTTCGCCGCTCAAAGTGAGTAATTGGCCGGCGAATTAGCAACAGCAACAAACTTGCGTGCAGATTTACTCGTTATTGCTTTCCTCCTTTTGCAGCGCTGGGCTCTGCATTATTCATGAGTAACGCTGCCGACCACGTGGCGCGATTCAATTTAAAGTTTGTAATTAGGTTTATTTGCAAGCACACGACCGCCCCTCACAAAACTTGTTCTCCAGCCTTTCCATTTATGCTCTGAATTAATTAGCAGAATTATGAAACACAAGCAAATTTGAAAATTTTCGTCCCTGTAAAAATAAATAAACGTAAAACTACTTGAAACTATAAATCTGACCTTTGCTTGTACTGCATAATAAATTTATTTGCATTCCTGAATAGTATAACAAATAATAAAACAGGAATAAATATTGACGGTAAAATCTCTTTTATTGTAGCAATTATCCATAATAACAGAGCCGAGTTTTGATTGCTCCGAATCTCCACAAGTGTAATTAAACGTGACATTAGTTGCAGAGAGGAAAGTCCGTTTAACATGTCATGCACATCTCATTTTACAGCATTTTTATGACAATATTTCATATACATACGTGTTCAATAGAGAAATCTCTTTTTTTTTGTCAACAGCGCCATAATGGAACTACAGAATCAACAGCTATTAATAAAAAACACCAAATACTCTCTGGCGCGGTCCAAAGTTTGCGCCAACATTTTGCATAATCTCTCTCTCGCGCGCGCTAAATCCACCCTCTCTCTCTCACACACCATTTAACATAAATAATGTCTAAGCGCGATTTTAAAGCCTCGGTAACCCATTGCACGATTCTCATGTGTGTGAATTGTTTTATTATTTTCGTTTACAAACAACAATCAAGAGCTTATGACACAGTGCAACAATAATCAGCGATCACATCCATCAACACAACAGTAATAAATTCCTCTGATTTATGAACAGTTTAAATATTTACACAAATTGCATAAAACTTCGATTGAAAATTCGATTTCCAATTGGTAAGGGATCAGGATCAAATGCGAGAGGATTTCAATTTTAAAGTTAAAAAAGACTGAAACCTTATTTTTTTTGTAAATTGTACTTTTGAGCATTATGCGGAAACTTATTTCAGCACGTTTTTTATTGTTAAAGAAGATTTCCTAACCTATTCTTAAATTTAAGGAGATCTATATTTTATTTATCTGCGAATTTATCTCTCTCGATTAAATTACATCCCCCACCTGTGGGGAATCCACTTGATTCTTTAGAATGTTACATATTTATATAACTTTGCGGTATAAAAATTTTGCTCAAGGTTGAATGCGATGAAAATACAAAGTACACCATTTTGTACTGAAAATACATGCATGTTATTTTGTTATTGAGACAATGAGCTGCTAAGATGCGTAGACAATTTAATAAAACTACTTTGAAATGAGAAACTACAAATTCGCCAGGGTTTTAAGAAAATTTCAAACTAATGAATAATGAGGGTTTACTTTGTGTTGCTTGTGTATTATTTATAGACTTGCAAATTTTAGTAGGTTTTTCCAGTTTTTTCCACAAAAATAAGAAATGTCATTATTTTTGTATTGTTTAAAACTCTTGATTTCAGAGACGAATATGTTTGGCAACAAAAGGAAGCATTTGTTGTAAAATTTACACTAATTTTTTTAGCACCTGATTTTATTTGATGACCAATTTAGTCATTTAGATACAATTTTATTGAGATTTGAATTTCTTTAAATAACATTCTTTCGAATAAAATGAGATTGAATAAATTCAACATAAACATTTGCAGATATTTTTGAAAAAATGAACAATATTAATAATGCAAATAATAATAAACTCATTTTTATGCATTAAAAAGCAGTTTATGCTTCAACATAATATTTAATTTGTTAATTTTTTGACCGCAGAAAAAAATAGCTAATCTATTAAAATTCGCAAGTTTAATGATGATTGTTTTGGCACCGAAGAGAATTTCGCAGAATACCTTAATGTATGGAAATAGTTTTAAAATAGAGATTTATTTTGAGGTCAATCTCAAGGACCGACGACTGCTTATAATGTAGATTAGTTTTAAAAATTATTATTTATTCAAAAAGTGAGATTTTAAGCTGGGAAGAGATTGATGCGTTTACACTTGAGCGAATTTGAGAAGTAACAAGAAGCGTTAAATTTGCAATTTATTGAGAGGTAATTAATTCCTCCGTAATTATTTGCTCCATATTTTGTGTCTTTTAAATTTGTGAGATTTTTTTATATATTACCTATTGTATTATCAAAAAAGCTTATTAACTTAAATGTGCTTAAATGCATCACATTTACTTAAATTAGAAAAAAATGGAATTCTTACATTCACAACCATATGACAAGATCTTTGAAAATTTGGCGACTCTATAGTATATCACTGAAAGTTATTAAATGCAAATTTTCGGCGAGTAAAAACTTTACTAAAAATGCAAATTGAAATCTAGGTAATGAAGTAGTATTAACTAGTGGAATGAAAAAATTGTGACTTTAAAATTTTAAAAATAGTTGCAAATGTAGAGAGTTGGATTATTAATTATTTTTTCTATTCTATGAGTCTGGGTCACCAAAGCAAGATAAAAAAATCAACGTTTTATATGCATTATAAATTTTAAGCTACGTGGAAGATTTTAATAATTAATTTACTGGTGGGCACCCAAGATTTCAAAAATTATAAAATATTAAACAACCCATTTCAATTATTTACCTTTTAAACTAATCACAAATTTTGTCATCAAATTATTCAAAAATAGCTTTGATTTAGTAAAAATTGTATGAAATTTGATAGTCAGAACCAAAGTTATGTCAAAAGATAAAAAGTGAACTCAATAATTTTGGGAGAATTTCGGTGAACCATCTTCTTCAAATAACCAAGCTCATTATTTAATCAATGAAAATCAAATAACTGTTGAAAAAATTTCTTTCAAAATAAAAAAGTTTAGTGTGTGACTTCGTATTTACGCAGGATATGCTTCAGGTAGAGGTTACAAGTATTCAATCTAGGACGACGGATTGTCTTTTTGTAGCAGTCGAGGCGCATGTATTAGTAGTAGTACTCGACAAACACGGTCCAGTACATGATGTTGAGCACGCTAAATGAGAGCGGGAAGAAGACGCGCGAGAAGCGGTCGATGAAGAGGGCCCTGTCGCGCCTCCGCTGGTGGCGCGCCTGCTGCCGGCACAGCCGCTCGCTGATCGGGGGCGGCAGCGCCCCGTGGTACCCTGGCTGCCCCGGCGGCGGCGGCGGGGGTGGTCCCATCAACTCGGTCGTCTCCGAGCCGCCACCGTTGCTCTTGGCCTGGTTGTTGCACGACGAGCCGAGTGGGCCGTCATTGGAGCCACCCGCGCCGCTCGACATTCCCTGTCCAGATTGGCTCTGCTAAAAATTTCAAATTTTAGTTCAATTTCGGTGCAATAAGTTTAACTTACGATAACCATACACATTAAATAAATAATAAATTAAATTTGTTAATAATTTTATTACACGAAAAAAATTAAATTCAAGTTAATTTTTTATTCCATTTAACAAATTTTTACAAACAACGTCAAAATTATGATCCAAAAATTCATAACCGGGCGATTCGCCCTCCATCAGAAGATTTTGAACCTCAAAAGACAATATTAAATTCCGATTTTTTATTAAAATAAGGGCTGACTTCCTTGAGCTTCAAATTCATCTGGCGGAAAAAGCAGTTGAACCTCCGATGAACACCTGGTTCAAAACTTATTGATCACAATTTATTCATTAGTAACAAAATTTTGTCTACATTTGGAATTTAAAGAAAAACAAAATTACCGGTTCAGTCCTTTTAAATCCCTATAAAAATAATAAAATTGTTATTAATTTCATTTAGAATTGCAATTCTAGTAACTTATTCTTGGTATTGTATTATTGTAACAATTTATTGTTAAAGCTCAGAGTACTACTTTTATTGAATAGATCAGCAATAACTTAATGGATTCGATTAGGAAATTGCACTCACCAGTTTCTTGACCATCTTCCTTATCATGACTGGGTTCTCTGCGTCGTCAATCAGATCGCCGAGTATGATGTTGACAAGGGCGTACTCCATCAGCGAGCAAAACACAAAGACTGTGCAGCTGGACATGAAGACGTCGATGGCCTGCAACATACCGATTCAAATAAATTTCAAGGGGTTTGGCGATCATTATGCATCCTCGGGCGCGTATGCAGCCAGCTCGTTACGCGCGTCAAGCCGGTTGCCTACGCGCGATAACGGCCCAGTTTGCAATCCAAATGCGGAATTAGCATTATCGTCTCTGCATAAAAGGGACATAAAAACGCAGTTAGAGCGCGTTATGAGGCGGCACTAAAAAGGAGAGATACAAGAACATCATTCTAAATCATTCCTGAAGGGCATAATAAATTCTTCCCTGTCTTATCCAAACTCAAAGGATCTGTCAGCAGGAAATCTGCTCAAATGGTCCGGGGTTAATTACTCTCCCTCGGTCCGTTTTGTTTGTGTTTACCCTCTCCTTATATTTTTTTTAATTAAGAAAGAGGTCCTGACGCTCAGGATTAGACAAGCTCTCTTGTTAATCCCCCTCTTGCAGCTTAAATTTTCATCAACGCGGATTTTAGCGAAACCGTCCTCGCAAAAGGGAAATTCGTTTTTATTGCGCTATGGAAAATTTCAACTTGATTAAGAGGAGGACGTTAAATTGATTTGTGGCCTCGCTCTGTTTTTAATTATTGGAAAAATATTGCACCCGCTGCGCGTGCCTAGAGATAAAAAGAGCTGCAGCAGTGCTGCGGATGAAAGCCCATCAAATTGCTGTTTGACGCAAAAATAACGTCGTTCCAGAAACTCATTTCTATAGACGTGCGATTTAACGCCTTTGAAATGGAATTATCGCCCGTCGCCCGACGTCCAATCACAGCTCTTTTGATCGAAATCTGTGCGACAAGCTTTTGAAATTGCATGAAAATTGAATGGAAAAATAATTTGCAAAGCAACTTGTAAAATGAACAATAATTTTTTGAAATAGAATAAAGGATCAATAATTTACTGAAAGCTCCCGACAACTCGTGACAAATTATAAATTCAATTTTGGAGTGTGACGTTTCTCACAAAATGTCAACTTTTTTATCAGGCTTCCTCTAGTGTAACTTACAATTTTTCTTTGAAAATTAAATGTGAACAAAATTTTGATTCAGTTATTAACCTTCAGGGATTCCAGTGCGATAGCAATTTTTTTTCTAACTTAAAAACTAAAAAAATTTATTTGTAGTAATCAAGAATAATTTCCCTGAGATTAAAATCATTTAGATGAAAAGAACAGATCATTCAATAAATCTCTGGTTCAGAGTTTACAATTTTTTTAATCCATTGACGTCGGATTTCAATTTTTCCAGTTTCCAGAGTTAAAAAAAAAAAAATGAGACAATGCACGTGGTCATTTCACAAACCTTAATATAAGAGACTGGAGGTAGCGACTTTTGCGAGTTGGCGTGTTGCGTGGAGAGGGTGAGCAGAGAGGTGACCCCGAGGGTGACCCTGGCGGGCACAGCCTCCGGTTTGAGCCAAAACGAAATCCACGACATGATGACGATGAGACAGGTGGGGACGTAGGTGTGGAAGAGGTAGTAGCCGAGGCGACGCTTCAGCGTGAAACTCACCTCCAGGCAGGTGAAGTTTCCTGCAACCAGAGAGACAAAGGGTCGAATCGAGGGGCAAAAAGCGGCGCTGACAATGGGGGATCGCGAGTGGCAGGCCAACAATAATGGCTTGTAATTGTCCTCGCGCCGACTATCATTTCGGCGGCATTGTTCCGCGCACTGCCAGCGAAACCAGACTGACAAATAATCATCATGCAAATGAGCTGCAAATGTCTCGAGAGCCGAACGACAAAAACAGACCCAACATGGAGAGAGGGAAGCCACCCTCGCTCTATTAGTAGCTCGCACAAGAACAGTTACATGGGTTCATTTTCATAATAATATCCGATATAATTTGAGCAAGCAAAAAACAGTAGCTTGTAATTTAATTGCATGATGCAACCAAGGAAATTATATGAGGGAAATATGATCTTTATGCATTATTTTCATCAATCGGTTTAACAAAGAATTTAAAATACTTAAACTTTAAATTTGTTCAATTGCAAAATTATTAAAAAAATTTATTTTCGTAAGAAAACCCACAATTTTGGGTGTTTCAATTAAATTTGGTTATTTTAATTGAGGGATTATATTTGTCAACTTTACGGTCTCAAATCTTTGTAAAATTTGGAACAACTTACGAACTAATTGAATAATATAAAATAGTTGGATTATTATTTTTCTCTAAATTTTGATTTTTTTTTTAAATATTAGAAATTTGTTACTCTGAAACGTACCAGTTGAATAAAGTTGTGTGCAATCGCCGGTCGCGTTGTTGACAATGTCCAGCTGAGGCAGCTCGATGCGGTCGTCTACCACAAGGGGCACAATCGGGTCCCAGATGAACACCAGGTCGTCTGTCGTGTGCGACACTGCGAGACAAAGAAACGAAATGAGCCGCCAAATCCCACCAGCCACAATAATTTTGTAGCCACCGCCGCATTCCCATTTGCATACTTTAATAAAAGCATCAAAACAAACAAACAAAGCAAGACTCTGTCAGTGTCACACAAAAGCGCGCAGAGCGCATAAAAGCGGAAAAAATTTCGCGTTGCATGATCCCTTTGGCTTTATGCGACTTGATTTGCGGTTCAGTACGAGCTGGAATTATATTCTAGTTTGTTTTCTCTTGGGTTAAAGGAAAATACGGAAAATAAACAATAAAAAAAGTAACAAAGAGTTTGAAATTTGAAAATAAAAATAGAAGAGATGCACAATTATATTTTAAATTACATAAGCTCTTAAATACTGAAAACTAAACATTTAAAAAGTAATTAATCAAATGGAAAATAATAACAGGTAGATTTCGTAGATTTTAATTTTAGCATATTAAAAAAAAATAATTTGAGTCTTAATGAACTTTTCATTTGGTAGAGTATGGGTCAATAAGAACAAACTTGTAAATTTAAAAACCGCCAAAACTTATAAGAATTTCAATCCTGAGATGTGAGTATTTGAATTTGAAATATTAGTATATTTTTCAAAGGTTTTGAGCGTAACTGAGCATGACTGTACGTTGGTGCTAAATTGAAAAGCGTGACAGGAACCTTTAATTCAGCTAGCGCGCGCCAATAAATTACACCCGAGTCTGTTTGTTGGTTTGTCAGGTGAGTGATGGTTTGATACACGCGCAGCCTTATTAGATTAGTGCAGTGTATGCTGCTCGCAACACCTCTCGGATTATTTATTGGCTGGTATGGAGTGTCATCCCGAGAGAGATGATAAATTATGCCTACGGATGTCGAGCAACAGTAAATGACTGCAGGCAGTTTTGTACCTTGTTTGCTTGGCAGCGGTGTGCGGACGAGGTGTTTATTTGCACGCAAAAGTTGGAAATTGAATTTCAGATTTAATGCTCTCTCGATTGTTTGTAAATCTCTCTCTCAATGCGGGCCAATGATTTGTATTATGCGGTTATTAACAAGTCTAATTGATTTTCAATTGCAAATGTTATTGTTTGCGTTGCGGATGCGCCAAAGAGATTACAACTGTGATGAATTTTCGACTGTCATGCGGTGAAAATTTCCAATTTGAATAATTGGCTAAAATGTCTGTAATTTGTATTTATGAGAAATTTTGGAATGCAGAGGAAAGCAGACAATTAAGTTATCATGTGGAATTGGATTATTTTGGTTGAATTTCTATTTGCAAATAAAAAGAAATATTTCGTTGAAATAAATCACTCCTCTCATATTATACATTGTTTTTAAAGACAGTTCAATTCTAGAAGGTTTCTTTTGGCAAAAAATATAATTTTTATATGCAATTATGATTCTCTTTGTGTAATATTAGACTCATTAGACTAAAAAAAAACACTTTATTAAATTAGAACAACATATTTTCACTTATCTGTCTTTTGCAACTTTTTCACATTTCTTTTCGACTGTTTTGATTATTTATTATTCCAAAATTCTCCGCTGCAGTTTTAAAAATCTATAAATTAAACAAACATTTATTACTCACTGGAATGTTATTAAAAATTTTGAAAAACGGTCACAATAAAGTTGTTTATTGTTGCACATTTCGGATTTATGTATAGCGTTGAGATACTGGCTATGCACACGTGTAATTTTCCGCTTTGAATTGTAACAAGTTAGTCCCCCTCGGTTTTGGGCTGCAAGACGAATTTAACGCGCAGAGGCAGAAAACGATTATGTTGCTCGCGGAGAGAACGGCTGCCCAACAAATCATGCAACATTAAGCATACGTTTCCCCTGCTACAGCGGCTGCAGCGAATTACCCCAGATTTATCTGGTCATAAATCTTGTGCAACGTTTGCGGGTAAAATAACGTGTCTCTTCGCGCACCTTATTCTTCGCCGAGTGTCGAATGCGCGCCCGAAGTGCAGAAGATGGATGATGAGCAATTTTCATTCTGCGTGGGTGGGTGAGAGAGACGTGTATATTAGCAAAGAGCCGAATTTGAGAGTGCGTTAAAAGTGGGGCGCGTGCGATGAGTCGCGCGCTCTTCAATGGCGAGCGCAGCATCAGGTGCTCGTATAACTCTTGCACCCCTTTGCTTTCCCACCAAACTCCCCTCAATTTTGGTGTTTGCTGCCTCAGCACGCGCAGCCAGAAATAAAACTGACGCGAGAATACGATCTAAAGAGCAAATTTTGCAAAAATTGGGCAGCTCAGTCGTTGCATCCTGAATAGAAATAAATTTAAATTAACGTATTAATAACTTGTCTACTAAAAAAACAAAATTTTTAACAGAAATAAAAAATTTGACTTTAAAGGCTTAACAGCTATAATTTTATTTTAAAAGTCCCATGTGTATAGTTGTTACAAGCAAAAGTGTTGTTTAGCGATTTATCAAAGATTGTAATGAAAGTAATTTTTTTACTAGTATAGTAAAAAAAAATAGTAGAAAAGAAGTATTAAAATTCTGCAAAAAAATTAATTTTCAAATTTCCAAGACATTTCCTCTGAAAAATTCAAAATAAGTTTTTTTTGTTTCACATATTATTATTATTTTTGTTTATTTGTACATATTGTAACAAATATGTATGTGAAGACTAAAAATATCCAAATTATAATTTAATAATTCATACAGAATGCGTCAATATTGACCGATTTGCATAATCTCTTGTTGTTTACCTCCATAGCCGTTGACATAAATTACTCTAGCCATTTTCAACCAATCTCTCTCTGCACGGCTATTATACTAGCTGAGCTCTGCTCTAATCTATTCGGGAGCCGGTCGTGGTCAGCATGTATTCGCCTTAATCCGCTTGTGAGTCCATAGATGCAATAATAATTCAAATTTTCCAGAGTGGATTTAAACTCGATAAATTTCTCCGGGCACTTTTAGCAGCGCGCGCTCACATAAAATATTATGTTATTAGCAATAAAATCGCTCGCTGAGGTAAAGTTTTGCGGCGAACCGAAGGCGCGCGCTGCACTAAAATTTAGCGTCGAATGAAACGTAATTTACAACCCTTGGCAGCTCTAATGGCGGTCTCAACTCGCGTCTATCTGATTCCTAGCTGCTTCCTGGATCACGGGAGATGATATACCCGACGTCGTTTTCCACCTTGGGACATAATGTGCGCCGGGAGATGTATCTTCCTTTCGCCCTCTCTCCCGTATTAAACAACCGCAAATTACCGCTGCAAGTCAGCCTGGAATTCAAGAGAGGGATGCTTGGGTACACCGGCAGGATGTAATGAGGCTGCAGCCGAGTCGGCGATTCCGCTCTAACTGCATTGTATTGGCGAAATGTGCACGCAAGCAAAATGAGCGGTAATTGATATCCACGTTTGCACACATCAACCGCAATTTCATTAAAGCCTCAATAATCTTCCAATAAGCATGAGAAGAAATACCTGTGGTAAATTTAAGGAAATGTTTCTTGTAAATTAAAATAATTTTATACAATTTTTTCAGGAAGGTGGTTAAAATTTAATCAACAAATTTTAATATAGGAAAGGTCTCAGGTAAAGTTGTTGATAAGTAAGAAGTTTAAAAAATCCTATTAGTGGGTGAAGTTTTAATTTTATTTGTGATCTAGAATTTAGAAGGCAAGGGGTAGTCGAATTACAAACATTTACTTTTATTTTTAAGATTTTTTTCTTGCTTGAAGTTTTTATAATGATATATTTACAACTAATTCAAAAAGTCCCCATCCCCAATAGAAAAAATTAAAGAACGTTGTGAAAATATGTCTGAAAATAGTCCAGAAAATTTAAATGCAGTTTTAAAATTGGCAAAAATCTACTAATTTGCAATTTATTTGAATGGAAATTGATTTCAGAGAAAGCCATTAAATTAATTTAAAATATAAAAATTTGTTTCCAGGACCTTTTAAAATTTTACAAACAAAAATTGTGTGATATTGAATCATTGAAATGAAATAAATATATTAAATTTTGTATCGCTCGGTAACGCTGAAATCAATAATAAAAATGGAAAAATATAGTATTACTTTAAAGTTTCTTGTTAAAATTAATAAAAAATTAAGTAGTGCGCGCTTGACTTAAATCAAAATCTTAATTTGTCGTAATATTCCAACGTTAATTACGTCAAGGGGCCAAATTTAGTGCTCCCCAGCACAAGCACATTATGTTTTATAGGCGAAGAAATATACATTCGGGGTTTCGCCTGAGAAATAAATTTTGCCCAGGCACACAATGCAATGGCTGCAAAACCTGACACGCGAATCCCCCTGCGGACTGCTGCAATTATCGGTTGTTCTGGTGGTGATGGCGTGCGCTGCCGGACAACTCCACTAACGCGAGCGCGGTGTTTGTTTCGGGCCATTAGGTGGACGCACGGATAACGACAACAATGGCAATTTGCGCACTATATAGGCTCGGATTCGGGCCATAAAAGTGCGTTTTAGGACTTTCGCAGGCAGGCGATCGGGCACAAGTTTTAACTGCCGATCTTTTCGATTGCCTCGGCGCGTGATGGCCACTTGTGATATACTTTTTATTGGCGGCGACAATGGCACGGAGCAGTGTATTTTTTCACTTTGATGGGGCGACTGATGACGGCACACAGCCTCCGTCATCCAAATGGAAAAAGAGAAGAAGAAAAAATAGAGCTGAAATCGATTTTCAAATATGCATTTCCACTCTCATCCTTTCTCTATTTTAGTAAAACGAGCTGCCGCATAGTGTATGGAATTAACTAAAGCTTCAGCTTTGGGATTTTGTGCCCGTGTAATATTTTGGACGAAATAATGCATTAGCAGAGGCTTGTCCGCCTAATGCACTCCCAAACCGCTGATGCTAAAACCGCACATTTCACCCTCGCACTTGAACTAAAGCAAGCTGCAGAAATTTATTACATATCAAGACAAATTGAGTTTTTTTTGCATAGTTCTTCTTGACTTCTTGAGGTTCCTTTTCAAAAATTTTAATATTTAATTTTTTTTCTTTTTAAAAAAATTGCAAAATTTCGTCTTGCTCAAAAAGTCTTACTTTGATTTAGCTTAAAACTTCTAAATTTTTAGAGAAATTAAGATCTAATTTTTATAAAATTCAAATTTGAATTGTTCTTTAATGATTTTTTAAAACAAATAATTTAGGTAATTTCTGTTTATTTAATCACCATATGAAGGTTTTTAAAATATGAGCTAAACTTTTAGTGATTTTAATGAAGTAGGTCATATTAATTTAAATTAATTAAGCAGTTCCAAAATAAATAATAATAATAATTTATCATTACAAGCTACTATATTTTACTGAATATTTTAATTAAGAAACCATAAACGTTTGAAGGACATCTGTGTCCCCTTAATATACTGCCTCATTGTATCAGTGTAATTTATGTAAAAATATTCAAAATTAATTCACTTTATTTAATCAAGATTTCTGATATCAATAAATTTAATACCACTTCTGCTAAAAGCCTTTTTTCGACTTTTTCTCTTTACTTCCCGAAATTCAGTCGTTTATACTTTTATCTTGTCTCACCGCGTTTTGGGAATTATACATTTATGCAAACGGTGTGTGACAAAGTTAAAATGTGCTCGGCGCAGATGTGTTTTGCTGAGAGAAAAGTGGCACGTCTTGAAACTCGCGAAGGGCTTTTCTCGCTCTGTTCTCGTCAGTCATGTTTTATTCATGCAAGTGCGTGAGAATATTAATTCGGTCCCCTGAGAAGGGCCTGCGTCGTCCGAACTTTGCATATACCACTCTCAGAAAAAGCTGCTGGCCAGGGGAAAAGGGGTTGAATTTTTGATTAAGTTGAAAGCAGAGATTATCCCTGCTGAAGTTATTTCAGCGCCCAAGATGCATCATTTCGGGCAGAAATTAAGATCTCTCTCAATTTACTCCACTCGTGTGCTCTTTTGTTTCCAGCGGAGTCAGCAGAATACTAATTGAAAGTGACTTCTTCACTTTTGCCACACTCAAATACAAAAGCGGCCTTTCGCTCTCTTCTGCGGAACGCGCGCGAACCCCCAGGGGAAGAAAGAAAGGCAGATTTCTGAATTCGTTCTCTCATTAAGTTGCGGGCGTGAGCGCGCAAATCGCCAGGGATGCATTCCGCTTTTTCGCCCCCAAAAAACCAATTTGCACCGAAAACCGCATCGAGAAAAGACGCATCCAAAATTAAACCACTCTCACGTATCAATGTAATTTTCGTAATTTTTAATACTAAAATTTTGAGAATGAAAATTATAAATAAGATTTATAATTTCATATTAATAACTAAAATTTAAGCTTTGTGCATTTTATTCATTTTTTGAGACTAAAAATCCTGAGCAAATAAAATAGTCAAAACAACAGAAACTTAGTCGTTATTTCAGTGGGGGTTTGGTTACTTAAAATATTTTATTGTATAGCTAATTTTTCATAACACAAAGACATTTTAAACAAAGATTTTTCATTGGGGTCCGGTTTTAATTGCGTAAGCATTTGTGATAGCATTAAAAAGGTACCCCACTGTGAATGGCTAATAATATTAAAATATTATTTCATTGTAGTATGAATTCAATTTTTATTTTTTATCTTCATTTATAAAATTACGCTGTGGAAAGTGTAGCTGATGCAAAATAATAAACCACCATAATTAATCTTTTTTCCATCCTTGATGTTTGCGATTTTTTTTTCATTTTATTGCAAGATGCGAGATAAAAATTTTAATTTTATTCTGCTTTTTATTTCAGCTGCTCAATTATTTATTTCAATAAATAACAAAAATTTCATATTTTTATATAAAACATTATAGTGGGCGAGACAAAAAATTTTATTATTACTTTCTTTAACAGCAAAAAGCTAATGGGAAATAATATCTGCACTAATTAACTGCAATTAAGTTTTTTTTTAAATTATATTAATTATTATTTGTAACTCATTATCAGCCGTGCGGTTTTAAATTTTGTGAACGTGACTCTTTTTCCTCAGCGTGACTCTTGACTCTTTTCATAATATTATATTATCCCATTATATGTGACAGGATAGCATAATTTATATTAAATTTATATCATACAGAGGATTTGTTTTATTTCCCCCTCCACATGCCGCGCTGCCCGGCCGGCAGCAACAAGGCAGCAACCTTGGCAGCAACTTCAGTCACAGTCACGATCTCAATCACATGGTGGTGCTTTGTTTACATTTTTCGGCCTCGCCAGTCATGAGTTAGTGGTGCTATTTTTCGAAGTCTAAGGAAACTTTGAGTTGAATTGGTAAGTCCTGAAACTTCTCAAAGTAATAATTACCGAGCAAATGCACTAATTACCACCGTAGTTGATTTAATTTGGTTTATATTCTCAATTATTTTGCCCCCTCTGCCAGTGGCCTTAGTTGGATTCTTCATTTTTTTTGCTTTTTGATTGGTTTAATCGGTTTAATTGTCGCAGGAGAAATGGCTTCAAACTCGCAAACGGTTAAGGACGAGGACTGGCGTCTGGAGCGGCAAAGCCTCGGCGACCAGTTGTGGTACATGTTTCAAAACAACATTTGCTCCGACGTTGAAATTTTGGTTCAGGGCGATAACACAGAAAAGGTGAGGCTAATGATTTTTTCTCTACTTAGTATGAATTTGATTTTTTTCACCAATGTCTATTCTTTTTCTATACATAGAGACGCCTGCTTTTATAAAATTTGTTATTAGGTGCTGAAGTGCCACAAAGTTGTAATTTCCCGGTTGTCCAAAGCAATGCAGATTCTGATGAGGGACGTCAGCGAAGTGACAGAGCTGGTCACTGTCCGCACCAAACACCCTCACGTGTTCCAAATAATTGTCAGGTACAATATTAAATGTGAACTTTATTTACATCAATATTATTGAGGAATTTTATTTCACAGGTACGCGTATACGGATTTGCTGAATTTGAATTCAATGGCGGACGCTTTGGAGGCGCACAAATTGGCCACTGCGTTCGACATGAGACGGGTTATTCAACTGTGCGAAAACTACATTTCATCGCATGTCAACAAGGACACTGTTTGGGAGCTGATGGACTACGCAAACAAAGGCTCGACTTTCATGACTTGGGCAAAATCGGTATGGGATTCTTTGAAAAAAATTAAAAGAAAAAAATTTTTTAAATCAATCATGAAAAAGTTATATTTTTTCAAATAAACTTAATTAGTTATTTTTTTATTTCTTTAAAATAATTTTATTTTCATTTTATTTTGTCTATAAAATTAAAATTTGTCTCGTAACGCTTTGAATTCTTTCTAGTTTTAAAACATTTAAAAATTTTAAATTTGATTAATTTAAAAATATTGCAATTTATTTTTCATGCTCTAATTCTAGGTCCTAGGCAAAAAAACCATGAACTGCCTGAATTCAAAAAACTTCGAAACCTGCAGTGTCAACACATTGCTCGCCCTGCTGAAAATGGAGCACTTGAACCTGGACTCGGAACTTTCGCTGGTGAAGGCCGTCATCAAGTGGGCCAAGCTCGCAAATGCAGACCAGGACTTGAGCCCAGACTTCTCCAAGGAGCTGCTTGGACCCTGCCTTGGCCAAATCAGATTCCTCACCCTGACCGCGGCCGAGTTCTCCGAACATGTTGCCAGATCTGGTTTGCTTAGCAGTGACGACTGCCTGGCCATTTTGGTAAACCTGGCCTCTCCTGGACAGATGGCGCTTCCGAACTGGATCTGCAAAAGCCAGGCCCAGAGGAAGAAACCTGGAAACCAACAACCGGAGAAAAGCAGGCCCGAAACGCCAAAACCTGCACCAGTGAAGATTAAGGTTTACTCCAAGAACAAGGAAAAATTTAGTCCTCAGGCCAAGAAAGAAAACAAGCCTGAAAAGGTCCAGCCTAAAGAGGTTAAGAAACCTTCTTCGTGTCCGTCTCGAGAAGAAACAAAATCAGAAAAACCTGTCCAGAATTACAAGATGCTTGTCTGCCGAAGGGACGTTGACCCTGAGTACCTCTTTCTGACCCAGAAACTGGAGGCCCCTACTGATGTCATCCTAAACTTCCAGCTGAGCAAAAATGCCACCCTCCTCGGTGTCCGAATGGTGTCGCAGACGAAAATATCCGACGACTCAGATGACCTGTCCTACAATGAGAGCATGCATGTCATGGTGAGAGACATGGAGGACAGCAACAGGCAGGTTGCCTACCAAACCTTCCACGGCGTGATTGGTTACGGCAGCGAGGTGGCCATCATGTTCACCACCCCTGGCAAACTCAAGGCTGGCGTTTGGTACTCAATGCGGGTCGTCATCAGGAGCCAGGGTTTCTATGAAAACCACTTCAGACCTAACCTGGTTGTCACCGAAGGCGTCAAGGCCGTCTTTAACAAGGATGGGGATTGCGCGCGCAGCGCCAACCCCCTCACTGCACTCGTACTCAAGTTGTGATTAACAATGTGTGACTTAATTCCAAGATAAATAATTGATCATATATACTCATTTACTACGTACATTTAATAAAATAAAAAACACATATTATTAATATAATGTGAAATGACTTTTGAAAAGCCTGTTTAATTTTTCCATAAATGTATTGACTAAATTGGAAAGAAAATAAAATAAAAACTTTGAAAGTTATAACTCCTATTTATGGTGATTTGAATTTAAAGTAGACTTTCTTGATGGGTTTGATGACTTTAAATTCAAATCACAATGAATCAACCCTCTACCGTGAAATTCTACGACAAAACTCCCATTAATGCTTGACGGATCTGTTAGCAAAAAAACTATCTAAAAAAACTAAATAACGTTATAAATTCGCCTTTAATTAATGTATCTAAAGGAAAATTAATTGAAGTGAATAAAAAATAAATTTGGAATTCTACTCAAAAACTCTTAACAAACCTGAAATTACAACATTATTTTAGTGATATATGTTTAAAAATTAAACTCGTACTTCAGTTTATATGCAACACGCAGTACGCTAGAGTGGTGCAGTAAGTCTACCTGCACGAATATTGAGGTAGGTCAACACAGCAAGCAGACGCCCTCTAACGCAGGGTGCGTTCCCTCGCTCATTCTCATTTGCTGTCTCTGCCGCTTTATATTTATCAAATTTTTTACGGTTCGGAGTGCCTAATTTTATACTTTCCACCTTGATATAAGGAAATGGAAGAAGAAAAACCAGAAGTCCAGCATTACAAGATGCTTGTCTGCCGAAGGGATGTTGACCCCGAAAATCTCTTCCTGCCCCAGAAGCTGGAGGCCCCTACTGACGTCGTCCTCAACTTCCAGCTGAGCAAAAACACCAGCCTCCTCGGTGTCCGGGTGGTGGCGCAGACCAAGGTGTCTGATGACTCGGACGACTTGGCCTACAATGAGGGCATGTACATCATGGTGACGGACACGGAGGACAGCAATCGGCAGGTCGTCCACCAAACCTTCCACGGTTTGGTCGGCTACGGCGGCGAGGTGGCCATCATGTTCACAACCCCCGGCGAACTCAGGGCCGGCGTTTGGTACTCGATGCGAATCGTCCTGAGGAGCCAGGGCTTCTATGAAAACCATTTCCGACCTAACCTGGTCGTCACTGAAGGCCTCAAGGCTGTCTTCAACAAGGACGAGGACTGCGCGCAAAGCGCCAATCCTCTCGCTGCACTCATACTCAAGTTGTCGTGACGAGATAATTATTAAATGTATAGAACATGAACCGCATTTTTAAAATAATTATTGATAAAAATAGGAAAAAAAAATATAAAAGCTAACCTTGTTTTAATTCACTTTCACTTTGAGATTGATCTTCTAAAACAATAGAATAAAATCTAGTACTGTAATAAACCACAATCAACATAAAAATAAATTTATCATAATTTAATTAAAGGCAAGTTAATATGATATTTTCAATTTAACAAAAAGATAAAAAATTTTGAACCAAATTTCCCTTAAAAAAACGAATTGAAATTGAAACATTATTAATTTGTTGAAACTCGCTTCAAGTTATGCAACACGCAGTACGCTCGAGTGGTGCAGTAAGTCTACCTGCACGAATGTTGAGGTAGGTCGACGCAGCATAAGACGCCCTCTGACGCAGAAAGCGTTCCCTCGATCCTCCTCGTCCCGCCTTCTTTTGTCTCTCTCCAGCTCCAGATGTGTTCTTGCCGCTTTTTATTGTTGTTTTTTCCACGGTCCGAGTGCCAAACTTCATAGTTTTCAGCGACCAACCAGCAGCCAACTAAATTCTGCTCACGTCTTCCATTCTTGCCGTGCCCTCAACAGTAGTCGATTGTTGACGTTGGCCCGAATGTGACCAACACTGCAACACATTTCGCAACACAAACGTCATTTCATCAGAAATCGTCTGCCAAAATTCATCCCCGTTGTCTCTCAAGAGAGGGTTCGATTGTCCCCTGCTGCTTGTGCAACACGTGTTGGGAAAAACTTCGGCCCATCTTTCCACTCTTCGGCACTCGGCCGAATTCTCTCAGGGCGACTTTCGGCCTCGGCGAGAGTTGTTTCGCTAAATTTGTGAAACTCATCTGTGGTCGTGGAACTGAATTTAACACCCCAAGTGAGTATGTATTATGGATTTTCATATATAATTTATAATTTCAATCAGAAATCAAGCAATTATTTAAGAATGATAAACATTGTAACTGAGAAATAATTATGTTTCACACCCGCGAACTTCTGATGGTCAATGATTTTTTGGTGGGAAAAAAGAGGCTAAGGAGTGAAAGGACTCCTTGCTATAGACAATGTATCAAGTTATTTTTGTGTTATTTTTAATTAAAATGTTTGAAATAATACAATTTGTAAATTATTCTGCCCTCGCTTTTTTTCAAATAATTTTTTAGTTTGTAAAGAATCAAACGGAGATTTTAGTGCCTGCTACCAACTTTCGCAATTATTTTTGGATCATTTTCTTCACGCATTAATTCGCAGGAGAAAGTTTTACTCCTATCAAAGAGCAACAGATCTAACAAGTTTTGAATGTTGAACTGCTTAACGATCTTAAATCTTAAAAAAAAGCCTCTCAACTTTGGAGTTTCATTTTTATTTTTATCGTTGGGACCATTATTAGATGAATAAACTAAATTAATTTAATTACTTCATTTTTATTGAAAATTTCATTTTTTTTTATGAAATCAATAAATTAATTTTTAAAATTTTCATGAATAAAATAGAGAAATAATTTATGATATGATAATTCATTAAAAAAAATGTAATAAATTATTTTAAATTTTACTCATGAACTTTTAGTAATTCTATGAACTCAATTTTGAAATAGAAAATGCCAAAATTTAATTATATTTTTAATATTTCGATATACAATTGGCTAAAATTTCAGCAGCCACGTTTCGCTTCATATCCTTGAGCGTGTATAATAAATTATCATATTTGCCACGCCATCACTGACTATAAAAAAGTGAATGTGCACGAAATGAATTTAAAAACTTGGCCAACCGGAAACATAAAGACTTCATATTCAAAAACAATGAAACGATGAACCCTTGAAATATTGAAAAAATTGAAATCTCAATAAAAGTGCAAAAAGTTGAAAATTTTCCTATTTATTATTTTGATCTTCAAATAAATAATAATTAAAAGCAACGATTTTATGTGAACGTGGTTTATTTCAAAATTTGGCACTGTTGCATTTTGAATTTTACAAAATTCAATAATCATTTTAAATGTAGAAAGAAATTTAGGAAATTATTGTTGCAAATTAGATAAAAATCGACAACAACATGTTATTTTAAGAAATTAATATTATTACATCATTTTTACAAAATTAGTCACAGACCAAAACTAATTTTAAGAAATCTAGATGACACATAATGTAATGGGACAAGTGAGTGCGCCACACATGTTTATCCCCCACCATGATTTTTTTTATCTGTCACTTCCGCAGTTGAAAGTTTTTCGACCATGAATATCAAAGTGATCAAAATCCTCTTGTTTTTTCTTTTTGACCGGCTTTTGAATTCGTAACAAATTAATTTATCATGCATTTTGTTAAGCTAAAATGAAATTGACTGCATTTTTCGTTTATTAAAAATTGATGGTTTAATTTTCTTGACTTTGTTTCAGGGGAATTTCTGCACCGGCTTGACTTCAAAGTTTCAATCTGCCGTTTGGCAAAAGAAAAGCTCCACCGTATAATTTAATTAAAAACTTCGTCGGAGTGAGAGAGACTGGTTGTCGACTACACCAGGTTAGAAATGATAGTTTATAATGAAAAATAATTAAGATGGGCAGACATGATAGCCTTTTTGTTAAAAAAAATTAAAGTGGCAACTTCAAAGAGAGCGCTTGTTAACTACTCCATACCTGCATGCTTTGACAAAGACAAAGAGGCATTTGGCAGACGGATGAAAATTGAGTGTGGTCAGTGCGGTCGTGTCCCTTTTGTCGCTCAATTTTGTTCGCCACTTTTGACTTTTTGGCCTTTTGAAGGCGCAAATTTATCTTCAGTAAAGTTTTTCAAAGGTGACTGACATTTTAATCAAATGATTTTTTTGTATTGCTTACTATTTTATTTTAATTTGTTGAGAAAGTAAGACTTTTAATTAAAAAATCTAGTAATTTTTATTTTGAAAATATCTATAAAAATCAATAACTAAAATATTTTATTAAATAAATGCACTCAACTTTGCAACGTATAAGTATCGAAATAGAGAACATTTTGATCGAGTGGGGCACAACGACGCACCAGGTGTAATGCGTGATGTTGGCAGCTGCAACCTCAGCGCTTTTGTCTGCATTTAAAAAGGGAGTCGGAGGGATTTTTTTATATCTTCAGAAAATAATAATTCAAGAATAAATATGCTATTTTTCTTAGTAAATATAAGAGATATTTCAATACAAACGATGATTCAAAATTTACGTTACATAATTCCTTGATGCTTATTTTTTTTTCAATTTTACTTTAATTTTGTCGCCACTAATCGAATTAGTATTTGTTCCGTGTAAAATAACAAGAAAATTTGTTTCGGCTGAAGTCCATGGGTCAAAGGCTATCTTTCGCCAGCAATTTATTTAATTTCATTTGACACACACATCAGAGAATAAGTCATACAATGTGGGTTTTTTTGCAGATTATGGCTGGAAACCAACGCATCAAGATGGATTGGCGCCGAGAACACAGCACTTTGGCCGACCAGCTCTGGTTCATGTGCGAAAAGGAGCTGCGGACCGACATGGTAGTCACCGTGTCCGACGGGAAACATTCAAAGGTCGGATAATTTTTTTTATTTAATGTGTGTGTTTTAATTTATTTACTGCAGGCCTTCAAGTGCCACCAGATGATCATGATGAGACTCAGCACTGTTATTGACAACATGATTGAGAATGCCCATCGTGAGCCTGGCATTGGTTGCTACATCAGCATCTCTTCCTTAGACCCAGCTCTCTTCCCTCTCATCCTCAGGTGAGTCAAAATTTCAAGATTGCTTGCCTTTCGTAAGGTTCAAACATTTAAAATTCAAATGAATTTTTTTTATAACAAATCTTGGTTTTAATGGTGTTACCAGATTCTGAATTTTCCTTTTTACGTGGATAAAAGAAAATAAATAACAATTTTTCTGCGTGAATTTGTGTTTAGATTTGCTTACACTGATGAAGTCCGTCTGGAGACCATTCATGAGGCTCTTTTGCTGCGTAGCATCAGCAAGAAGTATGAAATCATGAAGCTGGGAATGATTTGTGAAAAGTACATCAGCAACAACTTGGATGAGGACACTATCTGGGAAATTATGGACGAACCCATGCGTGGACCAACTATGAATTCCAAGCTTCGTTGGGTAAATCGATCTTTAATGATAAAATATTTCATTCTTAATTGTGAATGAAGACAATTTTTTATTGATTACATTAAAATCAATTAAAATCGTTATAAAAAAGAAATCATTCAATAGTAAATTTTTTGCTTTTTCTTGCCATTGAAGTAAAAATTTCACTATTTGAAAAATATAAAATAATTTTAATCCCTTCAATCCCTAACACTGATTTTTTTTTTAATTTTCAGTACTTGGGCCAGAACACCTCTAGATGTGTCAAGTCGCGCCAATTTGTGAACTGCAATCAGTCGAGCTTGGCCGAACTGCTGTCCATGACGCATCTGAACATTGAAAATGAGCTGGAGCTGGTGAGGGCCGTGCTCAAGTGGGCCGACGTCAAGAACAACGGCCAGCCACTGAATCCTTCAATCTCTCAGCGCCTTCTGGGCCAGTGCTTGCCTCATCTTAGATTTCTCGCCCTCTCCGCTACTGATTTTTCAAACTTCGTCGCCAAGTCTGGGCTGCTGACCAGCGAGGAAAGTCTGGCCATCCTGGTCAATCTGACTTGTCCGGGACAGATGTCAATTCCGGACACTGTTTGCAGGAACTCTGCTGCCAGAGGCAAACCTGGATCGCCTGTCCCTGTAGAATCGGACGAATCTCAGGAGGGCAGTTGGCTGAATGCAAACTGGAGGGAAGGAGGACAAGAGGTGGATAGTGTGGTCAAAGAAGAGGAGACAGTGCAGGAGGATTGGGTCACCGTAGAGGCCAAGAAGAAGCAGAAAGGTCAAAAGACACCTGATTTAGAGAGGAGCACCAGTTTTTCCTCCTTGCATATAAATGAGTAAGTTTTGACAAAAATTTATTGAAATGTTTGAATTTTAATTTGCTTGAATCCAGGTTGGCCAAATTGGACTTGCAGACAAATGTTCCGCCGCCCAAGAGGAACATCAACAACATCTTCAGCCAGCAACCGAGGCAACCTTCCATTGTTCAGCCGGGAGAAAAGCTGCACAGAATGAATCTGATGAGGATGACAATGCCGACGATGACCTCGTACACTCAGGATGTTACTGCCCCCTTGGAAGTGCCCATCGAGTTCAAACTGAACAAGACGATCTACCTCGTCGGCATAAAAACCATGAGCCAAGTCAACAAGAGTGACGCCACCATGACTGTGTACCGTGAAAGCATTTACATCAATATTTTCACTGCTGAGGAAGGCAAGCACTTTTATGGGCAGCTGTTCGAGGACATGATCGAGTACGGCCCCAGCACCGTGGACATCATGTTCAAACGGCCTGTCACGATCAAGGCCGACCGCAGATACCAGATGAGGCTGAGCTTCAAGGCTGAAGGCAACTACGTCAGCCAGTGCAGAAATACAACTGTCTATGGGCCGAGGGACATCACGGCCTATTTCTACGGCATTGAGCAGAACCCTGGCAAAGGGTTGCTGCACTCGTTGATCATCGATTGCGCCTAAAAGGGTAAACAACATCTTTGATGGAAAACGTTATATTTTTCCCAGCCCTATCAAAGTTTAATTTCTCAAGAGTCAATTGAGCCTAGATAAGATCAAAGTGTCACAAATTTATGCAGTGCTATAATTTTTTTCCGATTTGGAATTTAACTCAACGTAGGTGTATTTTTTTACTATAAATCGTATAATGATTAAAATTTAGCTTGTCGATTTCATGCCGATTTCATGCCCTTTCTGAAATAATTTTATTTGCTTTTTGCAATTGGCATGAAAAATTACTCTCAATGAAAATTATTTTATGTTTTCTTCTGCAAGATATTATGTGTCACTCGTAAATTTTTTAAACACGAGTATTATAATAATAGTTATTTTGTGTTGAGATTACATTAATTGCATTATATCGTAAAGTGGAATTAGTTTGGTTCAAATTATTGATATACCACCATTATTTATGGTTGCCTACCCCAGCAACAACAGTATAATTTACCGACTGCTTTCCTCCCACTGATTATTGATTTCGTAAATTAGAAGCCACCAAGATTGGATGAGGTGGACTGATTTGTAAAATCCTCACTGATTTGAAATTCAAAATGCCCATAACACCTATTTGAAATGTCCTGAATTAAAATAAACCACGATTTTCATTTTTTTAATGGAAATATTTTCAACGTTTTGTTGCACAGCCAAAGAAAAGAAATTATAAACGTCTTAATTTAATTTGTATGATTTTAGAGTTTTGCAGATGGTGCTCATAAAATTAAAATTTCCTATGCAGTTTCAAAGTTTTGAGATTTTTTAGATATTTAATTATCTTTCTATCCGTGAATGCAACTAAATTCGTGCGAGTTTTATGGGCAAAGTTGTGGGAAAAATATTTTCCTGTTCATAAACTGCTCAAAATCCAAGCCATTGATTGCTTGTCCGTTTCGCACTAATTCCGCCTTAAAACAGTACGGGTGCCCATTTGCCTTGAATGAGAAAGGCTCTTAAAGAGAAACGCACCGTCTTACAAACATAATAATTCCCCTCTGCAAAAGTACAAGTCGGTATACAATCAGCGCCGTCTTTGTTGGGATTTGGGTGTTTGCGCTCACTCGGTGGGTCTCGGCAGCCTTGCTATGAATGTAGGGGATGTTTTTATGGGGCGGCTCGGCTGATTTATAGCCTTTGCTGGATCGCGACGTGCTGCTGGGGCGCGCGTGAATGAAGGAAAAGAGCGACTGCTGAACGCGAAAAAAGCTGCAGCAAAGGCAACTTTATCTATCCATCTCTGATCCGTTTGTTTGCATCCACAGTACATAAATAAAAATAAGAATAAAAGGCGGGGCGGATCAGATTTGCATCGTCCGGCCGTAAAGCAGCAGCTGCCCGACCGGACACATTATTTTTCCATTTCACCCTTTTCATATTTTATATGCGCTTGGCGTGCTCTCTTTCGAGAAAAGGAAGTTATAAACGTACTCTATTTTCATACAAAAGTCTTTTTGCAAGAAAATGTGCAAGACTTTCTGCATCGCTGAAGATTTTAACTTCTATATTGCCAAAGGAGTTTATTATTATTTTGAATAGAAGCGCATCCTTACACAAAGATGGATTTATTCGAGTATCTTCCAATAGAAGGAAAATTTATTTTTACTCATAACATTGTAAACCAAACATAAAATAAATGTATCTTTATTTCTACAAGGATCTGATTAAATTTTTTTTACGTGAATTGCTTCAATGTATTTATATCTCTTTTAACACACATAATTGTAACAGTAAGGAAATCAGAAAGAAAAAAATTTCTTGTCTTGCGCATTTAATTACTCTCACTATTTGTAAACTTGATGTATTAATGGTAATAATTAATAAATAAAATTTTGTACTTCTCCATTAAAAATATTGTTTCTTAAAAAAAAAATCCTTAAAATAGTCTTGAGAATTAAAAAAAACGGCTGTGAAATTTGCCCTATAAAAATAGTAATAGTTTTGTTTAGATACCATTTAAAATCTAGCCTCGTCTAGCCTAAAGTGGAGAAATTGAGGAAAAATGTTTACATGGAGCTTATAGGAAATAAGTTCAGCAAACATTATTCTCTGTGTAAATATCACAATCCCATTTCTCATTAAAACTTCCAAATTTCAATAAAACTAATTGAAAAAGTTTGCCACTTCTGCATTAAGCTCTTTATATATAGCGTATTTTTTTTTTGCGATTACTTGAAAAAATTCCCTCCTCATATCCGATCATAAAAGTAAACCATAGCAAAAGTTGAGCTCAGCAAATTCATTTTCAGAATGAGAAGTGTACATATTTGCATACAGAGAGCTCGCTCATGTTTGAATAAAAACAGAGCGGAAAATATGCATTTTATAATATGCTGGACAACCAAAGATTGAGTCCATCTCGCGAGAGAATAAACAGTGAAGAGTGCCGAGCCAGCGAGGGAGAGATTATCCCTGGTGCTGACGCGGGGCAGATTCGTTTGGCCGTGAATCTGGGCGAGAAACGCAAAAGCAACCGAGCGAAATCAAATAATTTACGAGAGAACTGACAAACGTTTTGGAAAACAACAATCTCTGCCGGTTACTTGCGCATTTTGACAGGCCAAGCGCCACCCTCGTCAGAAATAACGACAGCACTTGTATCGCCGCATGTGTGTGTCAAAAGTTAATTAAATCCCAGAGAGGCACTTCGTGTGGTTGCTCTCGGCCAGAATTATCATATCATCTGCACGGATGAACGGCTTGATTCAATCACGAGAGCAGACAACAAGGGTTTCCATAATCAAAGTAGAGATGTGATGCACATAAAATACATACCAAATTAATATATTATGTATATTCATGGCTTTTCAAATAATGAAATTGTATAAATTTAAAAAAAATATATAAATTATAATTTTTAAAGAAAATTTACCAAAAAATGAGACTACAGAAAGGAGTATGAATAATCTTAAAAAAAATGATAGTGCGTGCGAAGCCCTTCAAAGTCGGTTTCAGTGTGTTTCATTGTTACAATTTATTTGAATTAAAAGTAATTTGTAATGTTTGTATAAAAAGCCTACAGAATTTGAAGAGCATTTTTGGAATCCTTTCATTAATTTTTTTATTTTGTATGGACTGAATTACGGCAGGGTTGCTTTTTCTTTGGTTATAGATAACATAAATCGTTTAAAAAAAATCAACCACTTTGTTGAGACACTAAACAAATTGACAATAGTCTGTGCGTGTGTGTATCAAGGTTCTTCTTATTTTAACCTTTTTGCTCCCTGCCCTCTTTATATACACGTGCGCGAGAGACCCCATTCTTTCACTCTAGTTTGCACACAGTGGGACGCGAAACTTTGCGAATTTACTGCCCAGGAGATTGCGCTTTTGAATAAAACGGCTGCAAATTTACACGAGTTGTAATTCACAGAGTGAGTGGAATTGCACGAGACTGGGCCTTTTCCCAGTGGAAAATGCAAATTCAAACTTTATCAAAGGACTGTAGAATTTTAATGGTCCATAAATATTTCCCTGTATGTTCAAAGTTTGTAATATATCTTCATTTGAATTTTCCATCTCAATCTTAAAGTAAATTAAATTGATACTACTTAAGATTAAAAAAGATTTATATTCGCTGAAATGTTTAGTGCATTTGACTGAAGTCTGGTGAGGACTTCTCTCTGTCAGCACGTCTCACAATAGAAATAAAATCGTAAAACAAACGGTCAGCAAATCTTGACACGTCATAAAGTGCGCTTTTTGTCCGCAGCTAATTTAGAGGCTGCGCAAGGAGGAAAACTGCCATCACTTTTTTACGGCCACTGCGAATTCGGTCTCGATTACGGAGCACAACCATAAAATGCACACCCTAGGTGACAGCCTGTTGAGTTTTGGGTTTTGGCCGGCCATTCTCTTTCGTGACGCGCCTTGAACAAACATCGCTTTTGATTGGAAAATGCAAAATTCTCATCTTTTTTACTGTCACAATAGTAGTACAGATTTCGTAAAAAAAATTTAAAAATCCAAGATGAAAATAACAAATAGAAAAATAATCAGTCTTGCTATTAATCGACGCTACTCCTGAAGGTCTTAAAAGGAAATATTTAATTGATGAATTAATTTAATATCAATTTAATGTAAATTCATAAGGATTTTTGTTTCACACACAAAATATTCATAAATCCATTATGGCAAAAGAAAAATCCAAACAAATATATTTCACTGATTTGTATATCAACAAAATATTCGATCAAATGATGTCTTTTTAGCCGCAGGAAAAGAAACAAAAAGAGCTGTATGCTGCAAACTTGGTCTTTGTGTCTCGTCTGCCATTGGCGTTCTTGTCGTGCAGATAATAAACCGATAAAAGTCGTACGCAACCCAAAAGCCACTTTTGCTCCGTCTCTGCACGACAAAAGGGAATTCGCCTTCTTATCTCAGCGGAAAGGAATTTTAGCTCTCTTCGATTCAAAACTCCGCCGCCTCGAGTGCGTTTTAGATTCACCTTTCATGCAAACGTGCGTCTGACTTATTCATGGCCCAGCCAAGAAAAAAAATGAATCTAACATGAGGATCATAATGTGTGTGTCTGGTGGCAATCTTGATCAAAAGAATTTCCTCTTAATTGGCTCATTAATCAAGAGGGTTAAACGTAGGCCGATTTCATTATGAAATGCTGGTGGCAGAAGGTTCTTTTCTCCGCGCGCGAGTGCTGGACAATTAAAAGGATGTTCTCCCCGGAACAAAGGGAGCTAGCTAGCGGAACAATCTCTCTCTCTCTCTGCAGCCCCAACTAATTACTCAAAAGAGCAGACATACTTTAATGCCACCGAGGAAATTAATCAGAAAAGTCCCTTTGCTCTCTACTCGGAACGCAAAGTTTCCCTTAATTAGGGAAAGTGGGATTACATTTATTTTCCAAAAGCAGATCTACTTTCATTTTTTACCCTTCAAAATTAACCCTTCAAACTTTTGCAACATTAAAAGCTCTGTGGCACTCTGTAGTATCTACACTGACGAGGAGGGTTAGTAAATTATTTCAAGGTAAAGGCACCCTATGATTTTATTATTCTTAATTTTTGTTATTTTTAGTAAGATCTATTCAGTACAAAAATTTGATGAATCGCATAAAAGATGAATTAAAATTTTTTTATTAAATTAGCTCCCAATTTCTCAACAGAAATCACCAAAAAAAATTTGTTCTTAACAAAGTCATCAAAATTAAGGGATGAAAATTTTTGTTTCTCTATATTTTGCTGTTTGTTATGAAATTTGTCTGAAATTGCATTCTGTAATCTCTTTATTCCGTCTTTCTTTGAATTTTTCAATAACAGGCAGGTTGTTTAAATTTATTATGTTTAAACTATGTCATTAATAAATGAGATAATTCATTATTTTGAGGATTTAATGAAGCGATAATTTAATTAATTGGAGTGAAAATCTGTGGTGGTATTGGCGAGCACAATCAATGAGGCGCCGCGTCATTTTTTGTTTGTCTCTCGCAAACAATGCCCATTTGGCTGCTTTGTTTCTGATTTTAACGAGAGAGGGGGAGAGAGAAACCGTCGCCTCGTTCGAGCGAGCGACGAGCGCGCATCGTCGTGCTTTTTAATTGGGCTCTCATCGTCGTGATCCTACAGTCCTGGAACATTCATTGAATGCCAACTGCTTGTTCAAGAGACCGCAGCACGCAGCAGAGTCACAGACTCGTCAGCACAAATTCACCAGCATTCATTTTTGTAAAAAAATCAAGTATATCATGCAACTTTACTCTTTGAACGTCAAGTTTGGTAATTAGTTTGGTATATTAAAATTTTTGTATACTTTAATCAGGAAACAACGTAAATTTTTTTAATTAATTTTGCGACTGAACGATTACTTGCTCCACAAATAAGAATTTTGCAATATTTACTCCAAATTTTGCAATATTTTTTATTCAACTTTTAAGATATTTAGGGAAATTGGATCATTACATTGATTATCTGAAAATTAAAAGTATAAAAAATTTAAAGTAGGTCAATTTTCCAAAACTGCTCTCATACTGATAGTCAGTTCGGAGAGGATTGTTCGTCGTCTCATTGTGCAAAAATCGTAAAGCGAAAAGCATCGCCCTGCTGTCGCAAAAGCCAAAGGTCAAATTTCTGGGGTAACTTTGAATGCCCTACATATAAAAAGTAATAGATTTTTTGCACTCACAGCTTTCGATCTTCATGGCGCACTGCTGGGTGTCGTGAGGGTAGCTCTTGAAGTTCATCGCACACGACAAGATGAGGGTGAGCCTGCAATTAAAATTCAGCACCAATTACCGAGAGGAGAGCGAGACGAGCTCTGAATTATGACGGACTGCCGCTCGCTGGCCATCAATTAACCCTCACACGCCGCCAGAATAAATGGACCGGGGGCGCAATGTTGCAGGGTCGGATCATTGATGCGAGTGGTAATTTAAAGAGAAGGAGCAGTGAAAGCGAGGAGCGCGGGCCGGGCAAAATAATTGGAAAAGCCCTTCACTCGGAAAGGGTTTCTTTCAAAGGAGGCAAAACCGCCGCGAACGGCACAAAGAAGACACGTCATAATGTTAATAATCAAAGTTTATGAGAGAGCTTTTGTTCGTAATTTTCAAAATTATTATGTTTTCCTGCAGAAAATTTTGAAAATCTTACATATCAAATGAATTCAGTTATTTTAATTAATATTCTCTTGCATAAAAATTTTTGATTTCTTTTTTTCATGCTTGAATTTAATTTCAGCAAATTTTTCTCACTTTGATTTTATTCATCGTTTGACCAAATTTGAAATAATGAAAGCAGCTTCTTTCTTTCTTATTTATTTTTACGTAATATAGGAGAGACACTAATTTAAAATTGCATCCATCTAACTATAGCCCTTTATGAAAGTCATTTGCTTCTGTCAAAAATTCATTAGCTTCACGTTTTTAATTCAAGTATTTCTACCTGTTTGAAAGTATTGTAGTACAATAATTATTGCGTAGTATTTTCTAAAATAAAAAAAAAAAAATGGAAAATTGCACTTAGAAAATAAATTTTTTTTATCCAACATGCGCACATTTTTTTAAGTAAAATTATTCAGATATCTGTGACTTGATTGCGAGAGATAATTTAATCGATGTATGCAACGTGCAAAACAAGCGTGTCGAGCAGATTGCATATAATTCAAAACTAACAACTTAGATGGAAGGGACAATAATTAATAATTACGTGCATTCAGGCTAATGCAGCCCCCGAGCAAAACTACTTTCGAGTGCCGGCGGTGTTAGCAGAGCGATTAAATTACCCTAGCGTGGTGCTAGCTGATGACGGGGTGACCCACACAAGCACCTTGCTCTGCATAATCACGGTGGTAACAGGGGTGCTTTCCGCAGCACTTTGAGACGAGCTTCCATGGTTTCAAAAAGATTTTATTTTTAAACAAAACGTGTCTCATCACAAAGAGTGGAGAATTATTCACACACGCCTGGAAAGTTGAAAGCACTTGGCTTTTTGAAGCGAGCCAAAGTCAACAAAGCGAGTGGAATTTTCGTCACGACGCGTAACTCTCCTGAAAATAATTTGTCGCTTTCGCACGGTGGCACTCGATTTGAAATTCTAAATTATTACACGGAAGGGCTGATTACGAGTAATTAGCAAACAAATTAGCATACGGATGTTGACCCCTTGTTTCAACTTGAAGTGCAGACAAACTTTCAAGGGTATATTAAAATTTACTTTTAATTCGGAAATTTTAATTAGAAAACTTGGGCAAACTACTTGGCTCTAATTAACTCTAATTAAAGCACGAATCCACACAAGGTGAAGACGTCGCACTGCGGCTTTGAGATAAATTTAAACTTTAGCAATAATTGGATGGAGAGGAGTTTAATAAGAGACTTAATTGAAACCTGTGAATTTACCATTGCAAATAAAACGTTTGCAATTACAACAAACACGATTTGATGTTTAGTAGATGTTATATTTATTTTTACTGTCGAAAGGGTTAATTTTAGTTTTTTTCTTAATTCACTCAAAAATTAAACTAGTATTTGTAAATCGTTATTATATTGATATTTCAAAATTTCATTCAGTTTTTAAGCTTTTTATCAATACTATTTATTATATCTGTACTACTTTTCACCTTTTTAAAATTAAATTGCATTTTTGAACTTACTTGACCATGTAAAGAATGGTCTTGTCCTGGTAGAGCCAGATGTAGTGATTTGGCACGGTCATTTCCTGGAAGGTCACCTTTTTGGCATTCTTGAAGAAGCTGTCGGGCCGCCACATGAGTTTGAGCCAACTGACGGGAAGCAGCCGGTACTCGGAAGTCATGTTGTCTGGAAGACGGAGGCGCGAGTCTTTCCAACTTTGCGCGAAAAATATGTCAGCTGCGAACGTCTGCAACAAGTAACAAATCCTTTAGGAAAAAACTTTTAATTACCAACATTTTGTTTTACTGTATTATTTTTTATTTAATTTCTTAACCTAGACAAAAGAAATTTAATTTAAAAAAGGTTTAAAAAAAAATAGCTAACTCTAACTAAAATATCCATAATTTGAAAATATTATGGGTTTGGTTTAGCTGAATTTTATAAAATAATATAATTACAAACTTTTATGTATTTATTTCCTCTTATTTTAAATTGGCTTGGTTTGAATTATTCATTTTGTAGCTTTTTCCACTCGTTTGTTTGGCTAGCCAATTTGCGCGGTTTGCTTGAAGCGGAAATTTGGAGCTGTGGAAAGAAAAACAGGTCCCCAGTCACCGACGAATTGGGGAAAATTCTATTTTCGCCTTTGCTCTATCGAATCAAAAACGATAAGTAAAAGCAGCTGAGTGGCCCTCCCGTCGTTACTAAAGATACATCCGACGTTCTCGAGACTCAACAGATGCTCGCTGGGGATCTCGAGCAGGAAAAAGCGGCTCAAATAAATTCGAAACTGCGGAGGTGGAGGACTTACTTTTCTCTTCTCAAGAAAAACACCACTTTGTCTCGCACGGCCAACTCGAAATAATGGAATTCCGGCCGATAAATTAAATTTTGAGGTCGCTCCCTGTTTTTAAATCGCATGCATAAAACTAGAGAGGGCGCAAACTTTTCTCATTTGCCACCATTAATTCAGGCAAGAAAGGCGAACACGCTCTGCTGGATGGGGAGGACCCTCTCTACCTCTACTTGTCTCACACGCACATGAGAGAGACGACGGCGAAAGGTCAAAGTTTTGAAGAGACATACTTCCTGCCTTTTCGGCTCTCTTGACCGCAGAGAGGAATTTCCATCAAGAGATAAATATGTCAAAGCTAATTAAATGTATCCAGATTTTCTTTGAAGAACGCAAATAACGAATTTTGTGGCGGCCTAAGTATCATTTTGGTTAACCAAAATTAATTAATAAAGGCATAAAGTCTCAAGTTTTCAAAGGGCGCGAAAGTTTTGGGTCGGCTTAATTAAACCGCAGGGGAAATTTACACTTGAAGTGTAATGAAAATTTTTAAACAAACAGCAAATGGGATTTCCTAGAATAATTTTGCTAAAAATTAACTAAAAAATGTAAAATGAAATGTGTTATGAAATGGTTTTCAAAGAATAATTACAATTATACCAAAATTTGAGACGAAATCTGTTCCTTGTGCCTTCTTTTTTCTGATTCGACTCATTTGGATTCCGGTCACGAATCTTCTTTTCCTACAGAACCGAGAGACAGGTTTGAAAGGTGGTCGAAGTCGGTGGGAGCAAATCTCTCGGGTATTTTTTATTTTAAACAGAGAAAACAAACGGCTCGTTTTTCCAAAAAGGGGGAGAATTGACAGCTTCGTCAGACAAACTGCGTTGACACAATTGATATTTCGCTTCACTTGCTCCCTCATCGCATTATGCAAAGCAGAAGGGCTCTTTCTCACGACACCAGACATTTTTCTCTTTTTATCTCGCGTCACAAACTCGATAAGTTAATTTCGTCACTGTTTGTGCACTCGAGACTCTTTTCCGCGAATGCAGACACCGAATTGTGATCCACCTTTTTTGTCACAAAATGTCACTCTTGTTTCGCTAAAAAAATGTCCAGCTTGACATGTAAAGTGAGATTTTTAATTGAACATTCTGATCCAACTTAACTTCTAAAGAGATTTGGCGTCAGATTACAAAGCTGAAGCATTATTGAAAGTTCATGAATGTTATTAAATAAAGTCTGTGTATTTTTGGTATTGAATTGAGCTACTCGTTGAAGGAAAACATTTAATTGAAAATTCCTCATTTTAATTTTCTTTGAGACACATGACTTTCATATTTTAATTTAACGTAATCCTGAGAAATTTAATGTTCCGTCAGCTATTTTACTCTAATACATATCAGTTAATTTTCAGTCATGCGATATTCTAAATCGTCTTGGAAGTTATAGAAAATCAAAATTGAATTAATTTAAGGTATTTATATGTTCTGGTATTTCCTTACAAGTTTTTACATTCAAAGCAAAAATATAGCTGCCGCTACCTCCACCAATTTTTCCAATAGTCTAAAAACCATTCAAATTTTTACAAATCACACACATCTATCAAAATATTCAATATGATTTCAATTCTTAAAATGAGCAAAAACTCATTGTAGAAATTAAATAATATATTTTGATGGGAATTTTGCAGGTTAATAGACTACTATTTTTGGAGGAAAACATTTTTGCTCGGAATCCTCTTTTTCAATATCTTTTATCTTATCGCATATGAAATATTTTCTTAAAAAATCTAGCAAATTTTTGTTCAGAATTCGTATTTGAATTGATTTGATAATTTCTATCGTTGTAGGTATTGTAGCTTTTTGTAGGGTTTTTATTTGACATTTTTCCAAACACGGAAAATACATAAAAATAACAAGCATTGGGCCTGAAAAACAACAGATAATGTAAACAGCGTGTGGTGTTTTTATTTATTAAGTGAATATATTTTTTTTTTTTGCGAAAGCGCGAGATTTATTTATTTTTGTTTGCGAAACAGAGCCGCTTTTTCCCTCGACGCCAAAACTTTTAAATTCGAGGGAAAAAAACAAATTTGCCGATCGCGTTTGTTAAAATAAAATTCGCTGCTGTGCGCGTTGCTTTGTTTGGGGCGACCGCTATTAAAAACCGCTTACGAAAGCGAATTTCCGCGACAAAAAAGCAACAGCAGTCTCCTTTCATTATTTATACTGGCCTCTGTTCTCCGGCCAGCAAGATAAACGCCGCAAAATAAAGGCCTGCTGGTGTAAATATTTGCTCGCGGACCGATTGGATTTATTTATTCTGGCGACCCGTGAAGTGAAAAGGGTCGCCGCTTTTAACGGCCCCGAGAGCAAATCATTTTCGGAGAGACACAAAAAAGCAGCAATTACTTCCACGCAATCAATTTTATCGTCCGCGCCGAAAAGTGCGATTTTTCCCACTCGTGAATCCGATTCATTTGCTTTTATATTCTTGCTCAGTTGAATTAGATTCGCGCGAAAAGTATGAGACCGAAAAAGACATGAACACGCCGAGAGGGTGTCCTTTTGCTTGCATGAACCGGGGTCGTTTTCTCCCTGCAATTTTTTAGGGCAGCTCGTTTTTACGGCCGAGAGAGAGAGAAGCGTTTTGGCGCGACCCATTCCGCTCAGTTCCAAGCCAGTGGTTTTGAAATTAGTGGCGCAATCTTGGGTTTCAAGAGATTTTCCTTAAGTATGGGTTCACATTAAAGAAGAAATTAAATGCTCAGTTTTAAGACTTGAAATAACTAATAGCCTGGAAATTCAACTGTTTGAGTATAAAGACGCTCTAATTTAAACTTTTTCCTTCAAATTGAGCCTTTGAATTTAGAATTTCAAATTTGAATTAAAAAAATGGTCCGGTAAAAGTTTAAATTTTTTATTTTGAAATGTGACAAAATCTGAATCAAAAACTTTATAAATTTGAACCCATTTGAATAAGTTGAATAAAAATTTCATTTTCTTTTCCAGAAAAATATACTTGAATCAGTGAAATCATCAATATCAACTAACGCTTTTGGCGGGAAAATAATAAAAATAATCTCCGTTTGAAAGATTTAAAGCTGCGAATTTTTTGTGATCTACAAATCTACGTTTTCCATAAAAATTTGTCCACTTTCACATTCTGGAATAAGTAAAATTTATGGCGTGGGTCTTTAACATTTATTTACATGCGCACTCTTTGACACTTTGCGTTTTATTTACGAGGTGGTTTTATATTTGGTTGCAAATCGTGATAAAATAAAAGCAAAATAATGTTGAATTCACAGCGGCGCACGAGCATTATTTCCAGCTTCGGTTTCGCGGCCAATCTCGCCGCACCTCACTTGACATGTAAAAAGCACATCAGTCATTGCCTTGCAACAAGAGGGCTTGTTTGGTGCTCTCGTCTATTTGAGCTGCTTTCTGCGTACGTGCGAGTGCTTTACTTTTTTTCCCTTTCGCCACACGCAGAAGTGCTCGGGCCGGTTGGTATCTTGCGCACGTCCGCATTTCATTTTTGCAACGACAGTTTATTAAATGAAAAATTATCTGGTTGCGTCGTCGGGAGATGCTCGCAGTGCGGTCGCAAAACACCCCGTGCGAGGAAAAGCACCTCGCTGCTGCTGCACCACTGCAAATAACATTTACTCACGCTGACACACACACACACACGCCGACGCTACAGTGAAAAGCACGATTTTGGTTCATTAAATTTGGACTTGATAAATTCTGCACGCGCGCACCGTTTCCACTGAATGAAGAAGACGGTTTATTTTTACTTTTGACAATGTTGCAGAGATAAAGTAACATGGTCGAATATTTTGAGGAGGAGTCAAAATTGTTTGATAAAATTCACTCTGCCGAGATCAAGACACATCGTTTTTGTTAATATTAAAAAAATATATATAAAAGAGAAATTCTAAAAAATAGGAAAGAAAAAATTACAAAATTTTTGCAAAATACCTTCGGAAAAAATTTAATTTTATCATATTTTGTAAAATCTGAAATAAAAAACTTTATAAAAAGTACCCTTTTTCATATTAATATACATAAATTTAAATATATAAATTATCTAGCAGTTATCTAGGGAAAAAAATTTGAATAACGATTTTCAAAAATATTAATTCTTGACTATTTTTTAAATGAAAATAAGAAATCCTGTACCCTTTTCAGGACATTGAGACTGACAGGATTACCTCTCCATTTGTTTAAAAAAAAAACGCATTTATTGATAGGAAATATATCAACGTCTTTGTCATGACTTTAATCAATGGGTGCAAATTACGCGATATGGTCATAAAATTACAATGTTTTTGTTAATTTCAAATGTTTTTTTCCTCTCCTGATTTTAATATCACAGTGATTCATTTATATTTCTTTATGATTTCAACTTCCATAATCATAACCCAATAAACCTTGCTTTTCAAATAAAATTGAGCGTTCTGATGCATTTTAGTATAAAAATCGTGGAGTTAGATTTTAAAATGCACTCTGGCTTTTGCGCAAAAATAAATCTGGACAATTTTATTTCAGACGGATTTTTTTCATTTCCTGGCAAACGCTTTCTTTGATCTTTTTGCTGAAAGCAAAAAATGAATAAATATGATGAGCTGAAGTGCGTTGAAGCCTTTGAGCATTTTAATAAGTTCTTGCGCCTTGGGAACGTGTTTGCGCCGAGAGTGCGTGGATTAGACTTCAGATAGCTGTTCGCGTTTTTTGGTGGTGAATCTTTTTTTTCTGTTGATGGGCAGAGCTTTACCAGGAAAACGCGAGCAAAAAGTCACAGCACGTGCCGAGGATCACGGAAAAATGGGCAACAACCTCTCGCAACTTTCATTTCTGGCTCTGGGAAATTGCCTTTCCACTTGATTCTAGGTGATTCTGTATGATGAAAAAAAAGGAAAAGCAGATTGTTTTCGAGATCCAGCAGCTTTCAATCTTCTTCTCCTGCCGTAAAATTTTCCGTTCAGCAAAAAAGGCGATAATAAATATTAAATAATTAAAAAAAAAATATCTCTAAGGTTTTTGTCATTTTTCCGATTATAAGCAAGGAGCTTATGAATCTACAATGAAAAGAAAATGCATTGAAAAGTTCCATAAGATCAATGTAATTTTTGAGGGTCAAAATACTTATTGATTTCATTTTCCAATTTAATTTTGGTATTATGGACGTGATTTGATGAAATTTTTATCAATTTTTAACCGAGCCAATATCGTGAAAAAATGGGATGAATAAATAAAAAAGAAACAAATAAAGATAATTTTCAATAATTCACTCAATGAATTAAATTCTTCTTTAGAATGTCTCTCTGGAATTAACAACTAAAAAACTAACATTAAAAAATTATCATCAAAATTAATTGAGCCGCTCTTTTAGCAGAAGCTCTTGCTGCAAAATGTATTTTTTTTTTTATTATTAATTATTACGAAATTAAAACTTTAAAAGTTAGCAGAGAATTTATCATGAATCCAAACATATTTTTTTTTATCAAAAGAAAAAAATGGAAATGGAAAATTCAACAGCTTTTTGGCAGCAAACAGCGCGAAACCAAAGTTGCATGTCATGTTTTGTGGCAGCAAATTCACTTTGCCTTTTCTTCTTCTGGCGCGTGTTCTTGTCTGAGGTGCAGACAAGGCCGACCGGAGTTTTTACGCTTTGTAAGTACTTTGGTTTGTCAACCAACAAAAAGCAAGGAAAAGTTTGATCCGCGGTGCCATTCGAGTTCCACAACGGCACCTCAGAGAAGAAAATAAATAAAAAAAACCTCCCCGGAAGAGGCGCAAACGCGTTCATTTTCATTTTTTTTCTCATCTCGCGAGAAAGAGAGTGGAAATTACGTTTTCGGCGCAGCTCCCACGAGCGTTGGCCCCCGAACATGAAACTTTTATTGCCCCAGAAATTGATTTGCCTGCACTCTTTCTCGCGAGCGCTCACTGTCCTGTGAAATCGAGAGAGAACACAAAGGGGTGCCTTTTTTTCTCGTCGCTTTTAGCACGTCGTCCAGGCCACTTTCCTCGCAGTAATAACACAGCAGAAAAGGAGTTATTGTATAAACAGCACGTTTGGTGCACCACAGATGCATTTTCTTGAAACTCCCGCGCATATATATCCTAATGGCTTTTGTGGACGTGACGAGAATAGGCTACTTTATAAACAAAGCCATACTTTTATTCCTTTTATTTTTGAACCAGCAACATAATATATAAAATTCCCATCACATATATGCGCAGCAAAAAGCTTTCATAAATTTTCCATTATATACAATTTTATTATAATTTGAATCAAAATGCTTATTTTACTTTCTTCTTTCTTTTTGTAAAAATTTCAAATTCGTTGAGAAAAAAAATAATTGCTAACTTTCAACGTTTTAAATTATTCAGCGTGCAAGTTTATGCAAATAAATATTATTTGGTGTAGTTTATTCTTTTTCCAACGTTATTCTTTTATATTAAGATAAATATTTAACAATTATTTTTACTAGAAAAAAAATATGAGTCACTTTGTTTATACTTTGAAAAATCCGATTAGAAAAAGATTGTCTTTTAAAAATTGTGATTTTATTTGGATTTTTGGTAATTTTCTTTGACATAGCCACGCCATCGCCATGGCATAGCCACGCCATAGCCACGGCATAGCCATAGCCACGCCATAGCCACGCCATAGCCACGCCATAGCCACGCCATAGCCACGCCATAGCCACGCCATAGCCACGCCATAGCCACGCCATAGCCACGCCATCGCCATGGCATCGCCAATCTTTGCAGGTACATATCATCCTGAATTTGACCTTCGTTATTGCCTAAATGTACTAGAAATTTAATTAAACTTACCTCAATTATTAAATTCTTATTTAATCTTCAAACAAATATTTCTACAATATCCAAATTAGGAAATAAACAACATGAAAATTTAAAAAGGAAGGAAAATTAATTTTGTCAACCGGGTTGAGAATTTATGGATTATATTTTTCACAAGCATTAATCTGGTGTGTTTGAAGAAGTTGACACTCGAGGAGATGATCATGGAAATGAAGATTCGGGCTTTTCCTCGTTGCAAAAAATTGTTTTTTATTCAAAAACAAACGGCTCAACCAGTTTCGGTCACGGTCTGCGACCCTATTTCATGAGCAAACGCGCTGCTCGCTGACTAATACAATTCTTGTATTAGTCAGCGAGCAGCGCGTTTGCTCATGAAATAGGGTCGCAGACCGTGACCGAAACTGGTTGAGCCGTTTGTTTTTGAATAAAAAACAATTTTTTGCAACGAGGAAAAGCCCGAATCTTCATTTCCATTAATCTGGTGGTTGATTTTTGTATATTGCTCTCTTTTGTGGCCTTCCACTGTATGCACTTTGGCCGATTTAGGTGTGTCAAACTTAATGATTTATTTATCAAGCGTTAACGATAAGAAAAATTTCTTCGGATCTAGAAGAGCGAGAACTTTTTGCCATTAGTCTCCTCTTCTCCAGATATTTTCGCACGCAAACCTGCTCGTGTGATTTATCTCCAGATTTTCGCTCGCATACACTTCTTTCCGCAAGATTTATTCAAATTCCACCTTTGCTCATAAATAAAGATTCGCGCGACTCTCCGATTTTTGCATAATTGAGCCGTTGCTCATCGGGGATGATCTTTTTCTTCGAAGAGGCTCATTAGGTCAAAGGCGTGTCCCCACCCTCCACGATAAAATAAAATTTGATCATGCCTGGAAATGAAGGGGCGTTTGGGTTGGGTTTTATTTAAAGATTTATTAAGTGGATTATTGGCTTTTCGGGAGAATTTGGGGTTCATAACTTCCAGCTTTATTTGAGTGCTTATTAAGTAATATTTATTTATTAAGTCTCAATAACAAATTTGAAAACAAAAAGTAGCAAACCATTTACTTATCTTCCCCGATCAAATGAAATTTAATAAAATTTAAATTTGCATCAGAAAAATTCATGCTAACGATTATGTACAGTCAATTAATTAAAATTATTTTTGCATATTCCTATTAAACAAACTTTTCAAAAACTAGTTAATTTTCCTGCAATTAGCTTTTTTAACATTTGATTCCACTGGACAATCAACGAGACTAGGCCGAACTTTAAACCTTTAAGCATGAAATCAAAATTACAACATCATTCAGGGTATTAAGCGTTTGATTTTGCACCTGTATTTAATTCTCAGGAAGTTATCGTGAGGAAATTAAATTTTATTTTCTTGTTATTCAATGTTGAAAATAAAAACTTTAAACAAGTAAAATAGTGCATCAAGAAAATATTACCGATAAAATTAAAAATTAAAATTTTGGAATAAAATAAAATTACAATTTTTGTGTGCATTTTTAGAGATCATAGAAATATAAAATTTCTTATAAAGAATTAAAAGAAAACTCACCATTGAAGATTCATCGATGGAGTCAAGACTCATTACAGTGACGTGGAAGTAAACCACAGTTGGCTTTCCTGAAACAAAAGTTTTAAGCCAATTGTACTTTCATTCAAGCAAAGTTTCGCTCATTTGCATTAAACTCAGACTGGGGCGTGACAAGTCTAGTCTCTGCCCTAATTAAGTAACCAAGATTGCTAATTTTAAGTGCACCCGGACTATTTACTCGAGGCAAAAAGCGAGGGGGAGCGCAAAAGTGACCGAGGGTTTTCGCGCGTCAATCTCTCAACAGGTCTTCTGATTCTTGGGCGTTTTTGCCTAGGGGGTGTGTTCATGCAGATGATGAGCTCCGGTTTACGACTTAATTGTCGCCGGCAGTCGTCAGCCGGCTAATTGCCTTTCTTCTCCCGAGCTCGTAAATCGCCCCGGAGCTAATCCTCTTTAGCACTCTATTCAAATTGGCCCGAGCGAATGTAGTGTACGGTTTTTACGGCGCACACCTAATTTGAAATTATACGCGGCGGCGGCGGTGTTTTTCTTCCATTTGTGCAAACATAAAAGAATACGGCTAGAGAGGAAGTATGGCTGTCTCGGTGTGCACATAATTTTAATTAATTACTTTTCTTGCTCGCGCAACACTCTGCTCACGTACACGCGGGTTGTAATGTGCAGCGCAAAGTGCAGAAACAGAGACTTCGCAGTGATGAGAGAGCGCGAGACGCTTTTATGGTCTTCACGGTGACAAAGAACACTCTGCTTCACGCTACATGTTCTGCAATTGTAATGAGTAGAACACGTTTTATCCGATTCTTATATAAATTAAATTGAATAATTCATTCAAATTTATGGTACAAACGCCAGATCCGATTTTTAAATTTACGAGCATGAAATTTTCTTTTTTAATGGGAAATAATACAGAGAAATGATGTTATAATAGTAAAAGTAAATTCGTAAGGCCGCATTGGCAACTAAAAAATGAGATTATAATTAAAATTTAGCAAAAACTCCCATAACTTTAGGATTCTACCCGTTTGTGAAGTAATAATCGACTCAAAATTTCCTCTGTATCTGTAAAGTTTATGGGAATGGGCAAGAATAGTAATATTTCAATTTTCTTTTTAAGTTCAAACAAATATTAAATTTTATATCATTGAATGCTTCATTTCCTGGACTTTTTAAAATAATCTGTGGCGTATATTTCCTTTCGATTAATTGGCACTCATTATTGGCAAAATTATTATGAACAAATTGTAAATTTTATCTTGATTTTAGGCGCAAATATATATGTACACAAGTTTTTTTAATTAAAAAGCAATATATAGGGAGCATTTGGTAAATGTGTAATTAAAAAACTTTCAGTTTTAGGCCCCATTCTTAAACTCCCTAATAAGTTCAAGTGTTCGTTCTCTTAGTTGTTTGTTGTTTGTAATTGAAAATCTTTCCCAAACAATTATGAATGAAGTTCTAAAGTGAATCAAACTGAACGAGACAAGTGTTGTATGTAAGCTGCAACAAAGCCGCGGCTATAAAGAGATTATTTTCCGTAATTGAAATCGACAGGCGGGATGTACTTTGTACTCTTGGAAACTTGTTAAACCATCACACGGTTTGCACAGCCTGTTGGCAAAAGCGAGACGCGGCACGTACGTTATGCTTTTGCAGAAACTAATTCTCGCGACTCGAGACTCGGCGAGCTAATCCTGGTAATCCCGGAGCAATTTTCACGAGAGCAAAGTGACCGCATCTCGCCCCCGTTGATAAACTGGGCGAATTCCTAGGGGCGACTTGCGCAAACCGCACACCTTTTAAACTAAATTCCGGCTCGTAAATCATCGTCCTTAGCCTTGGAGTGTTTCTCAGCTGTTGCCTTTCTCGCTGCGGTGACGAGGGTGCAGCTGCATCCCCCACATTCGTTTTCATCCCCATTTTGGCAAAGTTCCACACAAGTCTTGATTTTTATTTCCCTTCATCATCTCTCTAGATGATTGCAGCAACAATAAAAATGTTTTTCGTCAAGGGGGTCGTCGAAAGAGCGGAGCAAAATTTCTCAGAATTAAGAAATTAATTTTCTAACTTTTAGAAACTCCAAACCCTGCGTCCTCGGGAGAAATTCCAAAACTTTCATCTCGCTAATTATTTCCAAATTAGCTTTCTTCATTGTTCCCTGGAAATTAAAAAGTGATTTAGGGTGGCGGCGGCGCTCCGGGCCGACGGTAATTTTGTCGCCGCCGAAAACAAACCTGCCAATTTGAGCGCGACGCTCGTAAATAAGTTTTTATGCTGGGCGGGGGCGACTCCACCCCCACCTGCCTCTAATATATATACGGTTCGGTAACACATTTGGCTAAGTGCAGCCATAAGTTCACAACTTTGCCAGTCGAAATCTTTCGCGCCGCAACTTTTGTCGCCGCTGCGATCAAAACTCGTGCACGCTTGCCCTAAAAATAAATGCGTTTTATTGTCCTCCAGGCGTAAAATTCAATCGAGCCGAGCGAAAATGAAAAGGGAAATAACATTTTTATCCCGCGCAACTGCTATATTGAAACTTTCCATATAGGTATGCCGAGCGGTTTTTTTCCACCAAAGATTGCTTATTTTCACTGTTATTGGTTTTGTCGATGCAGAAGTATTGAAACGATAAAGTTAACGAGCCAATAAAGACTGAAAAATATCGGCTGTAATGTTTTAAAGCAAAAGTTTCGATTGATCATGTTTTATATCTTGATAAAAAAGTAAATTTTTGCACAAGTCTATGCTATGAGTAATTTTTTGGAGTTTTTATTCAAAACGAAAATCAGAAAATGTCCGGCGGATTGCCTAACTCTGATAACTCCAGGGGCTCTACAAGAGAAATTGTTAAAAATCTAACAATAATTAGAATTTAATTTATTTTTTAATTAATGAAGAAAAATTAAGGAACCTCGAGGGATTATTATGTAATTTTCTCAAACCAAAATTATCAGTGTTTTGCCGGAATTTTTTTAAAATTAGAACTAAGATAAAAAAGGTCTAAATGAAAATATGATTAAAGAGACGTGTCTCGAAGCGACACTTTTGAAATATGAATTGGTGCTTCTGATGGTTAATGGTGCACTATTTCTGCTAAAGGATAAAGAGCACGAAACGGAAGTTCTCCCTGGATGGCCCTATAAAAAACAATTCCAATTTATTATTCCCTTCTCAATTCTTTACGACGCTCTTCTTCTCTCGCCAATGACGCGTGTCGCCCATCAAACTTCTTTTCAACTGCCGCCGCACACCTGTGCCGCCCGTCGAACAAAAACAAACACTTGCCGCATTCTATATCTGCGCGATCAGTCATTTAACGCGGCCATCTTCGGCGTGCTCGGTGGGTGAGGAAAAAAGTGGCGAGTCGGAAATATTTATAGGAGAGCCATAATGGCGGGGCGAAGGAGCGAAACCGCCGGCTCAAGTTGAAAGCGAGAGATGTGTGGCGTTGTAAAGGCCTCCGAAAGAGGAGCAGATCGAGAGAGAGGTACTTATAGTAGACCCCTATCTACATCCACACACGGTGTATCAAGTGCTTGATGTTCCACCGAGAGATCGGGACTCGCTCTTGACTGCAACGGATTTAAAAAAAAAAAGTGAGAATCGTTTATCATCCCGTATCGATCTTACCCACGAATGAATAACTCAAATCGAAAATGCAAAAATTTTTATATGTTTTAAAGAACAATGTTCAAACTATCAATAAACTTTCATAAATTAAATTTTCCATAGTGATTGGTCTTTTATTTAAAATTTGGTATTTTTTATAGGAAATGAGTTTGAGCAATGATTAAAGTTTATTATCTTCAATGCTTTTAGGTAAAATTTAGAAGCTAATAAAGCTGTGCTTTTTCCAAAAGCATAAATTAAAAATTTGAATTAGTGCAAAAAGATCTGCTGATGTCTTCAAGTTATGATTTTAATACATTCTAGTTCTTCAAACCTTTTAAGATAAATGGTGACTTTTTTTACTAAAACGTGATCTCGAGGAGGAAGAGACATCATTTTTCATAACTGTCTCTAGTGGCGTAGTCTGCATTTCTTTACCGTCTACAGTCACTGCGAATTTTCCATTCGTATATATTTATAATATTTTTTGTAGAGGTAGAGACGGTGAATTTCTGCTTCGCTTATTCCTTTCGTGGAAAGTGGGATTTTTGACTAAGCAAGGATAAAAAAAAACGTGGCGTCTCGTTCATCTGCTCTAATTGAAACTTTCCAAATTCAAGAAAATCTCACTTAGTATTGGGGAGATAAATTAAATTCAACTGGATCCGCAACAGTCACAACTAAAAAAAATTAATAATCCTATATACAGGTTCTTCTAGTTATTGTGGAAACTTTTAGCACTTATGGTATTTTTTTCATCATCTAAAATTTAATATTTCTGAAAATAAAAAAATAAAAGAAAATATAATATTTAATTGATATTAAACCGATGATATACAATATGTGATAACTGAAATCAAAGATATGAGACGCCTTGCTAATTCAATTTGAATGCCTTTAATTAATCAAATGGAGCGATCGGCGTCGCAAGTGTGGCCATAAATCATCTTCGGTGTGCCATCTGATTTGGACAAGAAGGCGGCCGTGTGTCGACAGCCCTCTTCAATTCGCTGATTACAACACTTGGCAATCTCCCAGCCCATCTTACTTAAAGTTTGTTGCATACAAGTTTCCTTTGCACGCCATGTTTTGCAGGCAAATTTTTAATTAAACACTGCAGGGTCGAACTTCAGCTCCTCTGCTCCGCATTTAATCCCTAGACGGAGGAAGCCTTAATGTGTTTGTTGTTTCAAAGCAGCTCGACACATTTGCATTAAATTTGGCTCCTTTTTTGCCAAGGAAGAAACTCTCTTCTTTTTATTTAGACGGTTGTCGCAAAACTGTCTTTATAAGTTGCGATCTTACAAGAAATTTTATATTGAATTCAAAATTAATTTGTGCCAGGAAGAACAAAAGTGTAAAAGTAATAAAAAATTTGCAGAAGGTGCGGAAATGACATTCACATCACAAAGGGAAGTAAACTGAAATGAAAAAGGAGTTCTTGGGGGAAACAAGTGGAAAGAATTATTGACAGAAGGAAAAATGTATTTTGATTTTTGATCTGTAAACAACAAAAGCAATATTCTCTTGTAACGGGTCGTTTGATGCATGAAATGAGAAAATATATTCTAAGAAATTGGAGAAGTACATTGTGAAATATAAAACTGGAGCTGACATCTCTGACTGTAGATTCAATTTTTTCTTTCCTAACATTTGCCTTCTGAAATCTTGATGCAAATTATAGCTACCTAATTTCTACTATTAAAAACGAATGGACTTTTTTTAGGCTCAAATTTTAGTTGAATAAGTCCCAGATAAAGTTGTTATTCAGCAAAAGGTCCCAAGCAAATATTTTTAAACAGTCAATATTTTGAAATTAATAAAAGTGCTGGAATTTTTAAGTTCTAAACTTTAAAACGGCGCTGATTTTCAAAGAGCAAGAATGTTTTATTCATAATTATAGATTTTTTTTAAAATTATTTGCTTGTATTTTTAAGAAATTTCTTCGAACTAAAATATCTAACAATAACATATAACAATTGATAATCTGCCAAAAAATCCACAAATAAATCTCATCATGATATTTAAAAAAGAATATTGTTGGTAAAAGCTCGATATAATTTTTTTTTTTTGTGAAAAGTAATGAAAAAGTCCTTTTTAGTGCCACATAATATTTTGATTCAGAATTCAGAATTGCATAATTCACAAATATCATGACGCAGATTGAACTTTTGTGCTGACGAAATAAAATTAAAAATACTTATTTTCAACAGCCAGTGACATTTTTTCCACCCAAATGAGGCTTTTTCTGAACGAGAGCTTCCTTTCTTCAGTAATTAGCTCTGAATTTACGAGCTCGCTCGTTTACCCGAAGTACCGCGGAGGAGCTCTCAATTCCAGGACAGGACACACCGTGCAAAAAATAGGTTTCCGCTCCGTTTGGCGCGAGTTTAATTACGAAATGCAATCTGCCTCTTTTACGCCCGGCCAGGATAAAAGCAGGCAAGATAAACTAAACTCGGCTCTCGACTTGTTAGCACGAAATAAAAGCCACGCGCGCTCTCTGTATATAAAAAGCATAAAAAGTGGAGTGTTCCGCTCCATTTGCTGACGAGTTTTCCGAAGAAAAAGAAACGGTGCGCGAAGCAGTAAAATCGGCGGCCGGTTGACTTCTTGCAAACGCCTCCTTTGCCTCGCTCGTCACCCAGATGAAGAAATCACGTGCACTTGAATATCGCGTTTCCCACCCTGATGACGACAACGAGTCCTCTGCAAAAATAGCAATAAAATGTAACTCCTGCAATTCGAGTCATTCAAAATGAGCACACAAGCAGTCCAGATCTTAATAACTAACAAAAAAACTTTGGTATAAATTAATTGTTTGCTTCATAATTCATTCTTTGTGAATTGTAAATTATTTCCACAAAAATGTGCTTCAATTTGATTTCAATTTCTGTTTTGTTTTTTTATTTGATGCAAAAGATGTTGTTTACGTCCTGAATGGCGGATAAATAAATAACTTCACATAAAATGCATCTGATGAAGAATAGTTTATTTATAATTCGGTTTAATTAAAATGGAGCGAAATGAACGCTTCCATGGCAGAGTGAAATGCAAATTTATCTTCGTATTCATATAAAGAATATTATGTTGTTTCCTTCTGATAAAAATTGCGCAGTTTCCAAGAGGTTTCAAATGAGAAATGCAGGGGGAATGTTATGATGCTGTCGACTGGAAAGTTTATTACATGCTTTTACTCAACGCTCTCATTTTCGTTCTTGCTTGTTGCATTATTTCCATACGCACGCATAAAGTTTTAATTAGCGTGGAGAGTTTCTTCTTCTGCAGTTTAATAATGTTTTGCCGAGTTTCGAACTAAATTAAAATATCACGTTTCACAGAGAGAGACGAAAAGTAACGACAAAGGGAAAACGCTGCATTTGAAACTGGAGAATTTTGGAGCAAGCAGGACTGCTCTCGTGTAACTTAATTGGCTTAAAATGGAGACGCTTTAATTAAATTTTGGAAGGTCACTGAATATAATCAATTTGTTTTTCGTCCTAATTTCTTGGTATGCTAATTTTTAATTAAAAGAGGAAACTCGCTAGAAGAAAATTGCGTAGAATGGCATTAATAAAAGTTGCAACAAGACCATTCCGGGAAAATTACTATGTTGCTTTTAAAAACGAATTGTTTGCAACTTTCTAAAATTTGTTTTGTCTATATAGCTTGTGTGTTTTTCATTAACCTTTGAGTGCGAAGGCGGGGTTGCATTTCTTAACAAGAAACTAGCAAAATATTTAAGATAAAAATTAAAACTTGTACCCTCTTTGTTTTCAAAAGGCAAAAATTATTCAAAACGTTGGAAAATATAGAAAGTCGTCGTGCGTGTGCTCAAGTTGTTCAGCCAAGTAATTCAGTGAAGCAGAACTAAAACGATACACATACGTGCCTTTCGATGTTTGCCAAATTCTGTTTCTTAATTTTGCTGGTGGAAGTGCTGCGCGGCGAGCACCTGCACCGAATTTATCCGCCGCAGGGCGTGTGTAAATTATTAATCCAAAGTACACCAAACTTGGGTGCGCGAAATGCCACTCGTGCGTGCCCCGATCCACCCCAACTACTGGCATTGTTCTGTGTTTGCCTAAATTGTAGCTCTGCGTGCCGAATTCCAAATCACTCTGATTATATAAACTCCCCGAGTCGGAAGAGTTTCATCCGAATAGAAATAGTACAAAAAAAAAATGATGATTTATATATCGTTGCATTTGGCACAAGGGAAAATAATTTATCATTAAGTAATAAAAAATTTAAGTTATTCCAAATAAAGCTAATTTTAAAGTAATATCCACAATTTCTTACAGAAATGTTGATTATTATTTCAATTTTTTTTAATTTAAAAAATAATTTAAATTTCCTTCTAAAAATCCAAAATTTTTGTATTTTTGTTTTTACTTTTTTTTATTCACCGTACTAATGATAATAATTTTGTTGCGTTGCCTGAACCAAGACCATTTTATTGCGAGTTAAAATGATTTGATTTATTATATCAAAATGACACAACTTTATGTATCGATTCGTTATAGTCGGAGGGAATAAAAGTTTCTTTTATTTGATACAAAAAGCTAGCGGCAGGAAACGATAAATTTTGATTCAAGTGTGTTTACAAAGACGTGGCGGTCGTGAGCTGTCCATAAATCATATGATGGAGGGGGTGTCCTGCAAACTGCAAATTAATAAATTACGAGACCCTTAAGAGAGAGACGCAAAAAGATAGGGCGCTTCACTTATTTGGCATTTATTTTAGATATAGGGTGCGGCGGCGCCGTGCTTTCTCTCCAGGGCTCGTATTTCGCTCAAGCGCCTTTCATAAATAACCTGAGGCCAAAAAGTGACAATCGATGCGCGGCATTATGGCCTTTCTTGCTCTCGGCCGATGAATTACGACGACGCTCCCCGCCGGGTGCCACCGCCGCCGCCGCCAGGCCTCCGGAGAACAAAAACCTCTTCTCCTTGTATTAATAAACACGTCAACTTCGCAACGCGTGTCAAAATGACGCTCTTTGGCGGCAAACGTTTTGTCTCGCTGATTGGACGTGAAGGGTGCTAATGAGACACGCTAATTATTCGTATATCGACGATGACGAGAAAGAGATGAGAGACGTGTTTGTTTGTGATACAAAGGGTGATGCAAATTTTAATATTTAGAGATGAGCTTCTTCTGTTTTGTCATTGAATTTTCATTTTAGGGAAGAATATTCTTATGAACATATTCATTGAAAGTTTTTGAATTTAATTGATATTTAATGAAAAAAATTTTAATCAAAATTATACTTCATTATAACCTTGATCATTTTTTACTTTCAGATTCATAACTTTCTGGCCTTTTACGCAATATTTATTAATTATAAAAATGTTTTCCAATGGAAGTATTAAACGAGAAATAAAAAAAGAGAAAAAACTTTTTTTAGCTCAAATTTTTTATTTTCTGGCACTTTTGCCCTTAAATTCGTTTGCTTACTTAGTTTAAAAATTGCAATTTAAAAAATTCAATGTGGCAAATTTGGAGATTTTTGTATACCGGAAACTATTTTGGAAGAGTATTTAAAAGTTAAAGCTTGCAGCAATTGTCTTCATTAGTTCATTTTAATTTCGGCATATCTTGTAGATTTTGAATGCAGGCAACCCGCTTTTCAATTTAAGTGAATCATATTCAGAGAAAAGCAATCATCGCTCTTTAGATTTCCTCCTTCAGATCTCTGATAATCCAATTCCGTGAATTCCGCCATCAGCATGAAATGAACTTCAGCCATATACGCGAGCAACAGTTTCCGAGTGCTTTGATTTGTCAACGCCAAAAGCACGCTTTGGCAATTTCCCCGGAAAATCGAACGGTGACGTTTAATTACCGCAAAACAAGCGACATAAATAGTAGAAGAGAGACAGCCGAGGAGAAAATAGGAAACACAGGGGGCGCTTTTTCTTTCTTCTTATTCCTTCAGGGGTTATCTTAAGAGCCGTTTAGAAAGACAATCGCCTTCTCTTTATAATAATATAATGCGCCTCGGTTCTTTCCTTTTTCCTTCTTCTTTATCCAAACGTCACGTAAAACTCGCATTTCCGTCTGCCGGCGTGCGTGCGCCGTTTTATTGCCTGCTTTTCCGCCTCCCGTATAACTTTGCTTAGCGGCAGTGGAAAATTTTAACAACAAAACAACACATGCTGGAAAAACATCTTCGCCGCTGACTAACTAAATTACTGCTTGTCACGCCACGTGACGCGGATTTATTGCACTTTGTTGTGTGGTTAAATTTTGCATACCTTCCTCCTTGGGCGGCTGCATTTTGTCGTATTCTTTTGGGTTGTCGGGCAGGATGTCCTCGAACTCCAACGGGCCGTCGAGCAAATTTTTCCTACAACAAAAGGCAGCGATATAAAGTTCCTTTTCTTTGCTTGTCTCGTTAATCTTTTTAACACTGCAAAACTTACGCCATTCGAAAATTCGCACTGACATGTCCGGCCAAAGTTTTTATACAAATGTGCGAAATTTTACACGAGAAAAATGGCTGGTTTTTGAAAGAAAAACTTTGGACACGCATTTCTCTTAATACAAAGAAAGGGTTTTTTACTACTGAAGTTTATGAAGAGATATTTCTAACTCAAGAGTGTTTTTGGACACTGAATTATTTTTAGTTCCTAGCTAGGTCATATTTTATTTTATTTTTTTCAACATTTTTTGTTTTCAATGTTCATTTTTTTACAATAAATTTAGTTTTTAAATTAAAAATGAAGATGCATTCAAATCCACCCCCCTTCGTCATATTGTTTTAATTTTAGCAAATTTTTGAATTTTCCTAAATAAAATTACATCTCATTTCACCGTTAAAAAGTTCCTGTTTTAGAGTTATTAAAATTTTTATAGTTCTCCCTCAAATAATTTAGTATAAAATTATTTTATTTTGTAAGCTTTTAACGCAGGCATTCTTATTAATGAATAAGTCTGCATACAATTGCAAATTCGTCTCGTTTTTCTGCCTGAAACAGTTTGCATAGTAATATCCCTTCCACTCCAGCAGCTATTTAAATCATAAATGTTCCCGCTGAGAGTCCTTGCCTTTTAAATTAATCGCGCCTCGTCAACCAGGCTCATTTAATCAACAATTCAAATGGAATGAGGCGCGAAACACTGACTGTCGGCGCGCGTGAAAACAATTCCTCCAGAACAAACGCAATAAACAAGAGCGCCACTTTTTACGACCGTGTTCATTTTCATGCAAATTCGACGCAAAAAAAATACCCCCAGTCAAAATTCAGTCTGCAAATAATAAACCGACCGGGACCATAAAACACTGCGCCCAATTTGCATAATTCACTCTTGGGCTGGAAAATTTCGTCTGTTGAATATTTACAGGTGGCCCAACCATCCCTAAAAGCGCTTTCCCTCAAATCGGCTGATATTATCTTGAAAAAGCAGCGTTGCAGCAAAAAGTGGCCCCCGGTGCAATTTTATTGATGGCAGAATGACCGGCCAAGATTCAAAGGGCGGCCCAAGAGTTATGGGACGCGTGATTCACCCTGTTTTGCCTCAAATAAATCGCCTTCAAGTTGAGACAAACTTTATTCATTAGCTGGACGGAATGGAGGCCCGGATGTTTTCCTCTCTTTTTGGCATTGATTTATGCTCGATTTTTTTACCCCTGCCAGCATAGAAATTTGTCTTTTTACCCTCTAAAGGTTTTTTTTATATAACGGAACCTTCTTTTTTGAAAATAAAAAAAATTATAATTTTACGAATGAATAAAGTCAAATTGTGCCCGAAACGAGAAAATAGAAAGATTTTTAGTTCATTTCTCATTGCATTTGGAAATTGCGATAAAATTATTAGCACATGCTTAGAATTTAATCTTTTCCCGCCAAAACAATTTGAACCTTATATGATTTTTTATGTTAACAATACACTTATTTGTGAAATTATTACTTTAATTCCTTCCAGAGGGCCTCTGATGCTGCTCTGATGAGCATTGTGATTTTTAATTTAGTCGAGAAATTTCCAATTTTTTTTTCTTTCAGAATTAAACCATTTACTTTGACAATTTCTGTCTGCATTATCAACTCAAATTTGGTGTTGTGAAGTGAATAAAACATGAATTAATTCCAATTCTCATCAAACAAAAACACAATTTCATCATCATCAGAATTTTATTTAACACATTTGTGTAAAACATACGCAAACACAATTTCGGGTTTGAAATAACTGCTTTTGCTTCATTTTAACACAGGTGAATTTTTGCGGTTAGCCATCGCGAACAAGCGAATTAACCCAAATTGCTTTCGCCTCAACGACTTTCCTGCATTGCAAAATTTCACCTCGTTAATTTCCGAGCGTGCAGCTTTATTTTAAACGAGTTTCGCGGCTCATGTCGTAGTTCAGCACGTGCATTTTAATTAAAACGTCCGTTTGTTGGGCGGTCCGACTTTTCGGCACGACGCGCAATTGGCCGAGAACCGAATTAAAACGAAATGCGAATCGCTCCGAAGGGAGACTGTGTGTGCGGTCAAGTGGCCACAATAAAGTAGATTGAGATCATCATTGCCGGCCGTTACTGTTATTGCAGGGCCACTTTGGTGCGGTTGCTTTGAGAGGCTCCATTCATTCGGGCCGCGCAGAATTTTATATGCGAGCGTGACAAATGGCCTCGCCCGCGCACACCAAAAGTATAAATTGTTTACGCGGATTATGACGAGCATTTGTCAAAGTTTCCGGGCCTCTTCATTATTAGAGTGGCAGTAAAAAATGGCCGCCGCCCTCGGCTTTTTGACAGGCGCACTTTCCCGCAAAAGATTCGGTGACTTTTGTTTTCGTGTGCGGGCGGATGGATTGCGCCTCGTTTTTCAAGCTTTTCGCTTCAAAATCCTTTCAATTTTTTCCCACAGGCATTCGATTTTTCAAATTAACGGCCCCCGCACTACGAACGGTTTCAACTGATTGTTACAATTAGGTAGAAAAAGTGGGTTTGGCTTCATTCGGGCTGAAAAATCGGCAAAAGCTAAAATTCAAAATCTATACACGGAATACAATTTTGCAGTTACATCATAAATCTTTATTTTTGAGACCAGATTATCTTTTTAATTTGAGAAAAAAGTTAATATTAAATTAAAATATAATTTCATTTAAACCTTAAAAATATGTTTCAAAAGTGATCTTTTATATCTTTAGAAAAACAAACAGATTTGGTATCTTTTTCTTGCATTAAGTTAATTTAAAACGAATGTAGCAAAAACATAGCAAGTCGAATTGGTAGCGATAAAGATCAATATTGACCCTTTCAATCAGTTCTCACGGGGTCTTGCTTATCCAATTTGAAATATTACACATATTTACTTTTACTCCAATTCCAAATATCAATTTCAGAGATAAAGTAACTTCTACTCTGGAGTATTTCGGTCCCTAGCTGATGCTTTGTGCCCCTTTTCTGTGAAGATTGATAAATATTTTGCCCGAAACTAACCGAGGGTAGAAGAAGATAAACAGCTCAAAAGGCCGTGGTTCAAAGGGAATCCATACAACTCCCCCAAGACGTCCAAAGCAAGAATCGCAACAGGACCAAAAACTTTTGGCTCGTCGCTCGCCCAGCTTTTTATTTTATTTCAAGCGGCGGCAGCAAAGTTGAGAGCTCTCGCACGTCTCAATTTATGAAACACCTCTCGCAGACTTGTCCATAAATAAAAACGTCTCCTCGGTATGTACAGCTTTTTTGCGTAAATATTTTGTCCCCTGCCGGCAACACCTGCTAGACTCAATTTACGACCGACAACTTTTAACTCTCGAGTTTATATACCTCTCACAAACTGACTGAGAAGAAGCACATTAGACGTACTCATTTCCTCCTCGGTGGAGTGTATTATAAAGAAATGAAACTGTTTCATCAATAAAATTTAAGATAAATTTGATATCCTAGAATTTACGGAATTGTGAGAACATATTGCAAAATTCACATGGGTATTAAGTAAGTTAATATACTCCACGTGCATTGAATAACGGGTTGCATAACTTTGCAGAATCCAATAGAAACTTTGCGGAGAACGAAGCGGAAATGAATTTTCGAATTTACGGTTTTCTCCTTTCCTTTTCTTGTGCAATAAAGAGAGGGAAATTATAGCTTATGACATTTGACGGTTTGACGCGAGGGTATTTTCGTTATACAAAAGCAAAAATATGTGAATTCTTATGGCAAAGAAAGGGAGGGAAATAATTTCAGTGTTTTTTAGAAGTAGAAACTTATAAACTATGAGGACTGGGGATAAAAGCAATATTGATTTTTTAAACTAACACACCATAAGATTTGGTTGCATTAGACAATTCTAAACACGATAAATGCAAACTTCAGCTAAATTGAGCCTTATAATTTTTATAATAATGAAAATTTACAAAATATTTTTTACTGAATTATTATTTATCAATTTCCCAGGAAGGAGATAAATCGATTCCTTCCCTGTAATGATCAGTAATTTTCTCAGGCGTTGAAATTGTTCGTCAGGTTTCGGCCCCTAGATGAAGATCTCTTAGCTGACAAAATCCCAGAGAGAATCTTTTAGGTATGAATATTTTAGGCCTACTTAGGCTGATTTAATTGAAAACCAATAATTTTTATTAAAAAAACAAAATTATCTTCTCAGCCCTACATGTAAGTTATCAGGTTATTTTTAATCGCACTTGTTGCAGATAAATCGCACTGAAAAGTAAAAATTTTCCAATAATGAAGTTTTTTAATGTAATGTTCCGCAGTTTCCATGAAATTAATCAAATACAGATGTGCTCAAGAGAACGATTAAAGAAAGAAACATCATATCTTGCAAGAAGCTATGAAAATATTGAGCAGCAAAACTTTTCCCGCAGACCGCAACCCCGATATTCTTATCGGTATTTGCCAACTCGCCTGTTCGAAAACGACAAATAAATGCAAACAAACACAGAGCCGCCGTAAAACCTAAAGCTTATCAGCTTCGGATAAACGTCATTGCGAACTTTGCAAAGCGTAAAATGTATCTTAACGGCGCAGGCACCTGCCGGCGACCAAAGTCTCAAAAGTGTGTTTCGATTCTAATTAAGTCCGGGTGGTCGTAAACAAATTTCAAAACGGGGCCGCATCTGTTGGAGACAACAATGGTTATTACATATACCGTAATCGAAACGACTGCGGACTCGCATATTCTCATTAATATTCGCGGCTGGAAGACGCGCGCCCCGGAAAATAATTGCTCATAAATAATTCACTGCAATTATATTTGCGATGTAAATTCTGCATCTCTCTCTCGTTGGTTGGAAGGAACATGCACAGGTTGCCTGCTATTAATATTATTTGGACTAGACCGAGTTTTGGAGCTCTTCCAAAGCGCCGTCGTAAAGCAGCCA